GGAACATCAATCGACCTTCAGACACTAAAATTATTGAAGATTTGGGAACAAATCATCGATTTATTGAGAAAAAAATGAATAATTTTCACTAATTTTGACCCAAATTATCAACGAAATTTTTCTTGTAAATGCCTAATCTGTCCCAAATTCCAGTTCGAATGTGCTGTATGGACCTTCAGGCATCTTCCCTGCAAGTTTCAAGCAATTTCATTTTTCGGCCAAAATTGAAAAAATGCAAGGGGTTAGCCTTACATTTTTGATCAAATTTGGCCAAAAATTGACTTTTCTCAAAACAACTCAGAAATGTCTTTGGATGCAAGAGGAACATCAATCGACCTTCAGACACTAAAATTATTGAAGATTTGGGCAAAAATCATCGATTTATTGAGACAAAAATGAATAATTTTCACTAATTTTGACCCAAATTATCAAAGCAATTTTTCTTGTAAATGCCCAATTTGTCCCAAATTCCAGTTCGAATGTGCTCCATGGACCTTCAGGCATCTTCCCTGCAAGTTTCAAGCAATTTCATTTTTCGGCCAAAATTGAAAAAAATGCAAGGGGTTAGCCTTACATTTTTGATCAAATTTGGCCAAAAATTGACTTTTCTCAAAACAACTCAGAAATGTCTTTGGATGCAAGAGGAACATCAATCGACCCTCAGACACTAAAAATATTAAAGATTTGGGCACAAATCATCGATTTATTGAGACAAAAATGAATAATTTTCACTAATTTTGACCCAAATTATCGACGCAATTTTTCTTGTAAATGCCCAATTTGTCCCAAATTCCAGTTCGAATGTGCTTCATGGACCTTCAGGCATCTTCCCTGCAAGTTTCAAGCAATTTCATTTTTCGGCCAAAATTGAAAAAAATGCAAGGGGTTAGCCTTACATTTTTGATCAAATTTGGCCAAAAATTGACTTTTCTCAAAACAACTCAGAAATGTCTTTGGATGCAAGAGGAACATCAATCGACCTTCAGACACTAAAATTATTGAAGATTTGGGAACAAATCATCGATTTATTGAGAAAAAAATGAATAATTTTCACTAATTTTGACCCAAATTATCAACGAAATTTTTCTTGTAAATGCCTAATCTGTCCCAAATTCCAGTTCGAATGTGCTGTATGGACCTTCAGGCATCTTCCCTGCAAGTTTCAAGCAATTTCATTTTTCGGCCAAAATTGAAAAAAATGCAAGGGGTTAGCCTTACATTTTTGATCAAATTTGGCTAAAAATTGACTTTTCTCAAAACAACTCAGAAATGTCTTTGGATGCAAGAGGAACATCAATCGACCTTCAGACACTAAAATTATTGAAGATTTGGGAAAAAATCATCGATTTATTGAGAAAAAAATGAATAATTTTCACTAATTTTGACCCAAATTATCAACGCAATTTTTCTTGTAAATGCCTAATCTGTCCCAAATTCCAGTTCGAATGTGCTCCATGGACCTTCAGGCATCTTCCCTGCAAGTTTCAAGCAATTTCATTTTTCGGCCAAAATTGAAAAAAATGCAAGGGGTTAGCCTTACATTTTTGATCAAATTTGGCCAAAAATTGACTTTTCTCTAAACAACTCAGAAATGTCTTTGGATGCAAGAGGAACATCAATCGACCCTCAAACACTAAAAAATATTGAAGATTTGGGCAAAAATCATCGATTTATTGAGACAAAAATGAATAATTTTGACCCAAAAAAATCACTGGGAAGAAATTTCAACAAAAACTTTATGTTCATTTTAGATCAATCCTAGGATTTATTATTTATCATCCTTTACACTTACTGTGAGGCACAAACTGAATTAATTTTACTGCTTCAATTAATATTAAATGTCGTTTCTGTTTCCTTTTCTGGACGGTCAAATCACAAGGCACTTGCAATATTACTAGCAATAAATACTGTAAGCGAAGTGTTCTCACAAGTGAATGGAACTATCAAAGAAACAATCACAAATTTTCTCATCTGTTTGGAATGATTCTGCTTGAAAAAAAAAAAAAAAACACTTGTCAGAATTCCGAAATAGAAATTAAATGCTTTTACATTTTCAAAAATACATAATGGAATATAAATAATGAATGTTTATGAGTGCAATGGTAAGAATAATTTCATGAGGTGACAGATGGAATGTTCCATTCCACAAAGCGGCAGCAACATTTCATCTGCTACACAATGAAACCATACTTTGAATCACACAAAAATGTGTTTTATACAACACCTGAATATATCCTCGTCATCTGATTGGTCAGAGACTCCAATAGTTTGAACGTGGAGTGTGATGGCCTAGCGGTTAAGAACACCGGACTCACGTTCTGGTGTTTCAGAGGCAACAGTGACGTGGGTTCGAGCCCGCCGGCGGACACTTGTGCTCTTAAGCAAGGCACTGAACCATTATTGCTTCGTCCTTCAGATGGGACGTTAAGCCGTCCCGTGTGTTGTATAAATGCACGTAAAAGAACCCAGTAAACACGCTAAGAGAAGGGGTTTGCCCCGGTGTTTCTGGCCTCCTGTATAAACTCCCACGTGGAGTATTTAGGAGAAGAACCAACCAAGAACCAAGACCAAGAACCAAGAACGTGCAATGGAACTTCCATTTACATTGGAACGGCTGGGCCGTGGGTTGGGACGCCCATAATTCATTGACACGTTATCAATGACCCACCAATTAGATGACGGGGATTTATAAGAAAAATACTATATCACAAGCACAATTAAGGGGCCGTGACCATTCAGCCCTGGTATGAAAAGGGCCCCCGGTACCTCGTCCGGTCCAAAGCCAGTCCGGTCTTCAGCCCAGTCTCGTCCGGTACATGGTCCTGTCTGACCAGACGTTTTGTCGAAGACGAAGTCAGTCAGGCGCATCAATTTATTGCCCTTCAGAGAACGTCCACAGCAGAACAATAGCAGACTTACCGGATTAAAGATAAAATCCTTCCATAACGCCTAGGTAATTTACGGTGCCATTGTGCGCGAAACCGCATGGCAGGGGTTTTGATCTGTGCCGACGAAAGTGTTCTATTGTTTCGCGCTGAGAGATGAAAACCACAAGCGGATTTCTTCTGGGATATATTACATGTGTCAATACTTGCAAACAATAGACCCCAGGATAGAGGAGTTCCTGATTAGCAACCGGACCAGCTCCTGGGCCGGTAGCTGGGACGGTACGAGAGGACTTCTTGGGAGGGGACGAGCTTACTGGGGGGCCCTTTTCATACCGGGGCTAAATGGTCACGGGCCCTAAGAATACCTTATTTTGCTCGTTTTCAAATTTCTAATTCATGTAGTGCTGTCTGCAAACACACCATTCCTCTTTCTACAACTGTCCGAATAGACAAGGCATTTTTTTTTTATACAAAAAGAGCACATTCTTTTGCCTTTTACAAGCATCATATAAATACCATCAATCAAATATCATAAATAATATAAAAGATTTAAAAATATACATTAAAAATAATCCATAAAAGTGTACTAGAAAAGGAGAGTACCAAAGGGTAAAAAAAAAAAAAAAGTGGACGGAAAACTAGAGAATGCCAAGTGAAAGTTGAAATTGTTTGCAATATGTTTTTGTTATGCACACCAACGAAGAGATATTGTATCTTGGAAATCGGCAAAAGGCACAAAAAGTATGCACAATGTGCATATATTGCAGAAAGGACATTTATGCAAATGGCTGGAAAAATACTTCAGTTAATGGCACTTTCAAAAAGTTACATAATCTCGTCTGAGAAATTTTCTGCTTTAACTACAGTATTCCCAGTATGAATTGGAACAGCATTAGTGCCCAGTTAAATTCCAAACATGCTTTATGGCTTTCTAATGAAAAAATCCAAAGATTCTAAATTTTGAGTCACTCCCTCCGAAAAACAATCAAGGAGAATTAATCCATGAACCTTCGAATGCAAATTAGAATAAAAAATTATTACAATGAGTACACATATCCACCAAAATTGTTCTCAAGGCACTGCTTCGTTACTACCCCTGCTTATCACGCCAATAGAGGTTCCCACAGACCATCTCAGATCTGTGAGAAGCACCTAGATTGATGCTGCCATTGTGGCTATTTTTATGTAAAACACAACAGCAGTTCCTGACCTCACAGGAGCAAGTCATGACAAAGTGTCTTGCCCGAGGCCACAAGTGCTGGAGACCCACAGACTGGATTCGAACCCACGTAGAGCCATCCCCAAATGATCACAGTATCCAGCACATCCCTAACTGACAAACAGCAACAATCTTTGCCCTCAATAGAGCATGTCACGACAAAGTGTCTTGCCCGAGGACACAAGTGCTGGAACTCCACAAACTGGATTCGAACCCACAACAAGTAGAACCACCACCACATGATCACAGTATCCAGCACATCCCTAATTGACACGCAGCAACAATTTCTGCCCTCAATGGAGCATGTCACGACAAAGTGTCTTGCCCGAGGACACAAGTGCTGGAACTCCACAAACTGGATTCGAACCCACAACAAGTAGAACCACCACCACATGATCACAGTATCCAGCACATCCCTAATTGACACGCAGCAACAATTTCTGCCCTCAATGGAGCAAGTCATGATAAAGTGTCTTGCCTGAGGACACAAGTGCTGGAACTCCACAAACTGGATTCGAACCCACAACAAGTAGAACCACCACCACATGATCACAGTATCCAGCACATCCCTAATTGACACGCAGCAACAATTTCTGCCCTCAATGGAGCAAGTCATGATAAAGCGTCTTGCCCGAGGACACAAGTGTTGGAACTCCACAAACTGGATTCGAACCCCCAACCAGTAGAACCATCCCCACATGATCACGGTATGCAGCACATCTACAAGTGACACACAGCAACAATATTGGTTCTCAATAGAGCATGTCACGACAAAGTGTCTTGCCCGAGGACACAAGTGCTGGAACTCCACAAACTGGATTTGAACCCACAACAAGTAGAACCACCACCACATGATCACAGTATCCTGCACATCCCTAATTACACGCAACAATTTCTGCCCTCAATGGAGCAAGTCATGATAAAGGGCCTTGCCCAAAGAGACAAGCGTTGCAATGCCCAAGACTGTACTCTAACCCACAACCTGTCAAACCACCCCCAAGTGGTCTCGGCAATCCGCACCCCAAATTTTCACACAACCATCCCTGCCTTCATAGGAACAAGTCACAACAAACTGTCTTGCTCAAGGACACATGTACTTAGTGTGCTGTGAACCCTACTTGCTGGACTCGAACCCACAACCTTTAGAACAGCCCCAAAAGATCTCAAATCGATTCCAATCTTACTTCTTCTTTGCCCTGAGATGCAGCGCTGCATTTGGAGTCAGACCGCACTCTTGGAGTGTTGCTTCTTGGTCGTCGTAAACCTTGGCTGGGAAGGTGGTCACTATCTCATAGTCCTTAGACCCTGACGTCCTGAAGGTAGGACAAGAAAATAAAACTCGATTGACAGGTTTCAGGGATTTGAATTTAACCTAATGACCTGTGACTGGAACTCAACTGGTCTTCACCCATATATGACCACGGAGCACAGCCTGAGATCAAAAGTGTTTGATTTTTCCAGAGGGAGTAGAACCGGAGGGCCCGGAGAAAAACCCTCGTGGCACAGGAGAGAATCAACGCAAAACTCTGCTCACATGTGGTCAGCAGCCGGGAATCAAACCAGCCGGGAATCTAGGGCCTTACACCTTAGCCATCCATGCCACCATAATAAAAATTGCATGTACCTCAAAAATGGGTGCATCGCAAAGGGTCTGTAGGTCACTAACCCTACCTTTATAACCCTAACTTCCCCTACCCCAATTTCAGTATAAATTACACAGAATTTGTTGGCTTTGGCATGGGTAGGGTTTATCATTAACTCACCTGTTGGCATCAAGGTATTGCCGGACATCCCCTATCGTGTCCGTGTATGGCATCTTCAAGATGAACGTGTGCTCCCCGGTCTCCGTCTTGACTCTCAGTGTGGTTATGCTGCTGCGAGCTGACGGGGGGCGGGGCGAGGACGCTGACTGGGGGCGGCTGCCCACGCGCTCAAGGATCTCCTGGACAGCTGGAGTGTCGATGATTGTAACGCCAGGCTTGGTGCTATCAGGCTGTGTGTCAACAAAATCAAAAAGCTGGTGAAAGCCCTCGATCTACTATTGCTTACCTAACTGTGTCAAAGCTCCGGTAACAACAGGGGTGTGAAATCTCAGCTTAAAAGCTGATTTCAGCTTTTTTTTTCCCCTCACTTGCTGTGTACAAAAGTATAGGAGATTTCCGAAGTTCAGCTTTTAACACCTTTTTCAGCTGTTTTCAGCTATTTTTATCAGTGGTCACTCACACCCCTGTAACCAGTTGGTGAAAGGTGTTAATTAATACTACTACTTATAACGAGTATTTATAAAGCACACGTATCCACCAGTATTGGTGCTCAAGGCGCTGCATCATTATTACCCTGCTCATTGGGCCAATCAAACATTTCATCTCAGCTTCCTGGGGAGTATCCGGTTCGTTAGTGTGACGTCACCTCCAGCACTTTCTGCACGATTGGAACCGGAAGTTAACGCAGCTTGAGCGTTTGTAGCCAATGGGCGCCAGTAATCAGTGCTGCGCGCGTGTGTATGACGTTTTCACTAACGAATCGGATACAGCTCGATGCTGCCATTTCGGTGCAAGCAGCTAAAATCAATCACAATAACCATCTCTTGCCCAATTTGTATTCCTGTCTGGTGTAGGATCAATTAGTTTATAATTCAATTTATGTAAAAAAAAGTTGCTTTGGGGTTTTTGCTATGTATGATTGGCACATCCACCACAACTTCCAGCATTTGATTATGACGCCTCAATATTTTTTATTCTCTCTAATTTACCAATACTAATATTTTGATGAAATATAGCTTTGAGTGAATTGAAATGAATTTCAAACTGTAGCTTACACAAGAAAAAGGGCATTCAGATTTTGTTACAAATAATCGTTAAAAAGGGTCAAGTTGTTTTTCCCCCTTTGTTGAGGGAGGGGGGTCCTTTTTTATTAAGTCCAAGAATTGCAGGCTGAGGAAACTGAACTCACCTTTAAGTCTCCTGCAAGTGAAGCTCTGACATCGATGACTTTGCCTTCTCTCATGACAGAAGACGGCAGCTTATTCAGGAACTGGTCCACTGACAGCCGAGGCTCTGTATCACAAAGATCATAGCATCGGACAAAAATCAATACAAACTTCCCAGATGTTTTTAATGATTCTGAGTGACAGGAGCATGTGTTTTGACAATTCCAAAGCTGTCTTCGTAAATTGAATTCTATGAATTCCAAGTCCTCAGTGTACATCACTCAACAAATGTTCAATCACAGCAAGTTAAAACAGATTTGCGCAGTGAAATTATCACAGAAATTGGCTTTTGCCTTTTCGTGACTGACGTAATTTTCTTGAGCAGAGCTTAAAAGATAAAATTCACAAGCTTTGGATGGAACAACCGCTCGTGACTTACTGGGCGGTTGGCTGGTCTCATACACTGGTTTCCCGTCATGACTCGTCGTGTAGGACCTCTCCATGCTGGTAGCCTTGTCTAGGTTGCTGGGTACCAGCCGAGAGGGCTTGTTCTCCCCGCCTAGTAGGTTGCCCGTGCCTGGGAACTGCTCCAAGTTACGTGGGTCATTGTAGACGGTGTCCCGTTTGTCTGTTACCTGTAAAATTAGAATCACTTTTTGTAATCACTTACAAAAAGGCTATTTCTGGATTGACAATAAGAGGGAGATAATTTGTTTATTTTGAACCACAACCTCCTGCACTATGTTGGTCAGGGGCTAAATCCAATAACACAGACACAGTGGCATAGCAAAATCATTTGATTTTTTTGGGGGGGGAGGGAGACACGAAAAGTGCACTCGCCCATACGTGCTGAAAAGAAGACAGGGTTTTTTCATCGGTCACCTGGCTTCTGTAAAATCAAGGGGGGCTGGGGGGGGGGAGGGGCTGGACACCATCTTCATGTTGGGGCGTCGTTCAAACCACATGATCATGGCCACCATTGGACAATAGCTGGCACTTTTAAGGGTGGCACGATTGCCGACATTGTCATGAAATTCCAAAAAAGAGCGCTGATGAAAAAAAGGCACTTGTGTAGAAAAACAAAAGGGCACTCTTTACAAACTATTTGGGGGGGGGGGTTTAACTGCTGGTGAAAAAATGGGCACCTGTGCACCTTTTTGTAACAACACATCTCCCACCTGCAGCTACGCCACTGCGGCTAAGAGTACCCAAGACTTTCACAGATGATACAAGCTTACAAACAAAGCTTTGTACAAAGCCAATTTACAAATGGGCATCTGTCTCTCCGAGTCCAGGCTTCTGCCCAAAATACACTCACTGACTGTCAACAAATTGTAAAGAAATTGTCAGGTCATTTAGGCAGTATGTGCTATGTAAGCTCTTACTTGAAATGGGACTCCTTCCGGGAACCGTTCATTCAACTCATAGGGGAAGTAACCGTCCATAAGATCCTGTACACAGCGCTGGAATCAAAAGCAAAAACACACCAACAAAAAGTTGTTATCCCTAAACTTGATACAGTAGTTTGTATTACTGCTGAATCCAACAATACCAACAGCTAGAACACAAGATCGTTTGTTCAATGCTCAAACACGAAAAATGAAAATCCAACTTCTGCCGGTTCATTTTGGATTCGGCAAGCTCAGGTTAAGTAACATCAGGTTAAGTAACACCCCTTTTCTGTTGAATCCCTTCTGTCTCCTGACGATGGGCAGAGCACACTCTCTGCCGAAATGTTGAGTTTCCCTCGGTTCTTTTCAAAAGGTCACAAACTCACAAAACAGATTTGTCACATGGTACTATCCTAAACATTATCGTATTGCTGTCTGTCTTCGTTCTTGAGAGATGCTGCAGTACCCTCTATCCACTCCGTTCACAAGTACCCCCTCACCGGCAAAGAAAGTACAGTTGGGGGTGACCGACCGACGCCATCTTGCCTGACTGCAGTTTTGCGCAACACGCGGCTGTACCACTGCATGTACATAGTACAAATCCCCCCATAGTACAAATCCCCCCTTCCTTGTGTGCGTCACACACAAGGAACGGTGCGCGTCAACCAGCTTAATGTCCCGCCCATGGGACGTCGTTGCTAGGTAAAAGGGCGCCCTCTTTCGTTGGTGCACGGAGCCCATAGACTAATCCCTTCAGGCTTCATTTCAAAACTCAACTCAGGCTTCAAAAAGGAAAATTGCTCATTACAAATTTGAAAAAGCAGTGGTGTCATCAGTAGAGCATTTCAACCACTCAGGTTTTTTTCTGGAATCCCAGTATTTAAAATCGGCATTGAAAAAAAAGTTGACACGAAACAGACCTTGTCTTTCATTGGAAATACAGCTTAAGATGGTTTAGAAGTTACAAAAATGAATTTGTTGTCATCAACTAAACATCGATAGTTAACACCCTGCTGTCCAAAAGAACGACATCATCACCAAGATTTCGTCTCATTTTATGCAGCCAAACTTCCTACGTACTTGTGTGGTTGGCTCTTCGTAAGACCTGAACGGGCCGTTGAACATATATATTCCGTTGGCGTAGAGCGTCAGGGGTACTGGGTCCGGGGCCACAAACCGAGCCCCGCTGACTGTGTGCCGGATGCGTTTCTCGCCGTCGCCAGCAACGACGTTCAGTTCCTTGATGTTCTTTATGATGCGATCGAAATCAACGTGGAAGGGGCCCTCCGGCTGTACAACTGATGCACCTGAGATGTGATTTAACAGAAATATTTTAACAGGAACCACTAATACCATAGTTGTACACAAGTTATTACAAGTGCATCGCAGGTTCAGTTTTCATTTATAGCTCCGGCAGATATGACATGCAAATAGCCTTAAACATTTCATTATGTCCTCTTTGTTAATCTCTAACTATTGTTGAGTTTTCATTAAAAAGGGGCAAGTTGTATCTCACCCGTCCACCACTGTATGAAATTTTCTGCGTCACTAATTGTGAAAACAGAAAGACTTTCTCCTCTGCCCTATTTTCACAAATTCTGAGCTTTCATGGACCACAGCTATTTTGACTTCTTCCCTTCAAACTCCACCAGGACGTTATGGAGGTTTTTGTGAAATTGAGAAAGGCAGAGCCCAGCCATTATTATACACATTATTAAAGGTCAATGCCTCTCAAAAGATTAACTCCAAAGAATTTCCCATTGTTTCCTACAAAGTGGTCGATTTTGGAAGATCTGAGAAGGTTCCTTTGAAAGAATTTCAGCAAGCTTAATACCTGGTCTCCAGACACTGGCTGGTTGAGACGTTTCCCCAGGATGAGACAATTCCTCGTAAACACTCCCATCTGTTCCTCCAACACCGTCAGCCTCAGCGTTGCCAACCCAGACCATGCCATAATCAGACAAGAAATCCTGACCAAATAGAATACAATTGACACTAATAAGTATGTCCACAAAGGCAACATTAAAAAAAAAATAATGTAAGAATGCAAACAAAAATTGACAAGAGTGGGCCCTATATAACTCCAGAACACCATAACAGCGCTATTTACACTTCAGAACCCAAGTATTGGTTTTGAAACCAGGATCGGGGTATCTGAAGTAATACATGGAAGTTCATAGTCTATGTAATATCCCCTTGCACAGCAAGAGTCTTTGATATGCAGGAAGATTTGGCAATTTATTATGCAAAACAAGACTGCATCTTGACCTTGAGATTCTGAAACTGCAACGGGTGCCACCTTTTTTGGTCTTTGGTAAGGGCCCGTGACCATTCAGCCCTGTTATGAAAAGGGCCCCCCGGTAAGCTCGTCCCCTCCCAAGAAGTCCTCTCGTACCGTCCCAGCTACCGGCCCAGGAGCTGGTCCGGTTGTTAATCAGGAACTCCTCTATCCTGGGGTCTATTGTTTGCAAGTACTGACACATGTAATATATCCCAGAAGGCACCCGCTTGTGGTTTTCATCTCTCAGCGCGAAACAATAAATAATAGAACACTTTCGCCAGCACAGATCAAAACCCCTGCCATGCGGTTTCGCGCACAATGGGACCGTAAATTACCAAGGCGTTATGGAAGGATTTTATCTTTAATCCGGTAAGTCTGCTATTGTTCTGCTCTGGACGTTCTCTGAAGGGCAATAAATTGATGCGCCTGACTGACTTCAAAACTTCTGGTCAGACAGGACCATGTACCGGACGAGACTGGGCTGAAGACCGGACTGGCTTTAGACCAGACGAGGTACCGGGGGGCCCTTTTCATACCAGGGCTGAATGGTCACGGTCCCTAACCCTTGTTGTATTACAAAAACATGGCAGCCAAATTGACCAATCAAAAGCTTAGTCCACATTTCTGATCATAATGACATCACAATGTGTAAAGTCGACTCCGATTGGCTAGCGCGCGGAGTCACATAAACTTTGCATTGCTCACATACATCAGACATTGGTTACGGAGAGGGCTCCGTTGGACAACGGGTGCTACTCAGACTAGGAAGTTCATGGCTTCGTGTCTGAACAAAAATGGAGCAAACACACACAATGAGCTAAAGGCAAATTCTTATCTATTTCAAACAGAGAAATGATGACGACACATTTCATACCTCCATGTCTTTGATGGTTTGCTGCAGCTCCTGGCATTTCCGTTCCAAATCTCTCACTTTGCCTGACTCGGAGTTCGGGTCTCCTGCATGTCAGAAAATACTCTTTTAGGCCAAAAAAAATAAATACTCGGTCTCTGGTCAGCGCGCGCGTCGATTTTAATCATGCGCGTCAACCTTTTCTTTTTCTTCAAATTAACACGGAAGCGACAACAGCGCCCTCTATTGCCGCACCTCCTCAAATTTTTGTACCAAGGAGCACCAAGGAATGGGGAAATTGCACCAAGGCAAATGATAAAGGGCACCAAGGCAAATTATGGAGGACACCAATGTATAATGAGGACACAAAAAAGCAAAATAGTACCCACCTTGTCGTTACAATACAAGCTTAAAAAAAAAAAAAAGCCACCAAAAAAAAAAAAAAACCGCGTCGCCACATCAATTCCGGAACTTCAGTCTGACCAGAGACCGACTATTTTTTTTTGTGGCCTTATCAGCGTTTCTTTTATTCTGAATTATTTGGGTTGAGGAGCAAAACGATATACTACATTAACAAGAAAAGAGTAAGCAACCTAATCACCCACCTAAAAAGCTGAAAGGCCGAGGAAAAACAAAAGGTTTTAACATTCCTTCCAAAAACTAAGCAAACCCAAACTTTCATATATGCGCCACTATTTTTCTGACTGTTAAAGACGTACAGAAACCACCTGATAACGAGAATTGAATTGCAATACTGCGGGAATACCCCCCCCCCCCAAAAAAAAAAACCCAACTGATGACACATACCTTTGTATTTTTGCAAAAGTTTTGTCTTCTCTTCCAAAATGCTGATTTTCTTATCCTGCCAACATAAAGCAACAAGAGGAATTCTCAATCCTTGCACAAAAAGCATCCACGAGAAGATTGGGTATAGCATTTCTTCCTGATTAACACAACAGGGGGTTTCCCCAAGTACAGTGTTTTAAACTTCTAACTTTGTCACATGTGTTTTGGTGATGTGTATTTTATTTTGACTTTGTTTGGATTTAAAGGGAATATACATCATTTGCTTTTGCTGTAATTTTCAGAAATGGATGGAATTGGGGGGTTGGAAATATATAGCAAATATAGTTACACTGACTTTTTTGAGGTTTTGGGTTCGAAAATGCTATAAAAACCAAGAAAAACAATCATTTTCCTGTAGTCTGGTTCCCTGACTCCATATAAGAAGAAACAGAGCAGTTTACATACATTGGGGAATTGTAAGGTCAGGGAACCAGTCTAGCTGGCTCGTACCTGTTCATAGGTGTTTGTAATCGATTGCAAACAAGTGCGATGGTCAATTGGGGCCAGTATTTGAAAAAAAGCCAGTTTTTTTCCAACGCTGGTCGGCCGACCAGCGTTGGAAATTGATACAGAAATACCACTTTTCTTGAAAATGACAGTATACCAGGTGCCATGATTTTACAGGATGCTTTACACTGTCATTCACTAACAGTCCAGCAAGGTATTTCAAAATGATTTGGTAGTTTTATTTTTTGATGTTTGCAAATGTTGTATTTTCCCTTTAATACAAATACCTTCTCGAGGATTTCCTTGGTGTAAAACTGAACCTGCAGTTCCAACTTAGCAATGCGGCTCATCATGTTACTCATCAGCTCATAGTCTGAAGGAGCTATCACAAAGAAAAGTGTGTAAAATAATGAAGTGAAAATTGATCGTTCGTATATGTCAATCAATTCAATTGGAAACTGTCTGCTAAATCTTTGCCAATAAATTTTGAAATTATGAAGCCAAACAGCAAATGCCCTGCTCCATCACTACTCGGTTCAATCTCCACTAACATCAGCAAAGTTTCTCATGCTCACCGGGCTTGGAGTCCTTGGAGAGTTTGGGCAGATGCTTGTTGGCTCTACTCCCCATGGTCTCGCTCCTGCTGGTGGATAAACTAGACTGACGAGAGACCGATCGGCCAAGGATGTCCTCATCATCCTCTGCAAGAAAAAGTTACAAATGCGATGACTCGGATGATAGTGGTGGTTTGGTAAGGATCAAAATTGCAGAGTTGCGCAAGGATTCAGAATTTGCAGTAAAATAAGCATTGCGTGTAAACTGAAGAATAGTTGATCCTTGATTTTGCACATTCGTGACCAAAAAGAGAGAAAAAAACAACTTTTTTCAATTTCGAAAATCCTAGCTGACATTGCTGGGACAAGGGCAGGGTAAACAGTTTTCAGTAAAGAACTGGGTTTATAACATAACAGGATTATTAGGGAGCTTGTAAAAAGGTGAAGTTAGATGAGTTATAATAGCAGTTTGTTCAAACCCGCTACACCCAAGCTTTTACGTTTTCACTCAAATCTACTCACCAAAAAGATCGGTGGGGTTTCTGAAAGGGGCTGCCCTTTGCCTGTTTGGAAGAAAGCGATTTTTGAATATTTGTAATATTCAGTCATTTCTGTGTAACCTTATCATCATACATTCCACATAAATGGAAGGGGAAAAGACTCACTAAAAAGTGAGGTAAAACAGATATGTAATTTCAAGGAGTATTGTGAATAGAAAATAACAAGTCATTTCGATATTTAAACAGATTTTTCTTGTAGATCCTTATAGTTTACGTTGCTTTATTATGCTCCAGACAAAGTTGAGTACATGTAAACCAAACAAAAATGTTACAATGAAATGTTTCAATACATTACATCGTACATTAACTTGTATGAAAAGTTGAAAAGAATGTTGCATTCTGACGCCACTTTTTTTTATCATATATTATCTCAATGCAGTTCAGTCACTGCAAAAATGTTGAAAAAACTTGAATTTGGGACTGAGAAACATTTCCAATTTGTTAGAAAATACTTTGAAAACACACTCAACTCTCCATAGACTTTGTACACAACCACAGAAGTGGCTTCAGGATACTCCATTCTTTTGGAAAATTTTGTATGTACTGCAGGTCATTGTCTTTCACAAGGGTCCAAAAACAGACTCTTGAACTCTCTACTGTCAAATCTTACCCAGTCTGATTGACACCAGGTAGAGGTGTTTTCCTCGGTTTACGGAGATTGGTCAAAGGGCCTGCCATCTCAGCTCAAGGGAAAGATAGAAACCTAAATAAACACAGACTATCGTGACTGTTACAGTTGTGTCAGTAAAGCAAAGAATGCATTTATGTTTTAACTCCACTTTCCATTTTACACTTTTTTTCGCATCCTTTAGTTAAAGTTTGATCTTTGCTCTATTGCAGCAATATAAACAAAATAATACCTTTAGGTAAAAACTACATGTATATCAATTTATTTTGTTTACTTTCTTCAAAATATGTAAACAAATATTTTTTTATATATAATAATATAGGAATAGGGAAAGGCTAATTTTAATAGGGCCTAAATGTAATATGTTTTGATAAAGTTGGAAAGAAGTGTGATTGATATGATAACCAATGTATTACTAATACTTAGCCTATTTATTTAGGGAGCCTATAACTTAAGCTGAATAATCATTTGTTTTAATAATAACTGGTTTTTTTTAGTATTTAATACGATACAATAACAATAAACAAAAGCTATGTTATGCTGCAGGAATTCACACTGACATAAGTGACAATTAATATTATGACATTGACAACACTGTAGCCTTAGCCGTAGTCTATGGCCCGCACTGGAGTGGACTCTGCATGCTGGAGTCTGTGAGTACTCCAGTGCGGGTCATAGACTAGGGCTATGTAGGCCTACTAAAAGTAATAATAGTATGACACAATTGTTTTTAAAATCGAAATGATTAATTTTTTTATAATTTTTTATTTTATTTTAAGAAAACATTTTGAGTTCTAGGCTACAATCGTAAGTACTAACTACTATACTCTGTTACATTACAAAATTTTCATTATTTGAAATAGTACAAATATGTAGAAGAATATATTTACTACGCTTAAGTTATGTGCTGTGAATCCATTTGAAAACAAAGAACAGCTGCAAGACGTTGTGTCCGGAAACTAGGCACGATATATAATTCATATATTATCTATTTTTCCGCAACATTTATCTTTAAAATGACACACGTTTAATTGTAAAGAAATTGCACATGCATTGTTACGCATTTAGGGTTGTTTTAACTTACCTTGAACGTTATTTTGAACTAGAAATGGTCGTTGTTTACATCGTGTTCCGTTGTCAACATCGTCGGCTGGAAGCCATTTTGTTCATTTCTGTTTGTTGTGTCAGCTCACCTCCAGTAAGGAGAATAGTTCATTAGTAAATGTAGGGGGAAACAGATGACTTTAAAACTAGCACGAACAGATGAACAATTGATTTTCAGTGATCTATAAAATTCAAGGAACGATATTTTTCTCTCGTACATAAAATTCAGTTAAAAAAATGATAATTTCCAAATTCAAGAAACAATTTTTAATTTACTTCTCTGAAGATGTGACCAAACTAATAATGATCACTCCTTCAAAAATGAACTCGCCATTATGCAATATTTTGTTTTCAGAATATTGTGATAGGAGCAGCTTTTATTGAGCTATGAGAGGGATCTAAAATAAACCTGGAAAGCCTGAAAATGAAGAGTTTACTCATAACCCCAATCCGTTGCAATCTATTAAGAAGTTTGAGTTGCGCACTATTAACTGGAAGGTTTTTCAACAGTTTCAGTTTGTTGGTGAATTCACATAGCAAACCAGCTTGCCAAAAGGCGTTACGGTGTGTAGTTGTACTTGTAGGCAAGCATGCTTCACTTCATATGACGGCTTTCCAGTCTGCCTACAAATTGAGAGAGCATCTGAAAGACTGCTACCAAGTGTTGAACGTTGATCCAGAAAGCACCAGCATCCCGGAAGCGAAGGAAGCCTTCCTCAAGCTAGCCAAGGAATATCACCCAGATACTAAATCGCCAACCGCTGATGTGCGAAAGTTTAATCAGGTCCAGGAAGCCTATCAAGCAGTACGAGCAGATCTCGAAACGAGAAACGAAGATGCGATGGGAGAGGATAGTGTGAGAGACAGGGGGTTGGACTTTGACATTGAGCACACTGCTCCCCAACACCGCCAGTACTTGGAGTTCGAAGGCATCGGAGCGGGGACCCCTTCCCAGCGACATAAGCACTACCAGAAGTTCCGGGTCCAGCGAGCCATGAATTCAGTCTCCGAGCATCGAGTTGAAAGGATTTTACTAGACAAGGAGGGTTCAGCTTTAGTCAACCTGGACAAGAAGGCTGCCAAACAGATCAAGACCACCAACGTCATCGATAGACTGGTTGAGGATCTCATCAAAGATGCCATGAACAAGGGGGAGTTTGAGAATCTGCCCAACAAGGGGAAACCTCTCCCGGACAAGACACGGATGTGCCCCTACTGGGACATCAGTGACCACAACCTGAACCAAGTGCTGGTCAATAATGGCTATGCTCCGGAGTGGATCCAGGCCGAGCGGGAGATCAGATCGGAGCTCCTGGACATGAAAGACAACCTCCTGAAGGCCAGGCTTAAGCTAGGCCCCGAACCTCTGAACGACTTCAACCAAAGCAAGTGGCAGGACCTCTTGGAGACCTTCAAAGAGAGAATCAAGTCCCTGAACAAGAAGGTTGAGCGAAGGAATCTGATTGTGCCAGTCCTCCGACTCCAGATGGTGCATTTCCAGCCGCAGAGAGAGATTGACAAAGTCCTAAAGGAATATGACGATCTAGAAGGGACTAGGATCAAGATGCAGGATGAAAGACTGAGAGAGAATCAACAAGCTGAGAGATTTATGAAACTGGATGGCCAATTCTTTGGCAAGATTGGGGACAAAATTTTCCAGAAACTTTTCTTCTCTGACAAAGAGAGGATATAAAGACCTTTGTATTTAAATAAAGACTGCCAGATGTTGGAGAGGGGGACTTTTGGACAATTTTGTAGAAGTTCATCCAAACAGTTTGAGTTTAACCTTTGGAGGAAATTACCCAGGATGTGTGAACAAAGATAATTTAAACAATTGCTGTGCCTTGTTATTTATCAAATACAAGAAGTGATAAAAGATTGCCTGTGTTATGTACGAAACTAATTGTCCCCGTCTAGCTTTACATGACGGACATGTAATTTTATTCAATGTTCACAATGATCCCTTTTTTAACTTGTCACAAAAACAATGTCGGCACGTTTTAATTCCCAGTACTTAGATTAGTTCGTTCTGTTCACTAGGTTTCATATTGGACAAATGATTGATACGCCCATCTGTACATAACTATTAATTATAAATTTATGAAATTTATTTTGTGGTCATCAAAAGAAAATGGGTGATAATGCATGGAACTAAAATGTGTTTGCGAGCTAGAAGTACACCAAATTCTGTCTTGTGCATCTTAATTCCACATATTTTTTGATAGAAAAAGCATTCCTTACTATTATGACATTACTATCTGAATAAATAGTTGCGAGATGAATTTTGAGGAAACGAAAATTTAAGAAGCGTGGATATTTTTCAATCGAGAATCCATATACATCTAATATTCAATCACAAGAAAATGAAGTTGGGTGTACCGCGCGCCCCGCCCCCATTTTGGGTTTCTCTGTTCTTGATTCATGCCGCCCTCTATCGGTAAAGAAAAATCTAGAAAAATCGAGATTCAATACATGCAATATGGCGGACTCCAGCGAGGAACGATTTGACGGCATGCTGATGGCGATGGCCCAGCAACATCAAGGGGGCGTACAAGAGGTAAAGAAGCAATTAGGAGGTTGGAAAATGTGACAACTACTTGGACGTATGGTGCATGTGGAATTATTTTATGCGCTTCGGTTTTGTTTAGGCATAGGCTAGGCCCTAGATTTAAAATTGATCTTTGCGACGTGCACAAATCATACCATTCGACATGTAATTCAGACACTTTTTTTAAACAATAACATGATTAAAGTCGGACGTAGGCCTAAGTGCTCCCAGACTCGAGATCCATTGCGTTTCAATAACATAGGTCTGGGAGCTAGATGAGCATAACAAGCCAATGTAAAAAAAAAAATCCCAGATGTCCGGCCTGGGTGCCTGTCGGTGTTATTCTGTCATTTCTCATAATTTCAACTCAAAACTGTACGTACTAGTAGGATGGGTTGCCCTATTATCGCGGTACTTATCACGTTTCTCGTTCGGAATAGAGATTGCCCACTAACCTTCCTGAATTGTCCTGTCTTTTGTGTAGTATAACTCTTCCTTTTTAAATTAATATAAAAAAATCCGACGGTTGGGTGGTCTATTCCGTGTACGATGCCTGTGAAAATAGACATGCGCGGCGTGTGCGAACGGAGGTGGACTCCCTATTATCGCGGTATGCGGGAAGTGGTTTTTATAATGATCCCAACTTTTTTGTTCATAGTTTATCTTTGACCAAAACACCCCCTGAATAAAGTCTGATATTTTCCCTGTAACGTTCAAGTTGATTAAAGACAAATTTTCTGCAGGATGATTTCTTAAGACCCTGCCCTTCCCCCGAAAGGAGAACACAAATCCCTGAGGCAAGTCTACTGATCGGCGATTGAGGGCGCCATTCACTTTACACGGTGTGCCGTTTTATTTTCGCTAACGCGCGGTGCTTATTTTGATCCCGTAAAAGTTGTTACGATTTCGCGCTGCAAATATCGTCGTTCGACTTCATTTTACATTTGCAGCTGAAGAATGGGAACCAGACAATGGAACTTTCATGGACAGAGCACAATTAAAGATTTATGTTAAAATATAAACGGTACCTTTTAGCAGACACGGTGAGGGAAAATTTTGCAAGTTTTGGAAAACGTTAATATTTATAAAAATCGTTAAAAGTCCCGAAAGACACAACATTTTTTAATCGTCCTTTTTATACAACTCGGTAGAAAATCCTTGATGACTGGTGAACTGGATAAAAATCGCCACTTGAAGGAGTTTTGACAACGCAAAAAGAGAAATTTCCCATGCCGCGATAATAGGGATGCCGCGATAATAGGGAGTCCGACTATACTAATTCAATGATACAACGTTCAAGAGTTAAGAAAGAATGTTGCATCCTGACAGTGACACCACTTTTGTCCATCAAATATTTATATTATCTCAAGACTCAAATCATGTCAATGAGGGTCAGTCATTTGACATTTCATTATTGAAAAGACATGAATCTGGGACCGAGAAACATTTCCAACTTTGTTAGCAATCCTTTGAAAATGCACTCGACTCTCCATAGACTTTGTACACAACCAAAGAAGCAACATCTTGATTCTTTCCAAGACTGGCAAGAGTTATACTCTTTTTAATTGACTTATCAATTAAAGTATTATATGGTTTTCTTTGCTTTCACCAGCTTATCACCACATTTTTCTCCTTCTTGAGAAGGAAGACTGACTTTTACCATGGTGCACAAAAAGGACAAGCTGAAAAGGTAGGTTGCATTTGAATACCTAAAATCGATTTTGCATTTGATTTTTTAGAGTTATTTCAAAATAGGAACTTCAATCATGTTGTCCTTAGTAACTTAATCCGAATATGTCCCAGGAAGATAATGCTCCTAAGGGAATCTTGTCTGTAACAGCACGTCATCGAAGCCTTCAAGAAGCAACAGGCTATGGCGATGGAGGAGAAACGCAAGCGAGACGAGGAGTCGGCCGCAGCCAGGAAGGCCAAGGAGGAACGAGAGGCTAAGAAACGGGCAGAGGAGGAAGCCAAGAGGAAAACAGCTGAAGATGAGCCCAAGATACGGGAGATAACAGATGAGGAGGCTACCAGGCTGCAGGAAGAAATTAAGGTAATAAGAAATCGGGAAGAAAGAGCAGTATTCACAACTTCAAGTACATTTGCCCTACGAGTACAAACTTGTACATTTCTGAAAGAATGTAAGCATGAGCACAAGACTTTTACTTTTCCATGGGTAGGATTAGATTTCAGTTGGTATATTTGTTTAATTCCTAACTCCTGTTTTTTTAATTATATTTCGTTAAACAAACTGTAGAATGAAGGAGCTGCAGAGACCAATGGAACTGCTAAAGAGACAGATGAGAAAACTGCAGAAAAGGAGAAATCTTCTGAAAAAAAGGTAAAATAAGCACGAGGCCACTTTTTCAAATCTTGTCTATTTTACAATTATAATTCAGGGGCAAGAAGTTTGGTATGTCAATTTGGAAAGTATTAGTTAAGGCAACAATTCGGGTGAGATTTAAATGTTATAGATTTTACCAAACTATCCTGAGTAATCCATCAAGAAAATTATCGACAGTTGAGATGCATCCTTGAGGCTGCGGCATCTCATTAAATCTTGTTTCTATGGCAACCCATCTTCTCTAGGATGAAAGTGATGAAGAAGAGGACGAGAAAGACAAAAACAAACTCAAACCCAACGAGGGCAACGGCGGGGACTACCCACACTACAGATTCACTCAGACACTCAGCGAACTGGAGGTGAGTTCTCAATTCCTACGGGGTTTGTCTCATCGGAATACCTACGGAGAACAATATGAGAAATGTGTCCGTCTTGCTTACAAATGTCGAAATCTTTAAACGTAATCATTCCAGATCCTTCAAAATCCATCTGGAGTAATGAAGTACTCTCTGGGCCAAGACCAAGACTGTACAACTTTTCTTCCTTGTTTGCGTTTTCTTTAAATATTGAATAATTGTTTCTCTTGGATTTCCTATAAAACAGGTCCACATTCCGTTTGAAGTGCCTTTCCCGATCAAGGGCAAAGACCTGATCGTGGAAATTGACCGGAAGCGGTTAAAGGTCGCCCTGAAGGGTCAGCCACCGGTCCTGGAGGGCCAAACGTTCAACGAGATAAAAGTGGAGGAGTGCAACTGGGTCATCGAGGACAAGAAGCGGGTGGTCCTCTTTCTTGAGAAGGTATAAGATATAAAGATTACATTTACATTTATTTCAGGATGTGGGTATGTTACCCCAATTAAAAAAAAAGCAGAAATTCAGTTTTTAAAACCCAAACTGTTTTCCTTTGACCTTGGCTTCATCTCTGACTTTGTTTCAGTGCACCTTACTGAGACCTGTAAACAGGAATTCAGGTGTGGTTAAAAGCGGTTGAAGAGAAATTGCTGTAAAGCGTCCTACTCATGGACATATGCATAATCCTTTGAAAGCCAACCCATAAAATGAATATTTTCATCAATAGGTTAACATGATTGTGATATCCGTTTGCAAATGTCTCATTTCTTCCTTTCCTGTGCAGATAAACAAGATGGAGTGGTGGAGTCGAGTGATTCTCACTGACCAAGAAATCAACACGAAGAAGGTCAACCCAGAAAACTCAAAGGTGATTTCAGATTTTTCTATTTTTATCCTAGTTGTCGAATATCACAGACATACTTCCTTCATCTACAATAAGCAGATTATTTGTCACTGGTTTTTTTTTTATTTTTAAGGCAGAGACATTCTTCAAAGATTTGTTGTCCTTGTAATGACCGTATAAGTAGGGGAACGACTGCCTTTAACAGTTTGAAAACTGCCCCAACATCCCACTCAGATAGTCAGAGATCAGCCAGCAAATTATTGTCCATGTAACCTCTGACCCAGGCTCAATTAAGTTTAAAGTTCCATGGACACATACGAGAGCAAGCTGTAGCCAATTTAGAGTTGGCCTTACTTTCTGGCAAAGATCTCTGAAATCACCTTTTCCAATGAAACTAAAATGTCTGCAGTTATCTGACCTGGATGGGGAGACAAGGGGGATGGTGGAGAAGATGATGTTTGACCAGAGACAGAAGCAGATGGGACTGCCCACCTCGGATGAACAGAAGAAACAGGAGATGCTTCAAAAGTAAGACTGTCTGAACCAGGCATTGCTTGGCCATGGCATTATCTGTTGACACATGTTGTAGCAGTCGACACTCGTTATACAAACTTTGCTGGACCAAGCCAAAATGTTTGTTATATCAGAACTATGTGTTAAAGGGAATGTACATCATTGGCTTTCGCTTTAATTTTTGAAATGAACTATTTGAGGGGTTAGTATAATATGATCAAATATTGTTACACTGACATGTTTGAAGTTTTGTGTTCGAAAATGCTGGAAAAACCATGAAAAACAAAATGTTCAAGTAGTCTGGTTCCCTGACTCAATTAAAATTGAAATGGATCAATTTATAGATGCCGAAAAATTGTGAGGTAAGGGAACCAGTCTAGCTGGCCTGCACTCGTTCATGAACATGTAACCAATAGCAAACACAATTTGGCCTGAAACAAATGGTAAATTTGGAGCAGTTGAAAAAATAGTTAGGTTTTTCGAACGGTGGACGGCCGACCACCGTTGGAAATGAATACAAAAATACCATTTTCTTGAAAATGACTTCACACCAGATGCCATAATTTTACAGGATGCTTAAGAGTGTCATTTACCAACATCCTAGTTAGGTATTTCATAAAAACTTGGTAGTTTTATTTTTCGATGTTTGCAAATGTTGTATTTTCCCTTTAAGTGGAGTTCCAGTCTTATTCACTGTACAAGTCAATGCAGTCGGGACCAAGGCTTCATGTTTGCTATAGCCAGAATTTGTATTAACAGTGTTTCTATTTAACGAGATTCGACTGTAGTGATAGTCGGTATCTTGATTACGATATGGCATTGGACTCCTCAAAATAACCTTAACATGTGTTAATAGCAGATGTTCTCTTTTTTGGGTGGGTGACAAATGCAAACATTGGATTGACAGACAGTCAAATAGACACATAGGTTAGGACAATTAAAACAGACGGACAATTTTTATACCAACTTAAAGGGAATATACATCATTTGCTTTTGCTGTAATTTTCAGAAATGGATGGAATTGGGGGGTCGGAAATATATAGCAAATATAGTTACCCTGACTTTTTTGAGGTTTTGGGTTCGAAAATGCTATAAAAACCAAGAAACACCAATCATTTTCCTGTAGTCTGGTTCCCTGACTCCATATAAGAAGAAACAGAGCAGTTTACATACATTGGGGAATTGTAAGGTCAGGGAACCAGTCTAGCTGGCTTGTACCCGTTCATAGGTTTGTTATCGATTGCAAACAAGTGCAATGGTCAATTGGGGCAAGTATTTGAAAAAAGCCAGTTTTTTCCAACGCTGATCGGCCGATCAGCGTTGGAAATTGATACAAAAATACCACTTTTCTTGAAAATGACAGTATACCAGGTGCCATGATTTTACAGGATGCTTTACACTGTCATTCACTAACAGTCCAGCAAGGTATTTCAAAATGATTTGGTAGTTTTATTTTTTGATGTTTGCAAATGTTGTATTTTCCCTTTAATGGTTGATTCCACATCTCTGATTGATTCCACAACATGTGCTTTTTTTTTTTATCTCCGCAGGTTCATGAAGCAACACCCTGAAATGGATTTCTCCAACGCAAAGATCAACTAGATATGGGAACAAACACGCTATTGACTGATGTCAGGAAATTACAGGAAATATATCAGCCTTTTTGTATATAATATCATGTTACTTGAAATACACAGTTTAAATTATTAATGCACTTTTATGCTTTGCTGCAATACGCATTGCATGTATTTCTGGGGTTTTTTGGTTTCTAAATTTTTTCAGTTCAATACCATTACCAGTTGATATATTCAAAGGGAAAAAAGTTCCTCAATTCATACAATGGCTTAGCACTGAGAGGCTGTGTTTCAGTACTACTGCTGGGCGAGTACCTGGAGTACTCATGAGTAGTTTATGCTACTCATTCTACTTGTGAGTTTTTCATCTACTCGAGTACTCGCCATGGCATGAGCAGAAGCATGTACTTGCGAGTAGCTATTTTTTTTTTTAAGGAGTATGATTGACCAAGTCAACAAGAAATGACTCGGTGCGAATGTGCGGTGACTTGCATGCAATTTGCTTGTTACTTTGGAAGAATTCACATCGTAATAACTTGCAAATGTCATTTTTCTGCTTTTTTGGGAATTCAGTTAACTACTCATGAGCAATCGACTACTCACGAGTAATTTGTCTTTGGGTACTCTGTTAATAATAAATAATAATACCGGAGTCTTATATAGCGCACGTATCTACCTACAATTAGGTACTCAAGGCGCTGGAAATTATGTCTGTTATTCAAGACAAGAAATGAAGTTGATGAGAAATATGAGACCCATTATGTAGCACCTTATAAGTGTTGAAACATCGCAATGAAAACGAGAGGAACATTTACAAAATATGTCTTTTTGTATTTAATTTTATATTACTTTAAAAACTGAAAACTATGACGCGAGAATTGTACCTTGTACGTCTACCTTATTACACAGTTTAATGCCCTTTCATGCTATGCTGCAATACACAGTGTTTCTAATTTTTTAATTGTTATTTTTTTCACTTTTTTGTGGTGATTGGAAATACGATGCCATTACCAGTTGATGTATGTAGATTCAGGTGAGGGATATGGCTTAATCATTTACACTATAAACATAAGATAATTATAAATTTGATAAACAAAAATGAAACCAATAATTTTTCATCTGATTTCTTTCTTCAACTCTGTCTAGGAGTGACAATAAACGTGGCCATAATAATGATGTAAACCTGTGGAATAAAATTAATGCAAGAATAAAACTTGAGACAGGAAAAACAATTTGTTTTATTTCTTTTGCATAGTTATTTTATTACACAAATGAAAAAAATGACAATTTTTATAAACAAAAAATATATATTCTATGCAGAAATTGGTAATTTTTGGTCATATTCATACCTGTGAATGCACAGATTGAAATAAGATTTGAAGGCTTGCAGGGTCTCCTGGTGACAGGCAGAGTATACCGTCCGAAACAAGTTGTTCTCGGTTCGTTTTAGAACCTCACAAACTCACAAAAGAGATTTGTCACATGGTGCTACAGTAAACCATCTAAATACACAGATTGCAAATCCTTTTCTGTGCACAATTAGAATTATGAAATTTGTCAAGCACTTGTAAAATCACTTGTTGCGAAAACCCTTTGTGTTGTACGTTACTCTAAATGTCATCACATGGAATTTGTGAATAGGCCACACACGACCATGCATACTTGTTCCATACCTGTGGGGACCGCACACCTGATGAAGGACCAAAAACACTAGGGGACAGTCAAAAGTCCCCACAACTGTGTCAAAATTGTCCAGGTGGACAGTTTCCACATGGCTCAGTCCCACTTATGAATAATAAATGCCACACACAATCCATGAAGTGGATGTTACTGTACTTGGACAACCATCTGTTACTGACTCATACCATGAACCATCCATCTCAAAAACGAGCCTCACATTCGAGACGAGCTGATCTTCAGCACTTTACCCGAGGTATCCGTGTGTTCGTCATATTCCACCCCATGTCAGCCTGGATACGTGATCTGTCTTCTTCCGTGTCGCCTTGATGAATCCCAGAAACTGGAGTTCGGATACGGCACGGATGAACCGAGCCCTGTGTGAGGTCAAAGGTCAAGGAGACAACAACCATGTAAGCTCGACAAGTGAGGAATGGACATCTACAGCAGCATGGACTTGGTGCATTGACAGTAAAACTACATGTACAAAGTAACTGTCACAAAAAGCTAGTTGAGCACCGTTGGTTTGTTTACATACATTTGAAGTAATTTGTTGGTACTCTGAGCCACATTAGCATGCTAGCCAATGTGTGTATGCAGTGTCCTTCACTTGTTCTCAAGAGTGGTTCATGCTCAAATCTAATAACACTGTATCACTGGTAACCAGCAACCCCCAAAAATAAAACAGAATCAATAAGTACATCAAGTCGAATCAAAGTATTCAATGACTGGATAAACGATCTCTTAAAACAAAAGGTTAAATCTCTATGAGAAATTTTATGATTGGAGCTTTTCATCACAGTCACTCATTAATGATGAAAAAGGATACTGCAGCTGTGGATTTGGTTTCTTGCTGTTGCCGTGGGAACTGCCATCCTCGTCTTGTTCTCCTGTTACCACAGTGATGAAGGCCTGTCCAAAAATCAATCCACATAAGTCTCAATGAAACAGGCTATCAAAGGATGTTATTTATGTCTACCCCAATAGACCTGTCTTTGCCAAACACGGGTTGACAAACTATGGAAGGTCAATGTCGCAAAATTGAAGAATAGCTATCAATGTTTCAAAACATAATAAAATAACCAACAAACATTACCAAAGACTAATAAGAATGCCTCTTTCTTACATATTAAGGGTTTCAATTTGCAACTTTTGGCAAAATCTGATGCCATGATTGTTTTCAACATAATGAAAAGTAGCATCTGCTCAACCGGAAATGCCCACACAAGCTTTAACATGGGGAAATGACTACAAAGATAGCCCATTTTTACACTAAATTCCTTGTATCTTCAGAACGGACAGTCCCACAAATCTGGGGGTTGCAGATTATGAAAATTCATTCTTCTGGCTTTAAGTCCATCCATGTCTGGCTTGGAAAGGCAGAAAAACCACTGATCATTTTTTTCTTGAAAATGTGGGGTATGAGGCAATTTCCTATGGAGCGGAACAGAAAATGACCGTTTGTGACAGACCTTTGGTTGTTTATCTCAACGTATCTCGAGAACCCAATGTCAGAGCATACTGGGGGTAGCGGTTTTGTAAAGAGGATGAAGTTCTCTTTCCATTCATATAAGACTCGATTTCATTGATTAAGAAACCACTGATGATTTTTTTCGTCAAAGTTTTCCCCTAATGACTGGATTTCTTGCAGAGGTCAGTTGTGTGAGTGCACGTGGCCAGCGTGTTGCATGTGGTATCCAAATCGCAAGGTCAATTGGGCAAACGGTGGAGCTGTCTCACACACATCATCTTTTGCGCGTTTGGGCCCCAAACTTTTCATTATGTATACAATTTTTGGCAAAATCTGTTGCCAACCATGGCTTAAATTGATGCCCCAGTGGTAGCACACTCAAGATGGTGCTCATTGTTTACCAACGAAAGAAAGGTCTACATATTGGCTTGATTTGTAACCTTTCCGTTATCGATTGCCCACCTGTAGCCAGTCATAGAGGTTGATGAGTCGCCCACACTCCATATGCAGCTTGTAGGCGATACAGACATCAGGCATCGTGCTCAGGACTCCCCCAGCCTCTGCTTTACACGACTCACTCTGTGAAAAACAAAGTACAACATTAAAATTATCCAAAAAAGTTAATGAAGAAACTAAAGAACCCTTTGCTGGTGTGACCGTTTTATTTAAAGTACATAGGAATTCTGTCAAAACTCGGATTCAAGCATCCAGCAAGTGCTTTCTACAACTGGACTAGAATGGTGTACTTGTGTTTTTTGGCTTAACAACTGGGCCCAATTTCACGGCGCTGCTTAACAGTTAGCAGAAAAGGTGTGTTTAGCATAGCAGAAAAATTTGCTAACCTTAAGCACTATTTCATGGCGTGGACGTGCTAACTATCGTGCGTGCATGGAGATTTCTATTGTTACGTCACTAAGTTAAGCAAATGTTTCCTCTGAAGTAAGCGTGCCTTTTGCTGTGCTTATGCTTACGGTTTCCATGAAATAGACGGAGGCTCTGTTAGCATAAAATTGTGTGCTTAGCAGCGCCGTGGAATTTGGCCCTGGTCATTAAACCCTAACAAATTGCAAAATGGAGGATTTTGCAGGATTGCGGCTAAATGGCAAAAGTGTGTGGCTGATTTTGGAGGATACACTGTGTCAAGGTCTCAGGCCGGACCTTGTGTTGTTTATGCTCAGCCATGCATACATTTAGGCCTGTATTGTACTTGAAATCCTCCTCACTGCCATGTCACTGGCTCTGCCTCAACATGTTTATAGGGATTGCTGGAGGATTTTGCAGGATTGAGGCATTGGTCACTCCTCCAAGGAACACTTTCAAGAAATAAGGGAGGATTTTGCAGGATTGAGGCTTTATGCTTTTTTTACATGGCGGCAGTTGGAGGATCTTGCAGGATTGAGGTTACATCCTAGCAAAAATGCCTAGGGAGTTAGGGTTAAAGTGCCATTGGATCAAGTCATATTTTCATAAGACTTAAGTATTGTTCCTCTAAACTGATCTGTTTAAAATAATAAATGAGAATATTTCTGAACACATAACTTGGGTTAAACCTCTAAAAAATAATACATCTTGTTTCAATTTTAACTGGTTATTTTGGCACAGAACTTTTAAAATATATTTCGGGTCTCATAATTTGTTGAGCTACTAGCTCTTCAACTCATATGAATTTGACTTGCAATTCAAGTCCTTCTAAACCTTTTCTGTGGAGGGGATTGAAGGCGAGGGGGAGAGGGGGAAGGAGTTGGGATCAGCCTTACCTGTAGGTAGTGATATGGGTTATTCAGGGCTGTCTGTATTGCGGCTCTAGGCGAAGCGTTGATGTGGCGTCTCACATCAGTTACAGAGTTGTAATAAAAGATCTCATGGAATGTCAGATTTAGCGGACAAACCAGATACTTTCTAAAAAAAAAAAATAACACCAAAATATTTACAATTGTCCTCATGCACTTGAAATATCAAGTTTGTTTTTTTTTATGTCAGAATAATGGACATACACAACAATGGATACATACAACCTTAGCCTTTTAACAAGGCTTCATTTAAGGCCCCCAGGAAAAACAGTTCTTAGATAACTGATGGGGCTACCCTGGTAAAACAAAACGATAAATAAAATAAATAAATAAAATGAATTTATTCATTTCCAAAGAGCATAGAGTCTAATGCAATACCTGAAACCTAAATCCAAGTATTCTAGTGTCTCATTTACAAGGCTCTCATAGCGTGTCGGTTTGCGCGTCTTTTTCACCGACTCCATCAGTTTCTGCTGCAGGGAGCGCAGGGTGACACGCTCGGTCTTGGATCCTGACTCCTCACTGGTTTCTTCCTGCACATCATCAATAGGCTGGTGATCACCCTCTGGATAGTTTGAAATATTTCGGGGGATATTGAATGAGACACACAAAAATCATCCACATTATTTGCTTAAGCTAGCAGTTACCCTCTATTTAACATTTGAAATAAAGCAAGTGAATTTATTTTGAAAGGCCGTTTTTGACACATTTACTGTTGGTAATTAAGGTTAAAAGTCATATTCAAAATTATTTCTGGTACAATTTCATTGAAGTAGGTAGCTTTATATACTCTAGATCATCACATGATTAACAGAGAACTCTGCAGAAAACTGTTGATGAGGTTTGGTAGTTGTTGGTAATCGTGTCATGTAGACAAGTGGCTCATTTCATGGCCCTGTCATCACTAGCATGACTATAGTAGAAAGTTCTGCATTAACTAGCCTATTCCACGGGTCGGCATGGAATTCAATTCATGTGCACAGGAACGTTGTTACCGAGGATTCTGTGCTAAAAGGGTACACAGTACACCTACACACAAAATGTTTCTGCTTGTGCTGTTAGCACAGAATGGTGATTGTTTGGTGAAGAATTCCATGGTTACTGACCTGTGATCGTTGCCAGCCGTGTGTGTAATGTCTCCAGCTGAAATCTGGCATCCTGCACCGGGTTATCGCTGCGTGTCAGTCTTTCAATGCAAGATTCCATCAAGGTCATCAGCTCATCTCTGGCCATCAGTCTAAAAACAATCAAAAAGATTGTGTACACAAACATATAAAGGGGTGGACTTTAAAGTGGCTCAATTCTGAAAATTCTTCATATCGGAATAACAACTAAACTAAAAATATACATGTACAACCAATGTTAAATATACTGTGACCTGAAAAAGAAACATCAAAATCACTGACCCAATTTGACAGATTCAACTACAAATGTCTTGCTTTGTTTTTTGTAAAAGCCATTAAACTTACTTAAGCAGACCGAATGCCTCCTTGTAGCCAGGGCTTTCCCATATGTTCCCCCCCAAGCACATTGAGTACAGCTCCCGCTGTTGCTTTCCCAGTGGGTGGTGGGGCAGGTGACCTGTTAGGATGTTCAGGCATTCCATCAGTGGATAGAACGCCCTGTGGTAATCTACCAGCTTCTTGAGCAGTTCCTGGAGTGTTTTCTGATGAGAACATGGTTACGAATATCAGCAAAATGTCAGAATAAAATAGCGAGTGTAGCACTACTTCTGCAGACATTTTGTTAAAAATTTTACGTTTTGAAAGAAATGAATGCTTAAAAAGTACATCTGCGAAGTTGAGATTAACAGAAAGTGTTTTTAAATAAGCACTTTTTTCCTATTAATATTTATTGAAAAGGTTACAATAATCTGCAGAATGACAAGATGACAGAACAAGAGTGTGAAAAGTTCAAAAAGGAGTACAGCTGTAAAACTATTTTAGAATACTGGGGGGGGGGGGGAGTAATTTCACTGACATTTTTTGTCTGTTTGCAAATAATTTACCTTAAGATGTTTGTCATCCAATAACAGCGCCCTCTGTTGTTCTGGAGGTTGATTCTCAACATACCTAATAAAAAAAATCAAGTTAGCATTGCAAAAAAAGGAAAAAGGAAAGCGCATATTCTAAACACAGTCTACTTTTAAGCCAAGTGTGTACACAACGCAAATATGAAAGTAAATTTTGTGACATCACTGTAACAGAAACTAGCAATAGCTTTGAAAATTGTACTGCAACTGTTTCATGACAAAAATGTTCTGCTCATTGCAAGAACTAACTTACTAACTAACAGACTAACAGAGATCCATGATGATTTGTTGAGTACGAAAAAGAAGGGATTTCACGAAAAAAGTAGAAAAAGTAAGAGGAAGGTAAAAAAAAAATGTAGGAACAAGTAGGAAAAGTAGGAATACTTGAAATTCTGAATCTTATTAAGGTATTAATTGGTGTGTCTTACGTTCTGAATGAGGCTGCTTGTCTGAACAGCTCTAGGTCATTGTGGCCCATTGTGCGTAGTCTGATGAGAGCCTCACCATGGTTACAGCACAACAAGCTGAGAGGGTGGCTGAAGAAATGGTCCATCATGGAGAACTGAAATGAGAAAGCAAGAAGACAAAAATAAAATTCTAGTCTAATTATTTAACCCAAAATTCTTCACATTTAAACAAGTGTCTGCAAGTCCCCCTTTGCTGAAAGAATTTGAAAACATGAAGTCTCATATCTCAGTTTGCCTTTTATCTTTCCACGTTGTAGTTATTTCTTCATTGTAAGATAAATTGACAGTGTTTTGAGGTCGATGTACCTGCAGTCCTTTGACAAAGTTGATCACGGAGAAATCGTGGAAGAGGAATATGTCCAGGAGCAGTTGGAAGACTTTGTGGCCGAGCTTGAAGGGATGGGACGGGGTCAGCAGAACCTGTTAAAATAATTAATACAACAAAAAAATGACCTACATTATTATTATTATTATGGTTTATTAAAAATCCAATGTCTTGCAGCCTTGCGGCTGAATTGCACATGGTTACAAAGATAAAACATCAACACGTAAAGGACAGGTCTAATGTTTTTGGACAAATTAAAGGGTTTGGGCAAATTCTGCAAAAAAATAATAATATGAAATCAATCTTATGATTCTAGTTCATAATCCTGATCCAGAATCCAACATATTTTACAGCATCTGACAACTTTAGATGCTCTGAAACCCCTGGCATATTTGAAAATACAGATATATCTGCTCAAATACCAATGTATCTGCTCAAAATGGCACCTTCTAAAGACATTTCAGCCAATACAGCTTATCAGGTTGGCATTTGTCTCCAGTTTCTGTGACTTGAAATGACCAAGAATATTTCCATCCACCGGGATGGGATGCCAGTAAGTCCATTGTAGTTTACTCTCAGATAATGCAGGTACCTGTTCACATTCCTGGGTATAGAGAGGCAAGTGGTGGTAAAGTGGCTTGCCCAAGGACACAACAAATAACCAGCAGCAGGATTCAAACCCCTGATCCTCTGATCACAAATCAGAAACCCTTACCACTAGGCCATGCTCCCCTGATTTTCTGCATTCCATCAAATAATGGCAAATTAATCGTCAAAGATTTAACCTCTGACCTTGCTGATGAGCTGGCTGAGATAGGCCGTTGAGGGCTTGGCCTGGAACTTCTCAATACTCAGCAGGGAGGAGACAGCCTGGGGCAGGATGCGATGGATGGCAGTCACTGATGTGGCTATGCCAAAGATCAACACTAGAGGGAGCTCTGATAGGTACTCGCTGATGAAAAAATATATCAATTACAAAACTGTTATAACCTGTAGGCCCTCAATACAAAAGTTACAAAAGTTGCAAAACTTGGTTGGAGTCAAAAACGAGGACTTTTGTTTCATCACCAAACAAACTACCACTGAAGTCTACTTATTCATAGAGTCCTAGCTCCCAACACAACCTGTGTATGCAGTAATTGTGTGTCCAGATCTGAAATTGTCCATTCTGTCAATTTTTGTCAAATTTTAATTCAGAATTCTAAGTGGAGAAAACATCAGTTCAGGACTGGAAATCTTTATTTGACAGTCTGCCTTTTCTGATCAGAGTCAGGCCAGGCCGAGATGTTTAAAAGATACCGACACAGAAATATATGCAGTATTACTTTATGTACTTCTATTCCTTTCATCAGGCATGCAACTGGGAAGTCACAAAAAAAGAGGGAAGTTAGAAAAAAAGAGAGGAAATTCAAATCTTTCCAAGACTTTTTACTGTGGTTTTTCTATTTTCAATGATACCCATGGGAGGTCAAAAAAGAAGAAATAAGCTGATGTGAGGAAAAGCTGCATGCCTGTTTTATACCTGCAGATTAGTATGAAATCTTGCAGGACTCGTGGAGTGAAGCTCTCCAAGTCTTCAAACAGCACGACGATGGGTGGAAACTCTGCATAGTTTTTGTTGAGCACGCTGCTCGATCGTCTTCTCTTGCTCTTGGGAGACTTCTTGGCCAGCTTGGGAGGCGAGGCCTCTTGCTGTTGTGTCTTTCTTTTCTGTTCAGGGAAGAAAATGTAGGAGGCAAGCATTGGCTAGAGAGTAAAGGCAAAGAGTTTTATGGTGAGAGAAACCTCACTGGCAAGAATATTGTAACATATTTGATAATAGTCTTTATGTTTGACTATACCTATATGTTAGGATATGGGGAGTACCCTTATGAGGTCACTTTTCCCTGTACAAGGGTGAAATCACAGTCTTGGTATGCTGTGGGGGTATTGCTTGGAAAACAGTGACGTGAAGACCTTGGATGTAATGTGGAACACCTGTTGTGAGAGTGGTATCAGGGATAGTCCAAATTTCGGCCTTACAATATCAATAACAGTGACACTAAGGGTGACAGCAATGGTGACAAAAACGTCACGAGCAAAAGCACTAATGATAATGACACTGAGGGGTTGACAGTAATGGCAGCATAAGACAGTGAAATGGTGCAATGACATTGACAGCTTCGGGGACAGTGCCGCTAGTTGGAACAACAACAGTGACACAGTAACAGCAAAAACTAGAGGTTCGGGTTTGTTGAGTTACAAACGCAGAGTGGTCGGGCTGGCATATTTTCTTGTGTTTACAATGACTTAATTATAATTGAACTGCACAATACCCCTCCCATTACCCTGCACCCATTACCCTGTGTTTTTCACAAAGAAAATCACACAACCTGCAGTTGAACTTGTTGCTACCTTGACAAGCCTTGTAGGCCTATCAGGAAGCGCACGTCTGGTGCTGCATGGATGGCTACTCAAGCATACGACCAGTTGGGACTATTGGTAGACTTGCCGGAGCCTCTAACGTCGTTAGAGTTTATGCAACATATGCTAATCATATCATAAAATGGCTTTTATGGGTTTTTTTCTTTGGCATGGGCATAATAAAATTCTGCACTGACTTTACGACAGAAAAGTTTGTGGCTACACGCTGTAGAAATATTAATTTTCAGCATTCAGATATGAGAGGAAAACTGGTGAAGCGCGATTTGAATCGGTTATGGAAAGAAATCTTGTTTTCCTTTTATTTGAGGCTAATTTCTATATTTTGAATTCACCTAACTTTGACCTTCCGGCATCCCCGGAAGGAAGTGTCAAACGACTTTGACTTCCGGATGATGACGCCATCACACTGTTTTTGTGTCTAGCATTCCTCACTAAACACTTTTATTATATATGTGTCTGTAGTAAAATGCTTCCGCTTTTGAGCTATATTCAGTTTTTATTGCACTTCCGGTAACACCGGAAGTAAAGGTCAAGCGGTTTTGTGTCTGGGGACAAGAAATGTTCCTCACAGCATAGTCTACAACCTCACGAAAAAACGAACACGATACTCTATTTAGTTCAAAAGATATAACGCAAACTATTTTGTCAAAATTTGCCCTTAAATCGCTTGTAATTTGATACCTGATGACGTCATGATGGCGTAACAAAAACTATAACATCTCCGTAACAAGGTACAAGTTCACACAAGGTTTTGTGATCATACCGTGAACCGTTTGGAAGAAATGTTGCTTTGTTTTGATTTCAGGCTAACGTCTTCATTTTGAATTCATTTAACTTTGACCTTCCGGTAGACCCAGAAGTAAAGGTCAAGCGAGTTCACGTACACGGCAAAAAATGTTTAGCGATTAATGGTCTATCTGATTACAGAATACAAACATCATTAAATGTTTAGTTCAAGAGTTATAAGTGAAAGTAATTGGTCACTTTTTCAGTTAAAATCACTTGTAATTTGACACCTGATGACATAATCATGACGTCAGCGTAATATGCACCACTTCCGATGAGGGTCGATATATATTGAAAGTTACAAGTTCATACCATATACCGTTTAAGAGAAAACCCGCGGAGAAGTATTGTCCGGAAAAAAAGAAAGAAAGAAAGAAAGATTAATCGCAACAAATCCAAAGAGTGGTCGGGTTGTGCCCGACCACTCAATGACAGTGTCATGGCCAAGGACAGCAGTCATGAGGTGATTTTGCCTTTTAAAAGCCACAGTCTTTTACTCAGCCCACTGTAACATTATCAGGTTAATCCCTTATAGTCCAGGCAAAATACTTCATTTTTTGAGTGAACCTCAAACAAATTGCAACAGAACTTTTTCCACCACAGTGCATTTCTATAAGGTCCCTAAAATGACATACTAAAAGTCCAAAAAAATCCAAGTGGTGGAAATATGCCTAATTTGCATAAATCCAAAATAGCCGAAAATTTTAGGACTTTCACATTGATTTGGTCATATTTCTTATACTCGATAGCTTTTTCAGGTACTTAAAACGACAATTGTAGTCCGTTTACATTGATTTCATAATTATTCTAGTCCTACGTAACTTTCAAGATCCCCATGTTTCCCAAATTTGCCATATGCCGTATAATAATTTGCATAAATGCAACATATTAATTTGTATAAATTAAAGTTAAAATTATGGCTGTCATGTGTGGACATGTCACAATTGAATTTTTTTTGATAATCCAAGTTCAGTTATTTATACATAAATATCACACCACAGTGCATTCCTATAAGGCCCCTAAAAAAAGTCCAAAAAATCCAAGTGGTGGAAATATGCCTAATTTGCATAAATTCAAAATGGCCACTTAAATCATGATTTTCATATTGATTTTGCCATAACTCTCGTCCTACATTGCTTTTTGGGGTACTTTAAACAACAATTTGTCCTTTTACATTGATTTCATCATTATGTTAGTCCTGGGTACCTTTGCCGTATAATAATCTTCCCATACAAACGGACAAACCGCCAGCACCACCATCACTACTTGAGGTCATCAGATGTGGGTGTAAGAAGCGTTCTTTCGTTTTGGACGGTTAGTCATGACGGTTCGTGACAGCTCGTCATGACAGTCGTCCTGGCAAATCACATTCCTCGCTAAAACGAAGGGGCGTGATCAATGGATCTTGGCCAATCAACTGGCTCCTCTGTACGGTAAACTTTGTTGTTCGGGAATAAAGACTTTAGATTACTATTCAAATAATTATGGAACACACACACACACCTACCCGCCAGGGACTGCCACGTCGAATGCCATGGGCGTCGCCAGGATTTTTTCTAGAGGGGGGTAATGCACATTTCGCCCCCCCCCCCAAAAAAAAAAAAAAAAAAAAAAAATACCTGTACTTTTGCCAGCATATTCTCAATTTATCTTTTTTCGAGGGTGGGCATGAGGGCATTTACCCATCACTTTTTTGATGATAAAAAATAGTAATTAAATAGTAAAGTCTGTCAGGAGCAGTGTGGCCCATTGGGCCATGGGCAGCGCCAGCATTTATCTCCGGTTTCAGAGAATATTTCTATTCCCCCTGGATGGGATGCTAGTCCATCGCAGGTTACTCCACAGCTAATGCCGGCACCCATTTATACTCCTGGGTGGAGAGAGGCAAGTGTGGATGAAGTCTGCCCTAGGACACAACATAATGGCCAGCCGCTGAATTCGAACCCCTGACCCTCTGATCATGAGTCACAAACCCTAACCACACTACGGCACAAAAAAGGAATTTGATCACTGCTTGCTCAATTGGAAGTTGGTTGCTGCCTCGGCAAATAATATGGAAGACATAATCTAACTTTTGAAGCACATTTCTTGTGCTGCACATGGCTACCCGAAAATAAAAACGTCAAACTTCAATTTGGAGATTGACGGATCCTCTAAAGTCCTTGGAGTTCTTGTAACACATGCCTGTCATCTAAAAATACACAAAATTATGGCTGTTTTGTCTTTGCACAGACGTAATAAAATTATATTCTGAATTATCGAAAGAACGGTTCGTGGCTAGACTGTACGAATCTTAATTTTCTGCATAAGCAATAAAATATGCTTATTTTCTTAAAAAAAAAAAAATATTTTGTGGCTTTTTGGTTTTTGCAGGGCATAATAAAAGTTTGCTCTGTTATTTTTTGGTCCCATTTTAATAGTTTATAAAATTAGGCAGCTGCTGAACGGCAGAGGGAATTGCAACCGCCCCCTCTAAATCTGATACTGTAGAAGGAGGCTTGTTGGAAATGAGAGGCTGCAATTATTGTCCATTTGTCTTTTGTTCTTCCCCGTTTCTACTCATGAATATTAAGTTGTGAAGACAATTTTTTTAAAGCCAGCCATCCAGTCAAAGTAATAGAAGCAGAAAAAAAGCTGCCTAATATGGGAGACGTGATCCACTTTTTTTTGGTTCACATTATGACTACTCAAAAACATAAGCAGTGTCGGTAGACTTCAATTTGGAATTTGACAGAGCCTCTGAGTCCCTGGAATTTATTTAACATATGCTTATCATCTAAAAATACATGTTTTTTATTGTGGCTTTCTTGTTTTTGCAGGGCGTAATAAAAAGTTGGCTCTGAACCAACGAAAGAATGGTTCGCGGCTACATTGTACGTTCTGTTGAAACTAAACTGGTGAGGTACCATTGCAATCAGTTATGGCGAAAAAAAGAGAAGTGTATGAAATAAAATAGTTCTTGTTATTTCGCCCTGGGGTTGTTGTGCGTGTGCCCTTGGGCAAAGCACTTAATTTGCCACTCATTTTGCCCACCCAGGATTTTTTTTTGTAGCGGGGGCAAAGCAAATTAATTGTCCCCCAAAATCCTTGTATTCTCTCTAGCATATTCTCAATTGAACATTTTGTTTTTGGGTGGGCGGGGGACATTTGCCCACCCCACCCCCAGTGACACCCCTGCAGACACCCATTTGTTAAATGTGTATTAAACCAATAGCAAATATGACTTAAACTAGGCAGGAGGCACATGTCGTGCAATGTTTAGAATTCTGAAAGAAAAGAATTGAGAAAAAAACCTCTTCCATGCAGGCACAGATGAAGTCGCACAGAAAAATGAAGGAATATGGGGTATATTGCAAAAGTGACATTTTAGTGTTTGAATCCACATGTACATAGTACTATATAAACACATGCACTGGGTTCAAAACTACATGTAGTGATGAAAGTTTGCCAATTTATTCTCGCAATAAACAAATGAGATGCTGAAGATTATAGTCTGCCACATAAGGGTTCATTCTAAGATACAATGATGTACGTGTAGATGATAACAATCAGACTAACATTGCATGCAAGCCAATATGGATGATAGGCCGCCAATATGAATCTTTGTGATATTTCTGTATTCATAACTGAACTTGGATTATCAGGAAAAGTACAATTGTTTTCTCCCTTCACAGTAATCATATATGATAAGAAGTTAAGCTACGCTTTCATTTCATTTACTATTCCGTATTTTGTATTTTGAGTTGCATATTCGAAACTGATATTGTTAAGTGATTTAGCGAGAACCACTTAAATAATTGCGACTTTAACTTTGATTGTGTTTTTATTTAATTGACTTGCTACTTGTTCCTTTTTAGTTGTTAAGAATTAGTATTTAACTTTGTCATTCTGTTCTTGGATGAAGATTACTCAATATGTATCTTGCGCCTCTTAAATCAGACTCAATAAAAGTGCAAAACCTGATGAATAGTTACCCCCGCAACCCATTTTTCATGGCCTAAGTCCCAACATGGGTCCTAATTGTGCTGTAACTTCAACTTTACTTTACTTTATTTGAATTTATGCAAATTAATATAAGGCATTTATGCAAATTATTATACGGCATTTGGCAAAGTTGGGAAACATGAGGGATCTCGGAAGGTACCCAGGACTAGAATAATGATGAAATCATCGTAAAAGGACAAATTGTTGTTTAAAGTACCCCAAAAAGCAATGTAGGACGAGAGTTATGGCCAAATCAATATGAAAATCATATAATTAGTGGCTATTTTGAATTTATGCAAATTAAGCATATTTCCACCACTTGGATTTTTTTGTACTTTTTTTTTTCGGGACCATATAGAGATGCTCTGTGGTGTGATATTTATGTATACATACATGTAACTTAACTAGAAGTTATTAGGGAAAATTCAATTGTGATGTCAACACATGACAGCCATAATTTTAACTTTAATTTATGCAAATTAATATATGGCATTTATGCAAATTATTATACCGCATTTGGCAAATTTGGGAAACATAGGGATCTTGAAATTTACCTAGGACTAGAATAATGATGAAATCATTGTGAAAGTCCTAAAATATGCGGCAATTTTGGATTTATGCAAATTAGGCATATTTCCACCACTTGGATTTTTTTGGACTTTTAGTATGTCATTTTAGGGACCTTAAAGAAATGCACTGTGGTAAAAAAAATTCTGTTGCAATTTGTTTGAGGTCAAACCTTATATTGCCTGGACTATTAAGGCAGTTTGCCAAACCACAGGTGGCCAGTCCAGGCCATCCCTCTCTGGACACACACGCATACAGCCCACATAAATAAATGTACAGCCCCTTCATTTCCAGTTTTTTTGCACCAAATTCAACGATCAAAAAAAGAAAAGAGAAAGATGGCTTCATTTCAGAACATAAACAAATTTTACACTAGATAATATAGTCATTGAAAATATGTGTGCGTTTTGGCCACTAAGGGTTAAGGCAAACCTAACAAGTCAGTCTTGTTAAGTGATACTAATTGCTTCCTGTTGGTTGTCAGAATTCAACTGTTAATGATAAACTCCCCCAAGGGATTAAATTTTGAGATGAGAAAGTTGATATTCTGGTACAGGCTTGGGCAAAAACCCAAGTATAAGCCCTGTAATCAGATTTTTCTTATAGAAAGAGGGATTTAGGACATAGGTGACAGCAAAAGTGTGAATGCTTGTGACATGGGTGGCAAGTGGTGAGAGTGGTAATGACAATAATGGAAATTGATTATCCCCACCATTGCTACTTTGGTTATTGTCACTTTTGTCATTTTTCTTATCGTCATAGTCCTAACACTGACCTTTGCAGTGTCATGGTACCATGCCCTTAGCACCGGCATTGTCGGCGGTATTTTCTTGATGTTCAGTTCTTCCTCCTCATCACTTATCTGTAGAAAAGCAAACATAATTATTGGTTGAAAACAAATAGAAAACATGTAAAGAAATATTTTCCTCTCAAAATCACATTTCTGAGTCAAGTTTTCTTCCAATGAACAAACAATATTAAGAAAACCTGTGATGGACACTGAAGATAAGAACCTTCTTTCCCGTCAAATTCTTTCTGTTAGATTTTTTCTGTTAGATCCGCAAGTGACCATTTTCTTACAAGTGCAAATGGTTCAAGCCACTGACTAGCAAGGGTAACAATATGTACCTTGTGGAAAATTTGTAAACTGTATGTACTTACGACGTCATCGGTACCCATAAGCTGGGACACCAGGTTGGACATCAGTGCACGGAGGTTGTTGCAGTCTCGGGACAAAAGGTTAGCAACATGGGGAGTCACTAGGCTCTTCAGCTGGGCAGTGATAGCGGCAAACGTTGCACTGTGGTCCGTCACGTTAACACCTAGCAGGCCAAAAAAAAAGAAGTAAGTGCTTTCAGAATTGCACAGCTGTTATTCTACCAGAATGTTATTCTACGCGTGGTTGCTATAATTCGTCAGTTCCGTGTGTGACATCGTGTTGTTGCAATCGGCTGAATGAGAACATGTCCTGGATGCTGATTTCGGGCGCAATTCAAAATGTGACTCGGCAACTTTAAATTGAAATTGAGACCCTAGAATATTGGTTTCTCACAATACACAGCATTCACAGACAATAACAAATGATCTGCTCTACCTTTAGCCTTTCAAGGGGCATCAAGACCTGTTTAAGTAATAGTAACTGAGCTACTTAGTACTTCCCGACAAAAATCCTCCAAAACTTCCCTGACGGACTTTGACAGATCTGGGAGCATTGGGTTTGACGGTCATGAACGTACCTGCAATGAAGGCCGCTGTCGGAATCTCCTTAATGGCCCGCTGAGGTCGTTGCCGTGACGACGCACTGTCAGGGTGGTATCCCCCCTGCCCATTCTTGACAAACTGGATGAGGTCTGTGAAGATCTCCTTATTGACCTTTGACTGCATCGTCTGCGAAAATATTCATTCTTAAGATTTTTTTGATTTTTTCCCTAAAGCACATGGACTTGCTTTTCCTCATAGGTGAACATTATGACAGGTCAAAGAAAAAAGTTGTTTGTGAACACTAACGTGCTAGGCAGTCAAGTCAGATGACACAAAATTCAAAGGAGCTTACTGGCCAAAGGAAATGACAGCAATTTACATTGTGATGGGGAGAGGCCGTGCTCAGTTATGCTCAATATTGTGTTTGCTGCCTTTAACTTGTTGAAAGAAGACACCATTCTCAGTGTCACATTCTCAGGGCCAGCTGTAGGAGGTGTTTAGGATGAAAATTACAAACTTTTAACTCGTAACTTTTTTTTTCTTTTTCATAAATTCACAACTATTACAAATCATATGTAAGGCAAACTAAAAAAATTAACCAGTTTCTTGTCTCCCGCATGCCTCCTTTTTCCCCAACTGCTTCCATTTTTTTTCATCATACATTTGCTATATTTTGTAAACATAGTGTCAATATATTGTCTTTTTATTTGTTTTTAACAAAACTGTAGCTTACTAGCTTTGTAGCAAGTGTTATGGCTCCTTTGGACAAAAACTTGAATCAGCAAAAGAGTCCAAAAAAAATGGAAGAATCAATCCGCCATCTTGAAAAATCCGCCATTTTGGTAAACAATTTTGGAAAAAAATGCGCCTGCCTCCTTCATTTTTTTCAAAAAGCCCAGACGAGAAACTATTTTATTATTTTACTCAGCCTAAAAGTATGAGTAAGTCTTGCCTTAGCCGCATACGTCTCTTACCTCTATGTCTTCACTGACCATATCCCACAATGCTTCATAAGTGTTGAACCTGAACCAATCGGCCTCCGAGTCCCTGCCGTCTTGGCACATGTAGTCTCCAGGGTTCAATGCTTTCTTTGCCTTTTTGGCTTTGAAAACAAAGCAGCCCTGAAATAGCAATGGCATATGTGGGAAATGAATATCAATATCTGCGACACATTTGAAACTAGTGGTTTACAGTATAGAGCAGTGGCGTAGCCAGGGTTCTCTCCATATTGGGGGAAGGGGGGGGGGCAGGTTTCTCACCATTGGGGGAAGGGGGGGGGGAGCTAGACACTGGATGTTACAATGGGGGGTACCCACTTTCTGTTCAACCTGTTAACCATGGTCACTTAGGCCAAATATAAAAATGTTTAGCGTCCCCGCCCGCTTGCTTTTGGAGGCCGCCTCCTTTTCTTTCTTTCTTTAAAAAAAACCCCCAAAACCGAAACAATTATACATTTCAAACAGTGACATCATTTAGGCCTCTTTGTATGTTGCATCTAGCCCATATAAAGCTGGTATGTCATTTCCTGAGTCCAATGGCGGCCATTTAAAAAAAAAACACCTGGCGGCCATCTTTCAAAATAGCCCGGTCGGACGGCCATTTTGAAGGGGGGGAAGGGCCTCCCGCTTCCTTTTTTTTTTTAAAAGGCAGGATGCTAAACATGTTTTTTTTTTATTTGGTCTTATATAGGACTAACAAATTTCCGGGGGGGGGGGGGGCGACTGGGGTAGGCAATGATTTTTGTGTGGGGGCGTGTTGGACCCAAATTAAAATGTTTTTTTTTTTTCCGAGTTTCGAAAGTGGTTGCAACATTTTTTCCATTCCGGATTGAGTTTTTACTGATTTGTGATTATACATGTACCTTCGAGACCGAGCTCGTTTGTAGAGAATCTGCACACATTGTCTCTTTTCCGTTTTGACCTTGAGAACTTGAAGGAATCCAAGGGTATTTTGCCCCGGTTTTCCCAGCAAAGGAACGCTCTACTCGCGTGCAATATTTCACATTGGCGCGTACATTCCTGACATTTAGTAGCACGTGCTTTTTTGTTTAACCACCACACAACGGTGTAAACACGCGTTCATAGAAGTACAGGTACCATACCAGACATGACATTAAAGACCCGGGTCTATGGAACGCCGCATCAAAAAGTATTGCTCTTGTGTACACGTGGGTACAAGAAGTACATGTACATGTACTGTACGTACTGTACATCTACCAGCATTTGTGAGCGAGATAAATTTCGTTTCTTTAGTATTCCCTTATCAAAATGCAAACACGATCCAGATTTCACTTCAATTATGAAGTGAAATCTGGATCGTGTTTGCATTTATATATAATTGAAGTGAAATATGGATCGTGTTTGCAAAGAAAAGAAATTTATCTTGCTCGAAACGGGAGCACCAATTCTCGAAAAATTTACATTTAGCGATCTGTGCACGAATTAATCAAAAATAGTGCAGATCATAATTGCTCGTGTGTAAATAAGGAGAAGGATGGGAGTCTATACAAAACTCGACCTTGAATTTGGTCTGTATTACGCGCGCATGCGCAGGCATATTCACACTTGTTGACTTTTGCATTTTTGTACAACGCGGGGCGCGATAGCTAGAACCAGCAGCCGTTCGAACATTGATCTCCATATTGTGTATATGGAGATCAATGCGTTCGAAGCACACGTGTTTGCAAAAATGGCGATGCCTAGTTGCAAGCCCGATGCTTGTCGAAGCTCGTGCTTACCCTATCCCAAGAGTGACGAGTTGGATGGATTCGCAGGTGTTGACAACTGTATAAGCACGGTCGACAAAGGTAGGATCTGCGTGTCATAGTTGTAGACGAAATTGAGATTAGGTATAACGGAATTGGAAAGCATTTCGTGCAGTCCTTGTCGTCAATAGCGTTGACCTCCATATATGTAGGCTGTGCCTTTTGTACACAAATTACAATGCCACTTGGAAACCACCGAGTTGTTAGTCCAGTACGCCTCGTAAAGCCTTGCATTTTGTGCACGATAAAAATAATGTGGATGGCTGACCAAAATGTGACCGAAGGTTGATCTATGGTTGACCGGATGGGAATTAGGGTGAAAAAAGGGCGTAGCGCTACTTTCCTCGCCTTTATAAGTAAGTGAACCGGGTTTGATTCCTACCTTGGCCAATAATGTGGATTTGGTTTTCAGTCCGTGTCTGATTGCGTGGGTTTTCCCCAGAAAAATTCTTCTTGTGTTTTACTTCAACGTCAAATTGTAATTTATTTACATTGTCTTCTTTTTAATGGGCCCAATGGGAGACCATGTATTTACTTTGTTTTATTAAACCTGGAAATGAACATCATCTCAATTTAAGTTATGCAACCGAAATAGATTGTATAATTACATGCATATATTTTTGTAATTTAAAAGCTGTAGAGGGTGCTCCTCTACAGAAGGCTTTGTCCTTCTCTCGGATGTCACCCCATTCATATAATTATTTTGCTCCAGATACAGTATAAATAATTCATTTTGTTTTTGTATCATTTGTGTATTTTTTTTCTTTATTTTATATGAATGGAAATTCAAACAAACAAACTGAATGGGCTACCCAAAATAAGAATTAAAATAAATTGTGTTAAAGTGTTAATGTAAAATAAACTATGGGTAAAGGATTATGCTAATAAAAAGGCAACCATTGAAGTAGAACAAGGAAATGCGTTTTAAAACCATGGAGGAATAATTCCATTGGTACACTGCAGAAACTGCAGTGTTAAATTTTACACCATTGGTATCTATATGGGACCACCTGGTGTTAAATTTTACTGGTGTTGTCATATATAGATACCGAATGGTGTTAAATTAACACTACAGTTTTTGCAGTGTAGGGTTACAGAATAATCACGATAGTTGGTTACATTGTGTGTGAAATTTCATGATGTGATGATACCGTAATAATGGTATGCACAGTTTCTTATGGTTTTTAAAGTTGTTGTGTGAAGTAAAACAAAAATGATTATTTTGTGTCATTAAAAAAAGGAGATGAAACCGTCTTTTGTCAATGAACTCCATGATGCAAACAGGCATAGCGTATGCTTCCCGAATGCTTCTAAAATGTCAGAATAACCCACTTACATATCAGAATTGCCCACTTTTCAAGGATTGCATTAAGAAATTACACTAGCCCTTTAAACGATGTAGAGGATATCGCCGTGTTCAATGGTTTGTTTGTTGGAGGCCGCCCATGTTGAATTGGACATTCATACAAATGTTGTATCAGCCTATAAAGCCATACTTCAAAACGAAACAATAAACACTATATGTCGGCATGGCATTCTTTCAAAGCATGATAAATATACCGATGTGTTTAATTATTTTAATTGACGCATTTCCGTTATGTCAATTCAATAACTATTTATATTGCAGTTGAAGTTCTTTCAATCTCGCCACGCGCCACGTGGCAATAGGCGGAGAAAAAAACCCTGCTTGCAATGCATTGAGTCATGTAGACACACTGGTAACTACATTATATTATTATACAGGTGTTTTGACGCGTGTTAGTTTTCATTTTCATTTTCAACATTTGCGTTAACTTCAAAGATATCCGATATCCACCGTCGCCTCAGTGGCGTCTGGCGATCGGATATGTTGTATACTGCCCATGCACAAATATTCATATCACCCGATAAAAAAGCTGTATAGTTGTTTCGTTTTCTGTCTCACAAAACCAGATTCACGATAAATTAGCGACTCATCAGTTATTTCCGCAACGATCCAAAAAATGGTCATCCTTCATATTTTTGATAAAAGGAGAACAAAGTAGGTCATGAGTCTAGATGCGCAAATTACAAGGCCAACTATCAACTGCACGGTACGCCCTCTCATTAAGCATCAATTTTTCTCCACTAATTAACTGTCTGCCTTTATTCTGGTAGATGCACAATAAAACACGCACGGTAAAATATGCAGTCGCTGTGTCGTTCGCAGTCAATTTTAATAGCGACGTCATGACGACGCCATGCATAGTCGTTAGGATCGATATATAATTGACTTTTTAGATGTTGACTTGGTGGACATATGGAGCGGAATTTAATATTAAAAAAAAACCCAGCCATATACCATCTGTAACGTTTCTGTTACTATGGCAATTTTGTTTGTGTTTGAACGTGCACGCAAACACAATGCTCAGTGAACACGACCCCTTTTGCTTTTGGTTTTTTTTAATCTCAACAGCGCAACCCGTGCCTCCCAATGACCGCTCTTTAGTTATTTCGCGGTCAGTCGCGTAATGCTTGTCTAAGCGAAATAAGCAACCAAAAACAAATTCATTTTCCATGTACATGTATAGGCCTTACATGTTCTCGATTTGTTTCAACTTTGATGTAGGCCTATTCGTACAGTTAGGGGGTAGCTTCCTGTTCAATGCCCGTATTTTAGTGATTGAGAATAAAATCCCCCAGAATCTTGATGTAATTCGGTTGCTCACAATGAATCACATATTTTCTATTTCCGGGTTCTCCTGATTCTTAATATTTTGTTTTGCCAATTCCTTTGTGTTTATTCATACAACTGGAATTCAAGAAGAGGTCTATACGTACATGTAGATGCATTGTAAACTGGAATTACCCAACGTTTGGGCGGCATATTGGGGCAGATATAGGGAAAATATTTGGGTGAGTTCAAGCCCGCTGGAACAAACTTTTGCCATCCCCCCCCCCCCCCCAGGGGGTGCTGGAATTTCTAAAGGACGGACAAAATAATGCGAACACGGAGCGCAAAGCCCTTACGGCGTGGCTTAAAGGGCCCCAAAAAGTTTTGGAATATGGATGCTCTGTGGTGCAATCTGAGGCGATTGCTGGCAACTTTCATATGACTTTTTTAGCAAAGGTTTTTTGAGATTATAAAGACAATTTATTTCATTTTTTTGTTTAGAATATACTGTTGCTCTTATAACGTTTCTACTGTACTAAAAAGTCGAGACCCCTGTATTTTTATCTCCATTTTTTGTTCCATTAAATTCTGGGGGGAAAAAAGAATTGTATCATTATGCATGACATTGCATGTAAATATTATTGTTGCAAGGCTGCTTTCTTACTTTCAGTAAATTCTTTAGTGTATGCTTTGTTTTATTTTCCGAGCCCTTACGGCGAGGGGCCAGGGGCCCTCTTCTTGGGCCCCGGAAAATTTTGGATTCTGGATGCACTACGTGATGAAATAGGTAGTTGGGCAGCCAGAGGGGTGAGCCATGTTTTGATGGATATATAATGTTTTTGTGTATATATATTCTAACCAAGGAGGTCATACTATTAAAGAATTTGCATGATGACATCTTCAGTAAGGGTTGAGCAATTTTTGATACCGATTATTTATTGAGTGATCCGGCACAGCTGGATCACTTTCTAGAATTGTTCGAATAGTAAATCTGCTTTGTTTCTATTTTTCTGGACTGTAATTCTCCGCAAGTTTCTCCTCAATAGTTCAACGTGTAACTTTGAACCAACGGCATCCCTGATCCAAAGTGGAGAATATAACTCTGACGTCACGATGACGTCATCGGGTATCAAATTACAAGCGATTTTAGTTGAAAAAGTTACCAACTCCTTTCAGTTCACTTATAACTCTTGAACAAAATAATCAATGATTTTTGTATTTTGTAATCAGATAGATCATTAATAAATTGATTGAACTTTTTGGGTGACTGCTCTATGTTCCGACACCCTATATGTTCCGACAACTCAACCTATGTTCCGCCACCCCAATGTTCCGACACCCCTATGTTCCGACTACTCAACCTATGTTCCGATACCCCTATATGTTCCGACAACCTGCACATAAGATTGTGTTACTCCCAGTGAGGGTTAGGGATAGAGATAAGAATGTGTGCAGTCGGAACATAGGGTGTCGGAGCATAGGGGTGTCGGAACATAGGGGTGTCGGAACATAGGTTGAGTAGTCGAAACACAGTGGTGTCGGAACATAGGTTGAGTTGTCGGAACATAGGGGTTGTCGGAACATAGGGGTGTCGGAATATTAAGGTGTAACCACTTCTTTGTCGTGTACGTGAAGTCGCTCAACCGTTATACTTCCGGGGCTACCGCAAGGCCAAAGTTAGGTGAATTCAAATGTAGAAATTTCTTCCAAACGTTTTGCCAGATAATGATAAAACCTAATTTGAACCTAAAAACAAATGTTGTTACGTCATCATGACATCATCAGGTATTAAATTACAATTAAGAGATTTAATGTCAACATTTTTAGAAACATTCCTTGAACTGTAACCTTTCACATGATTGGAGTACCATTCTCGCTATTATGTGATCAGTTAGACGGTGTCTAGAGCAATATTTTGAATTCCCGGGCAATTAGTACTGTTGTTTGACCTTTACTTCCGGTTTTACCGGAAGTGAAAATTAAATATAAATTGAAATTGGAAGCATTTCAGTTTAATATATCAATAATCAGTGAGGAATGTCAAACACAAATATTGGCATGATGACGCCATTAAGTTGAAAGGACGTCAAAGATAGATGAAACTTGAATTTGAAAAGTTTTACCAAATTAACCCCAAATACTCTTTGTACAATCTCAAAGGACTTTGTGAGATTTCAGAATCATGACGTCATCGGACTGGAAGTTATTGTAGGAAGAATTTGTAAATGATCAGTTTTCTTTCCTTTAAATTCAAATCGGAACAGGAAGTTAAGTGTTACTAATACACACACTTATAAATTCATTATATTTCCTTATTTTCAAAAGTTATTTTCACTGTATGACGAACGTTATCCTGTCTGAACTAAATCAATATTATTAAGTTGGGACATTTTAACTGATGACGTCGTCAGTGTAAATAAAGTGTATACTGAAACTTATAAAACCCGAAAGGCTGTTTTTTTTTGGTTCAAGTTAAAACAAATGGTTCCACTGGAAATGGATGAATTTCTGTTCATAAAAATATTCACAACTTAACAAACTAACTCAACAAACGATGTAGCTCTATATTTGCAGTGTTATTTGTTTGATACAGGGAATGGCAAATATAAAAGACTAAAGGACCAAATGGCAAGTTTGGGGCGAGGGAAGGATATTTTATCGGTCTACTAAATTTTTACGAGGAAAAACTTGCATGGTAAAGCATGAATAGATTTTTTATTAAAACGAAACTACACTGGAATCGGCGTAAAGAACGACTAGTTTCAATGTCAGCCGTTCCCACTCCCCTTAGGCTGGGGATGTGTGTAACCGCAGGATGAACCTTGGTATTTTAATGCTGAGTAAACAACAAGCATAAACAACTTTGCCACCATTGTCATGGCCGAGGTTATTGCTTTTGGGTCTAAGCATATCCATCAAGGCAGAACTCCACTGGCGCCACAATATTCATAGTTCATAATAATAATTAGCATAGACATGTCATGATTTTAGATAGTTTGAGAGAAATATCGATTCTGCACTGCCTGAAGATTTAGAAAAAAAATTCCTCTGGATATTTTACAGTGTTTGTGCTCTACGTTCGAAGCGCCGCGCTTAATTAACCGCGGCAACGCTAAAAACGAACAAAAGGAAGGAGATATTTGTAGAGCAAGCATAATAGCGGCGCAATTTCATCGTCGTAGAACACTGCTGGCTCGAACACATTTTTGCCCGGGAGTTGGGGGTGCTGAAGCATATTCCAGCACCCCAATCCAAAAAGTATGGGGTGCTGCAGCACCCACAGCACCCCCCGTTCCCGCGGGCTTGGGTGAGTTGTGCCTTCCATGATACAAGCATGGCATGTGGCACACATTCAGAGTAAGCCTTAAGAAAGATGTTTGGCTATAAGACCATCGAAGATTTGTCCTTTGAAAAAATAAAGGGTGCGTTCGTTTAGCTCACCCGGGTCGACATGGGTCAGCCCCGTGCCGTTCGATTAGCTCTGTCGTCGTACTCGGGGCTCACCCGGGTCAGCCATGCCAGCACAGACCATGCTCGTGAGCAGAGTCAGTGGTGGAAATACTTCACACGTATGTGTTGTTCATTCCAAGAAACGGACAGATATGGCGGCCGGACAGCGGAAATCTGAAGTGGACTCAAAAATAAACTTTATTGAAGTCTAAAGGTTTTTTTTTTTTTACTGAGCTCGTTGCGAGCTAAGAGGCTAAAATTCCAGCCAAATTTTGTGATCCATCCGAGTGAGCTACTCGAACGCACGCATTGATAGAATGGCAAGCAATGACAGCCATTTTGAAATTTTTGAAATGTTTTCTACCTATATCAAACTCACAATCCCATCCCCTTTCTGCCGTATACTAGCATGAACAGGCATTGCTCTCATTCTAATACTATAACTTTACTGACAAAAATCATTGACGGAATTTTAGGTTTCTTTCCAAAATCATTGATGGATATACCTAGTAATATACTCGATTGTAACTGTTTTCCCTCTTTTTTTTTCTCTCTCTCTCTCTCGCTTTAGTGGTACATGTACCAACAAAAACTCCCGACAACAAACCACTGGAGACGATCTCGTTTTACGATGACCATTACCTGGAATGTCAGCGGGCATTTGAAAAAGCATCACCCTGGACCCCTGATTTAAACAAGTGGATACACACCCACCTGGGGTCGAGGGTGCTTGAAAAGCTCGACAGTACTTTGCCAGAGGGGGGACAGTTAAAGCTGCTCGGTATAGGCAGCGGAGAAGGTAATTGTGGCAATGGAATAGCGGCTTGCCAACCGGAGAACCACTGATGACATTTTTTTTTTATATTTCTCTCAGACGTTATGCACCAAACTGTATTAATGAATAGCTCTTTGTCGGCTTACATTTCTCCTGCCGAATTCAACATCTTGATGTCTTTTGTATAACTTTATAATCGTTTCTAAATTCCAAAGACGTTTTGTGCAAGTTTTCAATATTCTTTTTTTTTTATTCGGGGGCAGTACAAAGTACCTAATGCAGATCGTCACTATAACGAACACGATGGGGTCCATAAGAAATGTTCCTTATCGTGGTCGTTTGTTATAGTGACTGTGCATTCTAACAGAATTTACTATTTCGGGAGCCAAGCAAGGGGGATGTTCGTAATGGCCAAATGTTGGTAATAGTGGAGTTCGTTATAGCAGCGTTTCATAACCGCTGCACTAACTCATGCAAAAACGAACTGCTGCATGCGATATCTTAATAACAGCATAAATACAATGAAACAAAAAAAAACATTTCTTCAACAGGAGAAGTAGAATACAACTTAATAACCAGGCTGCTCTCCAAGTACCCCACAATCCACAACACTGTAGTCGACCCCAGCCAGACTCAACTGGATCTTTACAAGGACCTCATCAAGGAAAAGGCACCCGAGTTAGACGGGGTCCAGTATGACTGGCACGCCAAGACGCTCGCGCAGTACAGGCATTCTAGCGAGGAGTCGGGGGACCGGACTAAATTTCACTTCATCAGTGCCCTGTTTTGCTTGTACTACGAGGCTGATCTGTACTCGTCGCTCGAGTATCTGCTCAGCAGGCTTGAGCCAGGAGGCGTGCTTCTTGCCGCAATGGAAACCGGTATGAATATTAAGCGTGAATCAGTAAGACGTTGCATTGTAGAAAATACATCTTGATACAAGTTTCTGGGATGTCATGCGAAGTGGCCAGAAATTACAGAAACATCGAGGTTCATGTAATGCATGTTAATTTGTATCAATGCTTTTTTGATTTGAGCGTTTTCTTTTGCATGTCTCTGGGGTTCCGCACTCAATTGCCTAATTTATTCACAGACCGTTGTGACGTCATGAAGATAGAAGAGCGTTTCCAGTTTGGTGCGGACTCGGATGACGTCCCGTTGTACTGTTTCACCGACATGACCGCCCACTTTGAGAAAAGGGGCGTGCCCTTCGCGGTCCTGAACCAACCGGATGACCAGCGGGACTTTGACGTCACGGCCATCTTCGACGAGTCGTCGCGCGAGGGCGCCCTGCTGCTGGATTTCATCTCAAGCGTGGCCAATTTTCGCCAGGTGGCGCCCCCAGGTTTACTAGCAGATTTTCTGAGCTACGTTCGAAGTCTGGCAACACTCAGGGAAGGGAGAGTTCTTTTGTTTTACGATACCGATTATGTGCTGGCCTCTAAGCCGAAATTCAAGAATCATTTTGTTTAGCTATTTAAAATGAGACGATAATGCATGTAGTACTTTCACAGCAAAGGGTCACATAAAAGGATCCATTGTCACCAATGGCGTCAATACTGGACTTGTGCCACAATAAAAGTACAACAAATAAACCTCCAATTGAACGATATCAAGACTGTTGCAATTATTCTAGTCGAAATCGGAACTCATGCTGCAGCTATTTTTTCACATTCTTGTCTGTTTTCATGTCTGTTTTTAATGTATGAGATGCAGATCGGGTGAGGATCTCTAAATCTCTCTTCAGGACTTCGTGTTTGTTTGTTTGTTTTTGGTGTTCGTTTTCGATGTGATATTGTCATTAATTCTGAGAACTTTTTTTTCTCATATATCTTCCCGTTTTCTCTGAAAGCAAAATTATGAATACTGCAATAACGAACAACAGAAATAACGTGTTTATTTATTAAAAGGCCGGTTGATGCCATACCACTTGTTTAATAAAAAAAAATACAACAATATAAATAACAGTACTTTTGTCCACGACTGATGTAAAAGTGACAAATGCAAAAAATGCAAAAAACCTTGACAAAACTTTAATTTAGTATTTAGTATACGGTGAGTGGGTGTAATTAAAACAGAAGCATAAGTTCCAGTTTATTCCGAATGAATTCCTTTAGATATGCGTGACTTCAGATTGTACAAAGCCGGGGAAAGGGACACTCGATAGAAAAGAAAAAATTGCAGTTGCTAAATGCGTACGATTTCGTACATCTTGCAAACGATTTCTCAAATCGAGCGAACGATTTTCTACATAGTGCGAACATGTCTCAATTCGTTTCCACGTTTTCACCATAAATCGCCCCGCGATTTCCTAGATATAGATCGCTCCCGTTTGCACGATTACAAAGTCGTTCGCAGGAATAACTAAATCGTTCGATTGATTTCGGAATTCGTGTGCACGATCTCCGAAGGAAATCGACCGCACGAACTAGACTTTTTTTTCGTGTCCTTTCCCACGGATTGTGTGGATGTTCAGAATATGTTGATTTTTTTTTCGAATTCAAAATCGACGATTAATGTTTTAATTTCCATCGATAATTACATATGTTTAATCAATGAGGTATTACTATGGTGGGATATTTGATGTTATGTTATGTTGTATTTTAGGATTGGTGATATGTGAATTTTAATCCACTTCGGCTTATTTTAATTGTTTTCTTAACATAATTATCCATTAATATCAGTTTTTCAGTGCTTTTTGAAAATTCGTATGAAGTTTTTAAACAAAACTATGATTTTAACTGGAATTGACGATACATTTGTTATAAATGGACTTCTACCTCAGATGATTGTTTTTCTCAGTATTTTAGACCAAAATTTTAAATTTTAAATTGTTGTGACTTTTGAAAAGTAACCACCGAAGTTTTCATCCACCCGAAAAAAGTAAGAGGTCGTTTCATTTTAAATGATAGTACTCTTCAAATGGTAATGGTGGCCTGCAACAAGCCACACGGACCTTCACATTTTATGTCCGTTTTCTTGTGTCAATCTCATATCACAAATTATGGATTTATAAGGGGGAACAAAAGGCCGTCCTAGCCTCTACCTACCTCAATGTTGTTCAAATATTATTGCTGATAGTCCCGTCACAGGTTACTACATGTAGGCCTATATACTATACAAAAGACACTGTTACTTTAAGTTCTGAACATTTTATCAGTTGATTGCTTACATAAAACCAAGTGCCTTCTGCTAAAATACCAAACCAACGTTACGATCTGTCGTTTTGTCTGTTTCTTGTGAAACACGTTGTTGCATTTATTTTAAAGGCACGCTACGGCGTGCATACGCCCAATTGGGCTACAACACGCGTTTTAAACGAATTGGTTTGAAATGCAAAGAACCTTTAAAAGTATAATATATAAACGTCTACACAACTATCCTTTAGAAACCTGGGCGTTTCTGTGTTATTCTTGCAACACTCTAAAAACAACTTAGTCAAAATATTGACTGGTTTTCCTAGTTATTGAAAATTGACTAGGAATTTAGTTAAACATGCAAACATTCATAATATGACTAAAAAAAGTAGTTGGATTTGACTCCAATTTTAGTTATTTACATAATTCTTTTTTAATACTGACTGGAAAGATCTAGTCAGATTGACTGATTTTCAGTTGCACCCAGCTGACCCTGAATGGCTGGTCAAATGTAACTGGTTTCTAGTCAAATCTGACTAATGTGTTTTTAGAGTGAAGAACACATGTCGGAGTCACAATAATTTGTGTCCCGAAAAATCGAGCTGTTCGTTGTGATTCAAGCCACACATTTGTCAAATTCTGCGGACGTGTGAGAAACAACATTTGTGTATTGGTGCCGCGTGTATTTATTTATGTCGCACAAACACCCAGCGTGTATCGTGCATTGAATGAAAACGACAGGAAATACGTATAGTCCAAGAGCCAGGGGTAATTTATTTTTTGGAAACGACCAAGTGTTTGGTGGGTATTTTTGGAAAGTTTACATCTTGGGGAATTCGAATTGAATAGTCTTACGGTTACCTGGCGGTGGACCTGGATACCAGGGCAGATAAGTGACGTCACATAAGCAGTGATTAGGACATGCAACAGCCGTCGGGTCAGTCAAATGGACTGTGTACGCAGAACGTACGTATTACTGACCCGGCGGCTGTTGGATGTCGTACTCAACTGAATGTATTTCTACTGTAGATTCGTATTGTAGATTTATGTAAATTATTCGGGCTCCTAAAGGTTTGTTGCTAACAAGCCCGCGGGAACGGGGTGTGCAAAAGTTCATACCTTTTCCCTGAAGGTTTTTCTTTTCATTTAATAGTTTCATTGACGTTGCTAGCATTCTGTACTCAGCATTAACAAATAGCAAGGTTCACACACATCCCCAACCCGAAAGGAGTGGGTTTGGCTTTCATTGAAACTAGTCATGCTTTACGCCAATTCAAGTGTAGTTTCGTTTTAATAAAAAAAGCTATTCATGTTTTACCCTTTGCAAATTTTACCTCATAAAAACTCAGAAGACCGATTAATCCTTGCCCAGCCCCTAACTTGCCGTCTACCGATCATAAACATAAAAATGCATTTGGTCTTTTAGTCTTTTATATTTGCCATTCCATGTAACAAATATAACACTACAAATATATTGAGAGCTACATCGTTTGGTGAGTTAGAATATGTGAATATTTTTATGAACAGAAATTCATCCGCTTCCAGTGGAACCATTTGCATGAACTTGAACCCCAAAACATCCTTTTGGGTTTTATAAGTTTCAGTATACTTCAGTATATTTCATCACAGTGCATCCAGAATCCAACATTTTCCGGGGCCTTAAAGCGGGCTCAGAAAAAAAAAAAACATACACGCCGGAATTTACTAAATGTAAGAAAGCAACCTTGCTACAATAGTATTTACATGCAATGTCATGCATAATGATACAATTCTTTTTCCAGAATTAAATGGAACCAAAAATGGAGATAAAAATACAGGGTTCTCCACTTTTCAGTACAGTTAAACGCTTTAAGAGCAACAGTATATTCTAAACATAACAACTTTTTTTTAAATCTCAAAAAACTTTTACTAAAAAAGTCAAATGAAAGTGGCTAGGAATCGCCTCAGATTGCACCACAGAGCATCTATATTCCAAATTGAGCCACGACGTAAGGGTTTTGCGCTCCGCTTTTGTATTAAGTTTGTCCGTCCTTCAGAAATTCCAGCACCCCCTAACAAAAGTTTGTTCCAGCGGCAGAGGTTGCTAAGGAGGATGCTGTTGCTAAGCAAACACCTACATTAGCATGATCAAATGTTCGAATATGCTGTTCAAAGTACTCAGACATCTCCTCTGAATGCTCGTCTATTGATGTGAAATCATTTAATAAGGTAATAAAACGTAAACATGCAGGCCTGTATTCTTCGCAGTGCTGCGCATCGTTGAGTACGACATCCAACAGCCGCCGGGTCAGTAATACGTATGTTCTGCGTACACAGTCCATTTGATTGACCCGACGGCTGTTGCATTTCCTTATCACTGCTTATGTGACGTCACTTATCTGCGTCTGGTATCCAAGTCCACCGCCAGGTAACCATAAGACTAGCCAATTCAAGTTCCGCAATGATGTGTAACCTTTCCAAAAATATCCACTTAACACTCGGTAATTTCAAAAAAATAAATGACCCTGGCTCTTGCTCTTGTATGTGTATTCCGTTGTGTCCGATGTAAAACAAACCGGGTATTTTTTTTCCCCGTCTTTTGTCGGGAATGGTGAGACATAGGTTTCGTCACCGTTTTCACGATCTGGGCGATTTTTTTTAATGAAATATCGTCCGTTCATCGAAATTTGGTGGGTTTTTTTGGTGAAAATGAATAAATGTATCAATATATACAACCTCGTCAGGCTATACTATCAAACAATTAATTAAAATCCAAATTAACCTAATTAACAAGTGGGCGAATTTTCCTCAAGTGCCGCTCTTCGTTTTCACGAAGGGGCGAATTTCCGTAAAAAAACAACGGGTCACACAGCGCAGAGACAAATTAAATGATACAAGATGCGGGACAAGTCTATGAAATACCGGTTGTATTGTCACCAACAGCAAATTAGACAATACGATGTTTTTTTGGTGGTAAAATCGCAATAATTATCTTATTTAGCTAGTGCAAATACCACCGCCCATGGGCGTCGCCAGGATTTTTTTCTAGAGGGGGGCAAAACATATTTTTCCTCAAAAAATTCTTGTATTTCTCAACAAATTCTCGATATATCAGTTTTAGAGGGGGGCAGGGACATTTTGCCCCCCCCCCCCCAACTCATTAAATTTACGGAATTGATGCGGCGACGCGGCTTTTTTTTTTTTTCAAGCTTGCATTGTACAGACAAGGTGGGGTACTATTTTCCTTTTTTTGGTGTCCTCACGTACATTCGTGTCCTGCATAATTTGCCTTGGTGCCCTCGATCATTTGCCTTATTTCCCATTCCTTGGTGCCCTTTGGTAAAAAAAAATTGAGGAGGTGCTGCAATAGAGGGCGCTGTTGGAGCTTTTTGGGGAAAAAAAGATTGACGCGCATGGTTAAAATCGACGCGCGCGCTGACCAGAGACCGACTATTTTTGTAAACATTGGCGCCATTTTGTATGGGCTGCCGTAAGCGCATAAATTGAAGCCGTGGTTGGCAACATATTTTTCCAAAAAAGTCCTCATAACGCCATCAACACATAGTAAAAAGGCATGTGTAGGAATTATTTTGAAGCTTTGTTGAAAATATTGTATTTTCAAGTATCAAATAATATTTTGGTGATCTGTAATAACTCTTCTTCATTTTTGCAGTGTTGGACCTTCCATTGTTTTGCAGGCCGTGGTTGGCAAAAATGCAGTTTGCCAACCAAGCGCAGAAAGGTTAAATACATGTACAGCTAGCTCGACGTGTACGCCCGTGTGCATGCATGCGTATAGCCCAGGTTGGACGAAGTCTTCATTGCAATACGACTAACCGTAACGTAGGGAGGAAAGGGAGTCCACCAGGGCTAGCATGCGTAGTGCTCAGATGCTGCATTTTTATGGTGTCCCGTGCTGGTTGAGCTGGTTTTACAAATGTGTAATTGTTTGTGGCTTTAACAAAAGCATCTGTAGTTGCCACACTTACATTCCACAGCGCAGCCTCACTTCAGGTAAGATTTAGAAAAATGTCATGATTGATATTCATTTATTAGCTTGAGTAACTCTAGCCCGACTGCGTCTGGCCGTACAGTACTATCGCAAGCTCTGTAGTACGGCCAGACGCCCGATGCTTCCACAGAGACTGAATTTTGTTGGCCGCCGATGTAGCGATTTTGCTACATCTTTCGATCGCGATTATCTTTTCATCCAGGACACAAATTTCCAAAGTTAAGGTTCGTAGTCGTATAGCAACTCATACCTTTTCGAAAAAAAACGTGTTTGGTCTCAATATTTTCATCCATCTGGCCACAAGACGAATTTCAGTCATCAGATTCCACAAATATCGTCCCCCATGCGATCCCCCATGCGATTTCAAAATGGCGGCCGCGCTGTAATGTGTGCAATATGCAGGCGCGCCCGCACAAACTCATGAATATGCATAAACAGTCTGTGACGTATGACTCGTGTTTTTGAACGTGCGTGCGGCGGGGCCGTACGTCCAAAAACACGAGGTCATACGTCACAGACTGTTTATGCATATTCATGAGTTTGTGCGGGCGCGCCTGCATATTGCATACATTACAGCGCGGCCGCCATTTTGAAATCGCATGGGGGATCGCATGGGGGACGATATTTGTGGAATCTGATGACTGAAATTCGTATTGTGGCCAGATGGATGAAAATATTGAGACCAAACACGTTTTTTTTCGAAAAGGTATGAGTTGCTCTACGACTACGAACCTTAACTTTGGAAATTTGTGTCCTGGATGAAAAGATAATCGCGATCGAAAGATGTAGCAAAATCGCTACATTGGCGGCCAACAAAATTCAGTCTCTGTGGAAGCATCGGGCGTCTGGCCGTACTACAGAGCTTGCGATAGTACTGTACGGCCAGACGCAGTCGGGCTAGAGTAACTCCAGCTGACATGTTCCATATTCATTCACTTACATGTGAATGAATATGGAACATGTCAGCTGGAGTTACTCAAGCTATTCATTTATAGGCCTATTGCCTCAGTCCTAGGCAAGGCAAAGACCAGGGCTTAGGGGCCAAACCAACAGTAGGGGCCTACACACTAACCTCCGGATGTTTTTCAACCGTCATGCATCTGGACCATGTAGCTCTTCTGAGTGGAGCGCTGAATTACGGGTACCCCTCCATACTAGTATGGAGGCGTACCCGTAATTCAGCGCTCCACTCAGTAGAGCTACTGGACCATGTTGACCTAGTCATCAGTTGAGTTCAGATGGAATTCCATCTGTCTGATGATCTAACCGGGAATTTTTTAACAATGGAGCTGTGGGCCATGGTATATTAATTAAAACCCTAACCCACCTCACTCCTCCAAAATCCTCCTGGCGGTTTTGGAGGATTCTAGAGGATTGAGGATGAATGGTGATTGAATCAAATGAGGATTCTGGAGGATTGAGGATGAATGGTGATTGAAGCACATGAGGATTTTGGAGGATTGAGGATGAATGGTGATTGAAGCACAAGAGGATTTTGGAGGATTGAGGATGAATGCATTTTGAGGCAGGACTGTCTGATGATTTTGAAGGATTTGGCGTTGGTTATCCTTCATTTAAACACGAGTGCAAAGTTTTGGGATGAGGAGGATTTTGGAGGATTGAGGATGAATGCATTTTGAGGCAGGACTGTCTGACAATTTTGAAAAATGTAGGCGGAGTTGCAAAATTTTGGAGGATTGAGGATGGTTGTAAGCAACAAGGGGTTAGGGTTTTAATCTTGTTTTTGAAATTTCTTCATTTAAAATGGTTTCGGCAACTTCATTAATGGGACATTTTTGTTTGAGAGAGAAAACCTGCAACTTTGTGCAAGGGGGAACTGCACTCATGACACCGGGGCCCTCTTTTTTTCTGGAGGGGGCTTTCAGTAGACCATATCCATCCAGTTCTTTATAGTTCAATGTATAGTTCAATGTAGGTTGGCCTATAAAATAGTAAATACAACATTTGCTTTTGCAGTAATTTTCAGAAATGGATGGATTTGGGGGTTAGTATATAGCAAATACTGTTGCAGTAACCTGTTTAAGTTTTGTGTTCATACATCATACGCTGGAATTAAAAAAAACAATCCTGATAATTTGGTGGTTTTGTTTTTTGATTTTTGCAAATGTTGCATATAATTGTTATTACCTTGAAATACTGCTTGAGTGCTTCTGCAAAATAACTAGTATTGTGGAATTTCGAAAAGACAAAAGAAGCAATATTTGTTCCATTTCCCGTGCAGCAATCCTATTTGGCCATTGTTGCGTTTGTAAAATCATCCGAACACTTACATGTAGGCCTTCTTGGGATATTCTCGAATTATAGGATCATTGCACTGTAGTCATTGTTTAGGGTGGGCTTTTGTTGCAAAACAAAACGCACCTCGAACATGGCTCATGAATGCAATCAATATATTCAAGGGGGGGGGGGCATGGTTTAATTCCCACAGTTCTATCCCAGTGAAGCCCCCCCCCCCCCCTTCTTCTTATTGTACATGTATTTGTATCCGACAGCCAATGAAGCTTTGCCTTCCAAATGCAGGGTTTATACGGACGTTGCAAGAGTGTGAAACATGGAGAATTTTGACGTAAATAAGCTTCAGAGTCTCTGCAACGATGTTGACCACTACATCTTGTGCACTCAAGAGTATGAGAAGAGAGTAGCCTGGCTCCCAGACTACATGAAGTGGGTCAATACATACTTGGCAACCCAGGTGCTAGACAAGCTTGATGTTACTTTGCCAGAGGGGGGAGCCTTTAGGCATCTTGGCGTGGGCAGTGGGGAAGGTAAAGTTGAATTTTCTCGTACATGTATCAGGTTGTCAAAAACTATTGTATTCAGTTATGCAATTTAAGCCTTTTTGATATCCTACCAAAAAAAAATGATTTTTTTTTGTTGGAAGTAGGGGGGTGGTCCAAGGATGCAGTTATGGATCAACACTTTTGATCTAGCTCAGACAGGGCTCTGGAGTGCTCTGAAACGTGCAAAACTAAATCAGGCCCACTTTACTCACAGTTTAGCCAGCAAATTTCTCCAAAAATTCCACTGGGGCAAAGAAAATGCCCTCAGTATTTCACCAACCAAGTTTGCAGACTCAATTTATTTTTTAAAGGAGACTTTTCTTCAATATTTTGCACACGAGAGGGAAGTCAAGTGATTTCAAAATGGGGCTAAATACTAGACTGGTTAATGTCCAACCATGGTCCAACTATTTGAAAAGACTGACCGCTTCATTCAGTGTCAATAGTCTGGTGGCTTGACTATGGAGAAATGTGTAGTAAAGTGAGACTAGTTCCCGCTTCATGCCACATGTTTCTTAAATTCTTTTGGCATGGTTGATTGATGCAGTACTGAAGCTGTGTTGGACTGGTTGTTTTAGGTGCCAGTCTATTTTCTTGTTTTGCATGTTTTGAATACCTTACGTTTTGGGACTCTCATACACAGTATTGAGAGTCCCAAAGTTTTGGACTAGATCTAGCTGTGCTCCGTGATGAGCATGGGCCGTATGGCGGTTGCCCAAGGTATCATTATATGCCATCGGCTCAACCATGTTGTGCCTGTGTCTTTCACAAATCAGCTTCTGTTGTGAGTAAGGATGATTAGATCCCCAAATTAATTTTTTAAAGGGGCACTACGTCCTGAAATCACCGAAAAATTTCATGTTTTGGATTATTTACTTCGCCTATTTCAAACATCTGGTTGAAAGGAAACCAACCTAAAGTCTTACCGTTCTTGAAAAAAAAAAAAAAAAAACCGCTTGTTTACATCGGACACGACGGAGTACGAATACGTTTTTCGTGTCGTTCCCAGTGTACGGTATACACGTTGTGTGTCTCGGGAACAGCGGTGACCAATCACCAATGCAAAAAAAGTGGTTTCTTCAACGTCCGCAAAAGGCGAACATTTTACGGATGAAATCACAACTAGCATCCAAACAGCTTGAATTTATGGGGTCGCAAAAGTGGACCCCGAAATTCGTTTTCGCACGCATAATACAGGAATAACACAAAAACGCCAAGTTTTGAAAGGATAGTTGTGTGGATGTTTATATCCTACTTTTAAATGTTTTTTTCAGATTAACATCATCTCGTTCAAAGTGCGTTTTGTAGCCCAATTTGGGTTGTTCCAGGACCTAGTGTCCCTTTAATGGCATTTTTGTAACATTCTGTTGTGGTGGATCATTATTCTCCAACTTTCGACAGGAGTGGTTGAGTATCAACTCTTGTCCCGAATCCTCAACAAGCATCCGAGCATCCACAACACCGTCATCGATCCCAGCTCAAAACAAGTGGACCTCTACAAGAAGCTCATCAAGGAGAAGGCACCTGCGTTAGACGGGGTCCGGTACGACTGGCGCCTCCAGACACTCGGGGAGTACCAGCAGAGCAGCGAGGAGTCAGGGGACAATACTAAGTTCCATTTCATTAGTGCGCTCTATTGTCTGTACTATGAGCCCGACATGGATGCCGCGTTGGAGTTTCTGTATAGCAGACTGGAGCCTGGAGGTGTGCTACTCGTCGGAATGGAAACAGGTATGCAAGGTTGTCTCAGACGAAATCTACAAGCTTGTAATCAAACCGTCTATAAAATGTAGGGTTCGTAAGCAAGGTTTAGTCTTGTGCAGGTTGTTTTCCTAGTTGTAGTAGAAGCAAGTTCGATTGACCAGAAGGCGACAAGTCCTTCATTAGGGACATATGATGTGTTCGTGTGCTGATGGCATAGTGCGAACGTCTCTTGTCAAACGGTGGTAAAAAGACATGAAACTTCGCAGTCCTGACTTTCTGTTGTACATCACCAATTTACTGTAAAGTTTGCCATCTTTGTGTGGACCTGAAAACGGAACAGGTTCACACGATGCAGGCGAGGCAAACGTTCGTTAAATATTTTGGTAATCAGCAATGCCACTAACCTTGGTAGGCCTTTCCCAAATAGTCAACTAGACTAGTACAACTATTGTCTTCAAGTGTGACGTTAATTCAACCATAGTAGACAATAGCTTGCTAATGAACTTGCTCTAGTTTGTCGAGAAAAACCATGTGATTACAATTTTTTATGTCTGTGTTATTTGCCACGGTTTTGCAGATAGTTGCGACATGATCAAGATAGAGCAGCATTTCCAATTTGCCCAGGATGACATGAACCAGTTCTTCTGCACCCGGGATATCTGCGCCTACTACGAGAAGCAACGCATCCCGTACCTCGTCTGCAACCAGCCGGACGACCAGCGCGACTTTGACATCACCGACTGCTTTGACGACGCGTCAGATGAGGGCGCCCTGGTGCTGGATTTCCTCTCCAACGTTCTGCACTTTCGTCAGACTGTGCCCCCGTCACTCTTGAAGGAGTTTCGTGATTACTTGAAGAAGCTTGCCACTCTCCGGGACGGAAAGGTGTTCCTGTATTATGATTCAGCTTACATCTTGGCTTTGAAGAACAAAGTTCCAAACATATCAGGTGATGCGGGCCTTTGACACGCTATGAAAGAGTTTCACAAGCAGGCCTACTTTACAAAAATTCCTATTTTAATTTTTTTTTTTCTGGAATACATTTTACATACAAAATCCAATTCTCTAAAATTATGCATTCAAAAGTACTTTTGTTTTTATTGTAGAATATGTTTACATATAAAATCAAACTCTTTTAAAATTATACATTAAAAAGGGAAACTAACAGGTTTTTAGCTTATCCTGCTGTAACTTAATGACGATAAATAATTTTCAACAATATTGCTGGATTCAAGCTTTCCTATAACTCTAACCACCCCCAGTGCTACAAAATACTACTGAGGAGTAATCTGTAGTATGAAATTCTTTCCCGAGTGTGCACAGCACATGTAGTATTCTGTGGTATTTGGTACTTGACCCCCAAACAGCCCTTTGGCGGTTAGGGTTAAGGTACTTAACAGCCTCAAAGGATAAGTTGCTCAAAACCGTCTCAAAGTCTGTTTTTCAGTAGAGTTGGTCACATTCTGATGAATGGATATGACATTATTTTCATGGATCCCAGAATGTGTACAATGATTCTCATGGAGATTTGAAAACTTTGAATAATGTGGTCATGACATTCTTTCTCAGGGCAGTACAATTGTATAATTACATTGTACACGTAACATGGATGTATGTTAGGGCTGTCCACTTTTGAATAATTTAGTATTCAATTATTCGAAACTGCACTTGACCGAATATTCGGATATTCGAAAACTCCCCGATCAAGTTTTACACACACCAGCTGCAGCTGCATTTCTCACTAGTCAAAAGTTGCATACAAAGCGCGCTGGTTAAATTTGCATGTCGCGATGGACGTGTGGTCTGCTGAAGTGTTTTGCATAGTACTGTTCAACTGCCAAGGGACTTTACCCAGCTGAAAGAATGGGACCAATAAATGGGCCTAGGCATCAACCAAAAAGTAACCATCGACAAAAAAATGTGGCATCTGACAATAAAAACGCAACTTTACGAGTAAAATAACATCACCGTAGTGTGTGCACGAGCATAGTTTTTTATCTTTTTGAATTTTCAGTGGATGATCGAATATTCTGTGTATTTTGGACAGCCCTTATGTATGTGTGGGTGGGTTTGTTTATAGTGTAAATCGATGAATTGAGGACAGGAACCAAATCGAGGAAGACCTCGATGAGAAAACGTGTACAAAACCAATGAGAGCTGTTGCAAATAAGTTTTGAGTATAAACAAAGGAAAAGGGAGGAGGAACAATAGAAAATCCTTTATTTACACCATAAACAGACGTGGGTGTACCGGTACATGTATTAGTTAAAGCGGGCAGTAACACACATGTCTGTGGCAATAATGATAGTAAATTCAGCTGCTTCCATAGTTGCATACATGTACAGGGTGAGTCAAAAAAAGCGGGACTCAAACCCCATAAAATATATTTCATATTTAAAAAAAAATGGAGCACCAAAAAATAATAATGACTGGAAAGACAATTTCATAAGCTACTGTTAGATGAAAAATGTACTGAGATTGCACAATCCGTTCAAAGAATATTACCATTTAAACACCATGACACTAAAACCTGTCTCGTCCAAAAAAGCAATTCATTGTGTGTTTTGACTGTTTGGAACAACAAAGAAAATGACCCAGAATACTTGTTTCCACAACTGTCACCAACTGTAGTACACAATATCTTTTTTTAACAACCCTGGTTAGGCAAACGATATGATTTATAAAATCTACTTTTTTTAAAGGACAGGCCTTAAAAGGGATTCTGTTGAATAGTTTTAACGTTTAAACAGAGTTTGTATCGCTGGTGATGTTTGAAGACAATTGCGACAACGATTCTTTAAATCACATTTTTTTTGGATGAGACAGGTTTCAGTCATTCTGTTTACATGGTGATATTTTCTGAACGGATTGACCAATTTCAGTAATTTTTTTTATCTAAAAGTACCTTATGAAATTGGCTTTCCAGTCATTATTATTTTTGGTGCTACATACTTTTTTAAATATGAAAAATAATTTTGGGGGTTTGGGTTCCGCTTTTTTTGACTCACCCTGTATGTTACTGCAGGCTGGAGACAAGAACCGGTACATCGCAATTCAGATGCAAATTTGCATGTACTATGTACACGTGTAATTTATAAAGAGATATTTTTGTACTCCCATGTTATAAATCAGGAGTACCTGGTTTAAGTCTTTTATCTCTTAAAAATATTTTTGTAGGTGTCACATTGTTACAACACTGTGGTTTATTCTGTAAATGAGTTTTGGTTTTTTGCCTGTAGAATCTGCCTTCTGGTTTTTGAAAAACCCTTACGAGGTCACGAGGACTGAAATGTTTATTTTAGAATTTTACAAGTTACATCTCACATAATTATGTGTTGTAGCAAAATGTGTATTTTTGATATTTCTTCTGTGGTGTATTCTGTAAATGAGTTTGCTTTTGACTGAAAAAATGCATGTACTGAAATTTTATTTTAGAATGTTACATGTTACATCTTACATAATTATTGTATATGTTGTAGCAATTTTAAGACTAACATGTACATGTATGCAGCAGATAACAAGTGTAGATTTATCGTTTGGGTATAGAAGACTCAAGAACCAAGTTCAGATGACAAAGGACTTTAATACGCTGAATTTTTATCCCGGCACTTTTTTAAACATGCAGAGTATTGTGTTGCAGAGTTTTTAATTTTTCAGTCGTGTGCATGCATTGTGTTAAAATACCAAATGAATGTTCAATATCCCACTAAACACAAACAAGAAAAAAAAGGTGATCAATCTTTTTGTCTTATTACACATTTATTCCAGTACTGAAAAATCCATACATTAAATTGAGCTTTACTGCTTTAGGCCTCTCGTGTCTACATAAATTTGCTACACTATTTTATGCCCGATCATTACCCGTGCATTTCGCATTCTGTGGCTCATATAACAAGCATATTTGTAATTGCGTAAGTCCATGTACATGTACGTGTACATTATGCTTCTCTGTGCATAATACTTACAGAACTGAGTAAATATCAGTTTGTTGTTGTTCATGCCATACTTACAGCCTAATTTTGTAAAGTATTGATTTAAAAACATAGTCCATCATTTGTAATTTGTGCATTTTGTTCGTTTGTCGCAACAAAAGTGTTCAAAATCTAATGAAGGTTACTGTACAACTAACCTGATGAAGTTTCAGCTCAGCTTCAGCTGTATATTCCGAGAAAAACAGCATTCTAGTATCTCAATTTCAAATCAAAAGTTGCTAAATCATGTTTTGAATTGTTTTGAATTGCAGCTATACGCGATGTTGCACACTGATCCGACGAATTATAGCAACTGCGCGTGCCTGTGAGTCGTGCCAATGCTTGCGCGCGCTGCGCCGAATAACAAAACGATCTACTAATTTAAATTTTCCTACGGTGTTTCTTAAGACGCACCGTTGGAAATGCCTTCTTTCGTTGATTTCTTCAAAATGAGAGTTTGTCAGAAAGAATAATTTCACAGGGAGTTTAGTCCACTTACTATCTTTCAACCAGTATGTTTTTTCAACAATAATTACACCAGTTACTTTTTTGGATAGCTGCAAATGATGGACTCTGGCTTTAAATGTATACATGTGCTGTACATGTACAGCAAAATTATATATGTACATTAAACTTTGTACATGTACTTCGTATCCCATATGGTTAAACTGTGCATCTGTGTTCTGTACATCTTAATAAAAGGTGGTGTGGTACATATTCACAGGAAACAGACACACTTTGTTCTTTTCATAGTCTGTGAGCCCAAAAAAAGAGAAAACAGATTTATCTTCAACCTCAAGAAGAACTCGATAAGAAGATTGTTTGTAATGAGTGCTGATGTGGACATGGACGGTACCAATATGCATCAATACAATGGGCATATTGCGCTCAACGGAGTGTATCAAGAAAACAATCCAATAAAATAGCACTAGTAGCTAAATCCAAAAATAAATTTATGAACGCGTCCACTGTCTGTCAGCATGGTTGTATCTTATTGGATATTGATACGCGAGTAACTCTGCAGTCATGGATGACTGAATACCATTAGTTTCAAAACAGATGGCAATAACCATCTCAACCAAAGTTGGGCAGATTCTGAGCAGAGATGAACTGTCCAAACAGTGCACTGTGGATTGTGTGTTGGAAGGGGAGACCCGCTCAGTTCACAGGGATGCACATTGCTGGGCCCGATCATGCCACCATAACATCAATCGGCAAAAGATGGTTTTGTACCTTCTGTCTTGAATTCAGTGGAGCTCAGTCATCGGGCATGCAACTGGGAATTCACAAAAAAAGAGGAAATTCAAATCTTTCCAACGGTTGGAAAGTGTTTTTCTATTTTCAATGGCACACATGGGAAGTCAAAAAAGAGGAAATCAGCTGATCCGAGGAAAAGTTGCATGCCTGAGTTATCCATGACTGCAGGAATCCATGATTGCAGGGCCAGTTCATGCCATCGTACGTAATCATACTTCCTCAACAAAAGATGGTTTTCCATCTTCTGTTTTGAACTCAATGGAGGTCAGTCATCAATTACTGCAGGGATGCAAATAAGGAACCCGGTATCATGTACGGAAAGCTGGTACACCACCCTTTCAAAATGCAACCGCACTGACAATAATGTGGTGCTAAGGTTTCAAAGCGCTTTACAATTATTATCCCTGATCGTGCATCAGGAATGAGACCATTTTCCTGTAGCAGCTCGAGATCCGCGCAATGTGGACTGTACCTTCACAGGTACCCATGTATACTCCTGGGTGGAGAGAGGCAATTGTAGTGAAGTGTCTTGCCCAAGAGCACAAGCACCATGTTCCCCATCGGGGTTCAAACCCACGTACCACGGCACATGAGTTGAACACCGTAACCACTGGACCACACCGCCCCATGTTAAAGTTCACAATTTCATTTGTTGATTACCTTGTCATATTGTACAGACCTGAATCCACATGCTACAGGATATAACATTGATGTTTCTATGGATAACAAAGCAGACTAAAGATTCCAGTTTTTCCGAAGCTGTATGTACAAATGTAGTTCAACTTCTCTTACAATGTTCAATCAACTTCAATTGTATTGTTAATATTTTCACAACAGGAATTTAAGCTATGTAGCATTTTTCTACAGGCATGATTTAGAAGAATTAACGAAACTAATTACATGTAGCTTACCTGATTTTTACACATTTACTTGCTCTGTAGTACCAAGGACATATTGGCAACATTTTTTTTTTTTAAGTTTTCATTTCAATTGGGCCTTGGATATGCTTTTAAGTTTTGACAAAGCATCAGTTAACTGTCATATAGACAATTAGTGCAGGATCTTTGTTTCTGAAAGGAACAAACCATACATATAAATTAAACCGCAAATGCACACAGACGAGAAGACATATGTTCCCATTTCTGTGGATCGAGCCCTACTGATTACTATCATCCAAAAACAATTAGTATTTATCCCAAAAGCAACCGAGCAAATTACTATCAAAAAGTTTATTCGGATTAAACATCATACTGGTACCCCATGAAATTATTCCATCTGGCTTGCTGTCATTTGGAAGAAATCAAGAAATGTAGGTGATTTCCAAAGATCAGTCATTTGACTGACCTTTGGAAATAAAGAGTAATGAAATTGTGTTTCGTGATCAAAAGGTTGTGCATGGTTTTTTCACGGTTTTCTCGAAAAGTGTAATATAGGTAGGATAGGTTTTGAACATTCTTCTTTGGATTTTGTGTGGTGATATTGGAAACGAACAATTACATGAAAAGCAAATGATTCTATAGGAGGGCACATGCCGTCTGGTTAATATTTTCTGATGCCAGGAACATCTCAAGAATTGAGGTATTCCACGGGGATGTGACACGTTTGAAGTGGGAAGACATATGTTCCCACTTTGAACAGAGTTGTTGCGAACCACTAAGTTGGGACATGCACAAAGCCCACTTGCATATGTCCCAACTGAAAACAACTGTGTTGCACCATAGAGAAAGGACATGTCTCTGTGGTTGCACATGGGAAGCTGTTTTCTCAGCTGCAACATTTTTAACGAATTGGAACTGGAACATTCAAAGAGTTTAGACATCTCCAAATCTTCCCGCCAAATACGGTGCAGATAAACCACTCGCGTTTATTATTCTGTTGAAGTTGTTGACTTCAGAGGCTAGTTTCATAGACAGATGTGTCGCCACCCAAGGTTTCTGCCCTATTTTCAACTGGGTCCACAGGAGGACTCAGCTTGTTGTAAACATTGCCAGAGGTGTGAAGCTTGGCCTTATTTGGGGGTCTGAATCTGTTCAACTTGGAGTAGGCTTCCCCGTTTTTTTTGCGGGCTTTGGGTCCTGCTACAGGTACGTTGCACCTTTGGAGGGAGCCAAAATGTTGTTGGGGGACAATGGGGGGTCTCTTCTCCAAAGCCCCGTCAGATAGGCGATGCTTGGTTGAGAGTGAGCCGGCCATGAGACCCTTCCTGGTACGAACTTTGATGGCACTCTGGTAGCCTTCCTTCGTTCTGTGTTTCCTGTCCTCCTCGTCTGATGATGAATCGTCTTGTGTGAGCTGTGTCAGTGAGTCGGGAATTGTGTCCGGAGTACCTCTGCCTGGACCAAGGGGTGCTTGTTGGGCTTCCTTTGGATGGGATGGGATTCCAGTGAAGTCATTCACCTCAAAATACTGGGGGAGGGTTATCTTACAACCGGGTGATTGCAGGAGATTGCTCTCGGAGACTGACAACCGGTTATCAGGAGACCTTGCCCTGGATGGGGTGTCTGTCAGTTCCTCGTAGACATGGATACGGGATAAGTGTGGGTTTGAGGGGGTCTTGGGTGCCTTGTCTTTTCCTGTAGTTGTAGACTCCCACTTGGGGATTGCTGCTATGTTGGATGCTGCAGTTGGAGAGTGGAGGTAAGACTCGTTTCTCCACTCCTCCGGACTTGTGGGAGCCCCAGTGGCCGTGGCTCCATCCTTATCACCCTTTGCAATCACAAGATGGAAACTGCCTGGGGTTTGTCCACCCTCAGAGCCGCTGCGTGGAACTCCCAGGAGTTCAGGCTGACTTGTCGGCCCCTCGTTTGACAGGGAGGCCTCTGGACCTTTCCTACCCTTCTGCGGATCGCTGTAGAGCCGAGGAAGATTCTTTGGCAATTGGGGGCCAGGTGCAACGCCGGCTGACTGGGATCTGTCCCTCAGGCTTTCTGAAGTCGGATCTTTCACTGGGCTTGGCCAAGCAAAGTCGTCCTCTGATATGTTGGTCAACTGGCAAATCACAGAGTCCAGACTTTCGGTGGCGGGCTTTACATTAATTAAAAAGAGGAGGGACTGGCCTTAAAAATGAACTTTCATCACTGTTAGGGTATAATTAGAAGGCAGATTTTGCAAAATTATACTCTGGTGTAATATGTACAAACAACCAGGGAGTCAGACTCATTTATCTTCAATGTACCTAGCCAACATGAACATAGTGTGCTCTTTTAAGGCAACTGTGGATGTCTTCACACATGTATACTGCTTTATGGCTCTCTTGGTACACATGTCAACTTTGGACACGAAATGTCCGTTTCAGTATGGTAAAAAACATGTACACGAAGTTGAATCATTATTAATACACAAGTGTGATGCATAATTTTAATGTGCTTATACACACAAGGTAAATAGGACAGCCTACTAAAACAGAGCAACAGTACGTTGGAATAAGGGACACTCCTAGTTGTGCATCAGACTGTAATGTTTGCAAAAAATGAACACATTCCTTTGTAGGCCTAAAAGTTACATGCACCATTTTACACCTGGACTTCGGGACACTGTTGTCATTTATCCCATAGGCCTACTTTGTATAGCTCAGAGTATGAGCGCCCTCTTTGATATCAGAGACCAACACTGTGAATTTACATTATTAAAACTTTTGCTCTTTCTTGCAGAAAGTTATACTTGAGAAAATAAACTACAAACACATGGTTACCTGCATCTTGGTGGTTTCGAAGGATCTATCCGATTCGGCGGTCTGCTGGCTGTGCTCACCATATCTAGATTCGTTTTGGTGTTCAACAACTGGTGGAGTTGTAGGGACAGGACCTGGAGTTGGGATATTAACAATTGGCACACTTTCCAGCAATGGTCATTAAAAGGTCACGTTAACCCTATAAGTGTCTGGTGTACTGTGTGTTATCTCTGACGGAATGTTGTAGCACCAACAATGTTTCCACTTTTCATTTACAAGTTACTGTATACGTCTATTCAAAGACCCCTCTGTTATTATGAAACTTGGATAATTTCCCAATACATAATGTCCAAACTCGGGGTTTTCATGCAAAATGCATCACTGTGTGTGTGATATGGACAATAATTGTGTGGTAGATAGTGTACTTAATCTTCAAGCAGACTGGAGACCTAAATCCTGATTGGTTGATTCCCAGATATGTCCGCCCCAACTAATTTACTAGTTCCCATAGGGAAGTGTCCAAAAGAAAAGAAAACTTACAAAAACTCCAGGAAGGCATGCTAATTATAATCAGACAAGATATTGTCATAATGTGATCATTCTTTAAAAATTCCGTTATGGAAAGATTCCCAAATCTGGTCATCACAAATTTTTCCCTTCAGTGACCTATCAGCAATCAGAAAGTGATATGTCTAAAAAAGAGTCAAATTTAGCAGGGAAAATATATAAGTATTTACTGAGAAAATACTTAGAAATTTTCAGACCAGTCTGGGGTATGTGCACAGGGTGATTAAAAAAAAAAAAAAATAGGCCTAGGCCTAATGGTTTATTTTAGTTTTGGTCATCTTACTGCATATTGCCGCCACGGGTTCAGGTAGCATAAGAGTGGTCCCATCCTCACGGTCAGAACCGTACAGTGTTGCAGATCTACAAAAAAAAAAACACCACAAGGTTTGCTCCGTACGAACAATTCGGGTGTAACTTTGCAGTGTATAAAATCTATTGGGAAATACCGTTTACAGAATTTAGAAATGTCAGTTCGAAATTCAAAAATTCGTAAATAATTTTCAACAATGATATCGATGACGAGCCTCGGGATATGGCGACAAAAAGTTGCGCCACATATTTGCTTACTGCATTCCCGACCTGCAACTATTTGAAAAACATTTGACGAGTCAAAAAAATATGTAATTTGCGGGGTTTTTTTTAGGGGATATGGATGGCATGCTGAAGTACTCACCTGTACCGTTTTGGCTGTCAAATCGAAATCGCGCGCCACGAGCATGCACGTGTTATTCGTGGTTGTTATGTACATCTATAGAGGGCGTCTTTCATTATGTGTAAATGCTGTGATCATTTGCATATTTAGTTACACCTTGGTTTGCAACATAACACAGATTTAAGCCTAATAAGTGACGGCTATATATTTCATTCTACCTGCGGGCGACATAAAATACTAACAATAATATATTTCATACAGCCGTATACATTTTTAGACAGTTTTTGTTGATTACTTAGTGTTTTAAAAAAAAATATTATTTCTGTCTTAATAGTATCCGTACTAAAGCCTGTCAACCAACAGTTTGCAACACACGGACAACAGCTTCTTATTTTATATAGCAAAGGAAAAGTCCGAGTGAACACCTCTAATCCAAAGCCAGCGATAATTTCATTCATTATTTTACTGTGAAAAAAGCGACATTTTACTCACGTCGCCTCTTGCAACTCGACCCCAATGCGATCCCGACGGTTGACCGTGTAGGTTTTCACGTACGTGCGCCTGCAGCACATGCGGTCCAAGCTAATGGATATCGTGGGGATGAGGATGAAAATCACCAAGGCAACCACGACCCAGAACCCGATGAAAATGAAGGTTTTGAGTCCTTGGATCCACTCGTCGTTGGAACTTGGAGAGCCTTTTGTCGACACAAATGCTAAAATTTAAGAAGAAAGTACAATTAATTGGTAATAAACATTTTATCGATTTTTTTTTTACATTCATGCAAAAAACAAGATCAGTTCACATTTATTTCCATTCTGCACAGGACAATTGAAATACATGTATACAATAAATAACAATATATAAGGAAATATATATCTTGTATAGAGATGCATATAATAACTAATTTCAATTAATTATTATTAGGTGAAGTAAAAAAAAAACATGTTTCTCGTCCCCGCCTGCTTCCTTTTTGGAGGCCGCCTGGAATTTTTTATATTTTTTATTTTTGAAAAATGCAGTAAAAAACACCGAAAAAGTCCACAAATTAATCGGAAAATAAATTGTAGACCAATACAAGTCTAAATGACACTGTAAATATGTTCAGTTCTCTTGTCCAACTGATCTTTCATTTTAAAAGTGTCTTTGAACAGTGGAAACACCAACGGTTGCAGGAAATTTTTAAATGGCGGCCATCTTGAAACAAATTTAAAAAAAAAAGGGAAAAAAGCCCCACTTCCTCCTTTTTTTTCAAAAACCCGGACGAGAAACATGTTTTTTTTATTCGGCCTTATTGAAAATACATACTGAGCGAAATGATGAGAAAAATCAGACACAACAGACAAACAGATATGCAGAATGACAAAATTGACGGATGACACAAATAAACTGTTAAGACATACTGATAAGAAACAATGTAGGCCTACATATTGCTGACAAAATGAAGCAAATATACATAAATACAGTAAACAAGACTGAGAAAATGAATTTAGGCCTTAAGACCGCAAATTACACAAAGGCCGCAAACAAAGTAAGATTATTGTTTCGGTGGAAAATTCATGAAATTTGGTGAAGGCCCGACCACCGCCATTTGGGGGATGGGAGGCGTTGATAACCTTTGGAGCATGTACCCACTGGGATAGGTGTTATTGGCCATTTTTACGAGGCTACACATTCGGCATCATGATCACATACCTGGTACAGATGTCCCGTTAAGTGTAGAGTTGCCGTCTGTGGAGCTTTCCGGTGTAGTGATATTCAAAAATATCGTCGAATTCCTGCGCACAAGCAAAAAGAACCACTTGTTCAAAGCAGAATCAAATAAAATAGCAACAGTCACAAATTCCACATGTAATTTTGAGTTAAAAGCGCATTTCATGTTAGGGTTCAGAATCATTACACGATACCCTCCCTATTCCATAACTTGTTTGGGGGACATTACGAAGCCCTTCATATGTTTCGTAGCAGGGGCGGATCAAAATAGACTCATAGGCGTCGCAAAGGCGGGGGATGCAAGGGGGGGCACTTGCTCCCCGGAACCCCCCCCCCCCCCCGGAAAAAAAAACAGGACAAAGCAAAGGACAACATAAAAACACGAGGAGCGAAGTTAGTAATGTGTTAATATAATTGGCGCCTCACAATCGCTATACTATAGTACCGGTATAGCATCACCCTCCTGTCAGGGTGACTTGAAAAAAAACACCGCGCGTAATTTTGAACCACCACCCCCCCCCCCCCAAAAAAAATCCTGGCGACGGCTAAAAAGAATAATTTCAACGCCCCTTTTTTGTATGTGTCAGTCATTTTCAAATGCAGCATTTTCGAAAAAGGTCAGGATCAAAACCGTGCATGCGCAAGTAGTGATTTAGGTCAGTTTATTTTAGTTTTTATAATAGTACATGTATAATTATTGAAACATGTTCATTCAGAGAATATTATGGCAGGAATTTGGTTGAAAACCTACTCAGTGGTAGTGTCCGTAATGTCCGCAGTTACGGTGGGAGTTTCCGTTGCAGAGGTGTTCAAAACTTCCACACACAGAGTCCAAGTTAGGATGACCAGCAGAACTGAGAAATGCGTCTTCATCTTGGACTACAAGTCTTCAAACCTTGGTATGTGAAAAACTTAACAAGCGTGTCCACAAAAAAGTGTCCTTCCTTCATTTTTTTTCAAATGAACCACACAGGGAAACTGACAAGGTGAATTATAACATTGAAAAGTTGAACAAAGAAATTGACTGGAGCGGGGCTTGAATCTGCGACCTCCGGATTACCGTTCTGGTGCTCTTACCAACTGAGCTATCCAGCCCTATGTTAGCTGTTCCCCAATTGGTCAATATATTTGTTCATGGGGCGCTAGTCAGAAGCCATAAACCAGTATGCCATACAGCCAGGGATCACGCCCATAATTAGTCACCATACAGACCTTGGAAATAACAAACGGGGATCACTCAGGAGGGACACGGTTTTTCCCTTCATTTTTTTCCCTTCAAAATCAATCCAATAACAATTTCATGTTATTGTTTTACCGGTATGTACATTGAAACTAAAACTTGGGCACTTATTATGAAAAAGGAAGCTGGTTGTCTTTTCCTTTCACAAACTTGATAAAGACGATCTCAGAATTCGAATAAATTTTGGGCTTTGGGAACTATATTCTTTCGTCTGAATCTTCGGCAAGGATATTTATTGCATTCGAGGCTCGAGCGGGGAACATCGATTCTTTAAAGCATGGGAACTCCAACTTTATGGAGCGATTTAAACAAATACATTTTTGGTGTGAAAGAATCATGCGAAATGAATTCGATTGATGTATTTTTATGACATGGTTTATAATTTCCTCCCTACCGTATCAAAATAACGTATTTTGATTCACACGACTAAAATCACATTGGCAAAACCCATAATCGAAGAATAACACATACAAACCTTTTAAAAAGCTGAAGGGTTTTTTTTAATGTCAATCATCATATCCTCCAGTTTTCAAAGTAAAAATACGGTGTCAAGAACACGAGTCGTAAAACTATCTTTAACACTTAATAACGAAACATTACAATCTTACCTTAATCTAGCAGATGCGTTGACTTGCAGCTCAAGTTAATTAATGCAACGCCCAAGGGACAAAAACACACAAGAGCCAGAAACAATAGAACGTCGCTCTTTATTGGAAAGTGAAACATGATGTGACAAGTTGACGCCCGTGACACAGTGGCACTGTGATTGAAATGCAAAAGGAAGGTTCTATTTTTAGCGTGTTACACTTTCAAATTTGACCCAAACAAGGAAACACAATGGTAATTGGAAACATGAATTAATCAGGCACGTAGAGCGGTTCAAAGATAAATCATGCAATTAATATTTCCTCTTGAATGTATGTGGCAGCTGTAAACATAAAAGAAGACTATTTGTTTCAAGAGTAAGAACACTTTCGTATTCTACAGGGCGTCCTGAAAAAAAAATGGTGCATGTGTGTAAACCCTTCCATTTTTACTGCGGATGTTTACACCATCTTCAAGGTAATAGATTAAGCTTGAGAATACCGTTTGTTTAATTGAGATTGCTTTTGTAAATCCAAAGATATGTTTGAATAACGGCAAAGCCAAGAAACCCATTTTGTGCCACTTTATGTGAAGCAGTTAAAATCGGTATAGTCCTTGTCTAAAACCAAATCACTTTTACCGTTAGTGATTTTAACATTTTTAAGCACATTTTTAAGCAGAGTGTGAAATTTTTATTTATATTTCATTGAAGTTTTAAAGAAGTGAACCTGTCTGTACTATTAAATTGTTTCGACATAAGAACAAGACCCTATATTGTCGTGTGAATGGAATGTTTGTCTTGCACCCATAGGGATCATCTTATCAAAAGAGCCATACTGGTATTGTCTGATCTTTGAAGCACTCGCTTCCTAAAAGTGGCACAGAATGTTTTTTTTTTGGCTTTGCGGTTATTCAAACATATCTCTGGATTTACAAAAACAACCTTAATTAAACAGACGATATTCTCAAGCTAAATCTGTAACCTTGAAGATTGTGTAAACATTTGCAGTAAATTCCGGTTGTAAATTGGCGAAAATGGCGGGCTTTACATGCACCATTATTTTCAGGAAACCTAAGTGATTCAGGAAATTTAAAGAATATGAAAAACAAGATTTTGGACCCCTAAATGTTTCATTCAATCAAATACGAATCACGTAAGATCCCATTTTTACTGATACCTTTATTGTCTGATGATTTACTGATATTGTCTGATGATATTTATTGCAAACTTTTATAAAATACCTTTTGAAAACCGTCTTCTCATAACAATATCGTGAGAAATAACGCAACCAAAATAGGTTATGTTATGTCGATATGAAATCTCTCGTTTCTAGGTTTACATTTCAAACTGCACTTCCTCAATAACACTGATGGAGCAGTGCGTGTAAATTATTAAGAAAAAGAAAGGGAAAGTTCGATGATGTTACTTCTCGTTTCGAGTGTTATTGTTATTTTGAGGAAGTACTGGCGAAATATGGTCGGATAGATAGATGGAACAAAAACAATGCTTTTTCTCTTATGGATGAAGCACAGTACTTTAATTGTGTGTATAAAGTGAATAAGGAGGCCTTGTTTTGTTTCTTATTGTGTGCTGGATCGATAAAGTACACACATATATGTTTATGCATTGCATGTACATGTATTAGGAAAAGAGACGCTGTCAAAGCATGGAGACTAGAAAGCACTCTGAGAGTACATATCTCGGCCAAGGCTAAACAATTCCCCGCCATATTGACAGAACACCCCAAAGAAATACTCGCATAAATGGTGAAGAATCCCTAAAAAAACAACCTTGTATCCAGACCCAGATCCGGATTACTTCCAAAATCGAATCGATTTGTACATGTACTTGTACCAAGGACCACCCCTAATAAAAATTGTCATGCAAATCCATCCATAACTTGAGTTATCTTGTTAACCGACAAACCAATCAACCAACCAACCAACACATGCCGATGAAAGCATAACCTCCTCGGCGGAGGCAATAATGTAACAAAGAATGGAATAGTTGAACAAATAATGAAAAATTAAAAAAAAATTCACATCGGGACGGTTTACTGCAGAACACAATAAACACACTCACACCAAACTGAAAGAACTAAAAGAAACAAAAATGGGCAAATAATTTTTTTCGGCATAATACAATATAAAATAATTGGTTTATTATTTCATTCGGGTTGGGGGTATCAAGAAATAACACAAGACAGACAACAAAATGGCGGAAAGGTAAAGACCACTACTTCATTTCATACTGACTTGGAGGAATAAATGCGTAAAAGAATGACGACCCTTAAAATCAGCTAAAAACAGACAATCACTTCTGAGGTTCACATGTTGGGGAAGTTTCTTTCCATACCATTTGACCTTAACTACTTCCATCAGATGAAAGGAACGGAACTACTGGTAAATACAGTAAGCTTAACCTAAAATTTACAACAAAGGAGTATTACATGTCTGTACATAATGTATGCAACATCTTTGGCTAAGAATAGATAAGAATTATATCGCGAATAAATTATTATATCTATGTATATTCATGTGTACTTGATGCACTGGAAATATAGACTGTGTTCCAGTTAACGTGGGAATGCTCGACAGTACATACTGACGGGCCCATAGGATTCAAAATACATATACAATACAAGCACAATATGCACTGTAGAAATAAACATATCTTGTGACTCCACACTACAGTCGAAAATAAAACTGTTGTTTTCTGTCGGGATTAGCCATATTATGTTTCCTACCAATGGACAAGTGTTTGATTCCAGAACTGATTCCCAGATATTTTTGTTTCAAATTTGTGTGACGCAAAGATATTTTGGGGTTTTGTAAAAACAAACAGGAAAATTACTTTTATGGCAAGCATTGCTGGAATTAAGAATTAAAAACAAGGGTGTGGGCGAGGTAGGGGCGGGGAGGGCTCATAATCGAAACACTGGCGCTTAGAAATGGCTATATACATCAATTTACACAATAAACAGCCAATAATGTGACCCTTACAGACTTGATAGAAATCCATTCAGATTTCTCCCTATGGATACCTATAAACGCCTTGCACGGAGCGCCCTCAATGAGAACAGGTTTTGTCATTTAAATTCTGTGACAACGAGAGTGCAATGCATTTATTCACGTGTTGCTCATCATAGAGGAACAAAGCCCTGTCCTCAGATGCAAGGTGTCAATTGGATGTTTTTAAAATTGTCTTTCTGTTGACTTGAGCATTATTGGTATTATGCTTAAAAACTAAAAGCTTAATTGTACTACTTGTTTTTATGAATGAATCTTGTAATTCCTCACAGCACCAGGGCGTTGCAAGTGGTCCATGGAGTCTTAAGGCCTGTAAATCTGGGTCAAATTTTCCCTTTTTTCTGTTTGGGATATCGGACAGAATATTTTTTTTATTTTATAACACCATTCTGATTTATGCAACATCTCTGTTATTTAATAAATACAGTAGGTTACTTCCCATATACATGTAGTATGCCCTTGCTTTGGAAACTTATTATGTGACTCTTATATCAGACATTTCATGAGAAAATTCCTCCAATTAATTATTTTTTTTATAAAGTCCCTAGAAACTCAGACATTTTTTCTTAAGTACTGTACATGTTTATTTACAGAAAAAAAATAACGATTTTTTGTTTACGAACAAGTTGAGAATTTACTGAATTTTTACAAATAAAAAATTAAATTATTTTGTTTTAAGAAAAGATGAATACAATTGTCTAGAGTAATTTTGGATTATGAGTTGAGAAAAAGTACAATTGTTTTATTTACATGGTGAATCTACAAAATGTACAAGCGTGTGCAAATTCCTGAAAACATCTGACTTGCTTAAAACTACAAAGGCATAGTATTATTATGGTACATGTGGTTTTATATACAATGGCCTTTTTTTTGTAATAAATGTACATTTTGATTGTGAGGGTGCTCTTTTTAAAACTGTTGGAGTGCAAAAAGTCATTGTTATATTTTTTAATTTAAAACAGTTTTTCAGACTTTTGCGGAAAAAAAAAAAAGCTGGTGACAACTATTCTAAACCTGGGATCAACCCTCTGACAATGCATTGACTTTATGGAACTATACCAAGATGGCTGCAGTGATAATTTAGCAGTTATAGCACGAACACTGTACAGCTCTGAATATAGTTTCAATCTGTACAGTCATTACTTTAAAATACAACTATATTTATATAGTGTGCATGGACATACACCTACTTGATTAATGGCACTCTAAGGTTGCAAGTACACTTGGGAGAAAACAAAAGAACTTTTTCCACTGTTTTTCTTAAACATAAGACTCCTCTGTGAATTCCACATGGTCCAGTTCATCCAGGAAGCCGATGGAGTGACGCTTGGCTGTGAGGTACCGCCAGTCCTTGCGAGACTTTTCGACAGCCTGTTCCGTCTCCTTGCATGTGGCCATCCCGTTAATGGGGTCCGTGCTTAGGAAGTAGTCCTGCATGGTGCTCTTGGCCTTGGGCGACAGACCTTCCGGGTCAGCTTGGACTGACTGGGCCGGGGGCGAGAAGGAAAAATTTGCAGAACGGGCACTGATGTTTGGGGACATTTCTGAGCCCGTGGAGATGGCCGAGTCGACAGAGTCAATCCTGGTTGCCTTCGCGTGGAGTTTGTCTTCGTCCACACTTTTGGAGCGAGTGAAGGTTCTGACAGACTGAGTGGCAGTTTTGTCTGAGGTGCCGTTTGACAGTGAGTTGTGATGAGAGCGGGGAGATTGAGAGGTTAGTGTCGCCTCTTGACCGTAGAACAAACGGGGATGAGGGGAATCCTCATCGTTCTGAGCTGTCCTCTTGTCACTGAGTGTCCTCTGAATACCCGCAGCCACTGCATTTGCAAAGGACTGGGTTCTACCATCAGCCCTGGCTGAGCGGTCGCTGGTTGTGCGTCGGACCTGCTTGACCTCTTTGTTCTGCAGGCCACCGGGGCTGAACTGACGCAGGCTGTCAATGTCCACAGTGTTATCATCGCTGGATTCCGAGTCAGAGATGTGGAAGATGATGCCACTCTCAATGATGGGAGGGGTCCTAGTAGGCGACTTGGAGTAGGGAGAGCTAGGCAGGCGACAAACTGGCTGCGATCGGGAGATGTTGCAGGATTGGGTGTTGGCGCCAGTTCGTCTCCTTCGTGGTTGGGGCTCCTCACTGTCGAAGACAGGAACGTCTGGTTTGTCAAGAGCTTGAGACTGATGCTGCAGATGAGCTAGACGATGCATGGTCTCTTGGTAGGAAGGAGGGCAATCCTGTCTTGGACTTTCTTGAAAGGATGACCGGATCCTTTGTTTGGAGCCACCATGACCGTTTCGAGACTCTTCCTCTCTTGAGTCTAGTGATTGGGATTTTTTAATCTGTTCATCGCTCAGTGAGCGGGTCATGCCAGGGTTGCTCCGGCTTGGTGTTGCTCTTTGACTTTCTGGATGTGTACCCCTAGACAAGGAAAGATGCGTCGCATCTCGAGGGAAAAACTCCCTGGGTGGAGTGATTGTCTCTGGATAAGTCACACCCCTTCGGTGGCCATCTGGTGAGAGTTTCCCAGGAGGTCTTGTAGAGGATATGCGAGGGCGCCGTGACCGTTGATTGGGGAGGGGGGACGATCTGTTCTCCAGGAAAGCATGCCGTGGAATGGCCTCTTTTGCTGATCCCCCTGCCATGTCCACATAACCTGGGAAAAGCCTCTCAGAAGACTCAGAGGCGAGACCTTCTGAAGAGGATGTTGATGGAGTGCTGCGCTTGGTGGATGGGACCTTTTTGTGGAAAACGTTCAGTGGGTTGTAGAACTTGGCCGGCATGGATATCCGCCTCTGCTTGTGTTTCTGAGCCAGAGGGTTCTTATCCGACGTGGGTGAGCTGCTGGGATGTCCCATAATATCCATACTTGCCATGAGTGAGTTGGCAGAAGAGGAGTTGACTGACACGATTTCTGCCTCAGCCTGCTGGGACTTCTGTGATTTCAGGTAGTCCTGCCGCCTTTTGTCAAGTGTTTTCTTCAAGCCGTCACCTTCAGGACCAGATTCCTCATCTGGCAGCAGATCACTGAAGAGCTTGAAGCTGCACTCTTCATTTAATGTCCGGATCATTTGGACGGTCTCCTCACTCAGTTCCACTTCATTGTCTGAGCCCTCGGGGCTGTTTTCCTCGGAGGTTGCCAAGGAAAGGGACTTGGTGAGGATGTAGCGATTCCTGGGCATATTGGTGTTGGGCTCCGACACCCTTCTCACATGGGCTATGTCCGGCCGCAAGTACGACGGCTCCACACACACCCCGTCTCCCTTCTCCAGGGATGAGGAGCTTCTCACATGCTTCATGCTCGCTGCAGGACTTGGGCTGCTACTCTGACCATGTCGTTCCTTGGCATCTACCCCAGAATCTGTGGTGTCTGTGGTGTCTGACTCGGGATACAGCTGATTGTCGCTAGATGTGAGCCCAGAATCTCGGCTCAGAGTGGATGGGGACAGGACTGGTAGGGTGCTGGGCCAGCCCTCAATGCCAGATAGTTCCCGGTCGATGCTATCGATGGAGGAATCATCTCGCTTCATTCCGCTTGCCTCCACTGAGCCGTGCAGACTGTCAGAGTCCCCGCTCGAATCACGTCGATTTGGCTCTAGTCTCTTGACAGGAGGTCCTCCAAACAAATCCAGGATGTCTTCACCAAAGATCTCTAGGGCATTGTCCACCATAAACTTGACAATTTGGGGAACTTTCTCAGTTGCTTGGACCTGCAAGATGAAGTTAAAAAAAACTTGTCTTAGTGTTACGCACAAGAGATCTCAGGGCACAGTTTCAGAAAGCAGGATGGACTCAAGTCAACTCAATTATCATGTCCCTTAGCAAGACACACTGCAACAATGACGAGCAGCAATTCTTCATACTTGAGAAAAGGGAATAACACTACGAACCAGTGTAGATCAGGAAGATAAGGTTATCACTAATACTGCCAATTTTTTGTTAATTTTTTTTTCCCAAATCAGCTCCTCCCCAGCTACAGCTTCAACAAAAATTCACCCACCTGAGCAGTGGATCCGCTTGAGCTAGGAGCCCACAGCATACTCGGTGAGCAGCAGACAGCCTGGTTGTAGGAGTTCATGTTGTTCTCGTCGCTGCGCTGGTTGACATGGTACATGATGCATACCAGGTGGCGCAGCACGTTGCGATGACTTGCAGGGATGTTGTTTACAACCCTATGAGGGGAAAGTAATGACATTAATTATTGTACAAGTTTGTTTTGTTTTCTAGTCCAATGTATTTAATCATTGAGTGTTTATGTTTGTGTGTTTTCCAATTTCATTTTTTCTTTGTACTTTCATGTCAAGGTTCCAAAACCACTCATTAGTCACTCACAAGGAATAGGAGCCACTTACGATTTGATGGCATTTATCCTCTGCTCCACCCCTTCAACGTTATTGGTGTTGAGCCAGTTCTCGTACAAAACGTTGTACATGACGCCATTGGGCACGTTGCGCAGGAAGTCCTTCAGCAGTGCGGCGGCAACTGTGATGGGCACCTCCTCGAACGAGACGCTCTCGCCGGAGCACAGCTTGGCCTTGAGCTCCCTCGTCACCCGGGCATTGGCCGACTTGCGGAAGATGCCTGTGGTGAAGGGCCCGTTGTGGTAGATGGTGGCCAGTAGGTCTAGGATGGGGGTGGGCAGGGCATTGTCCTGGCAGAGGACGGGGAGGGGAATGCCAAACAACCTGGAGGGGCAGGAAGAAAGATTGGAAAAACCACGTTACAAAATAAATAGTGTGGATAACAAAATATATCAGATCTTACATTTGGACGTAAGACACAGTCAACTGTTACAATATTTTTAATACCAATGTTATCAATAAATTTATTTATGTATTATTATAATGTTTTAGGAAAGCCTCCCGAAAAATTCACTGTGGACTGAATATGCAGCCTTCCGTTGACAAAAGATATGACCATTAATTTGTATATATATATATATATATATATTTTAAATTTTGATGCGTTTATGAATAACTTACTTGGAGTTTGGTGAGAGGGGAGGTGAGAAGGCATCAGGCAAGTCCCCTTTGCTTGAGATGCCCTTCTTGAAGGACAGCTTGAAGTGCGTCTTGCGACCTTTCTTCAGTCGCTTGCTCTGCGTTGGGAACACTGAGGTATCTGCAAGGAAATTCACAAATGTGAGCAATAAGCAGTTGAGACAGTCCCAAGTCAATCCAAAGCCCCTCCCAAATCAAAAGCCAATCACAAGTACGGTCACGAGTATGAAACTTTGAAAATGCCCTCGTCGCAATAAATTTAACAGCTTGAAACTCAAGGACTAGTGACTGATTGGTGACTTACCAACACTGATGCCGAGATGGCAGTTTCCCTTCCTGCGTAGGAAGAACTGACACTTGTGCTGCTTGAGTGACGTCTCATCGATGGCGGCAGAGGCAGTGGCATCATCCTCTCCTGGCAACAAGAGGTCTCCGTAGCTTTGCTTAGAGAGAGCCTCATGGAGATGGCTCATCTTGATGGCGTAGGGGATTTCATGGCCTAGATTGTGGATGGGGAAACACAAACAGAGACGGTGTTTTATATACATGTACAAACTTAAAAGACAAACTTTAAAATTAGAATTGATCATAAAATGAATTAACAGATCTCTGTAGCTAAACCTCGAGAGGGTTTCTGCAGATTGCTCATCCTGTTAGCTTAGAGGATCTTAATGGCCTACATTAAGAGGTGGAGTCAGGAAATACTGCCCTAAGCCTGGAAGCAAAGAATCTTGCTAACATTTGCTGAGCAATACTTTCTGCATAGTAGCTTCATGCATTCAGGGCCTCACTTACCGATGAGAGGATAGGCCAGTGAGTCCTTGCCAGACTGCACCCAGAGTCCATAGTCCTCGGGCTTAGCGTTGTCCAAGGTGAACTGCTGAAGACACGTCCGCAGTGTCTCATCCACCGTCTCCGTGTTGCCAACCTGGATGGTGCGGCTGTGCACGGACCCCGTACCCTGAGACTCCTTGTTCAGGACCTTCAGGTTGACGTACTTGGGTTCTTCCCGCTCACGCTGGGCCGTTATATTCCTATCAAGAGAGGAGAGGAGAAGATTATGAAAATTGGTTCACCATACCATGCTATGCTTGATCAAAAATCATTGTCTGACGTTGGATGTGAACCCAAGACCTGTGGACTTCAGATCCAAGCAGTCTCTAACATGAGCTATCCAGAGCAGCTTTTGTTGCATTCTCCACTTGTCACAATGAACATGAAAGAGTGGTTTGGCGGAATGTGGTGTGCAGGAATACATTACTATACATGAACGTGTAAGATAAAGCAAGCTGAAAAAGTATACTCAGAATCAAGCTTTCAGAGTTGACGAGTAGAAGATAAATCATTATGCCATTCAACTGTGCGAAGACAGAGAAGTTGACCTCATATTTCAAACTGGGTCACTTTACGAAACCCAAACAAAGTGCCACAATACCTCTTGAACCGTGTCATACTAATTATACCACCAACAACCCCCATTAATCCCAGACCTTTGGCACTGGGCAACAGACTCGCACACCAACCAAAATCACTACATTCAGGTATTTTTTTTTCTGTGACAAACATAGACCCCTAAGACCATTCTTGACACCAATTTGTGGTTTTGCATCACCAAAATCCAACCTGGGAGATGTAAATTGAGGTGATTTACTCCACTAAAGGAGAAGATCCTTGGAAGTAAAAAAAAAACATGGCCTAGCATAAATCGCACCTAGTGAGACATTTATGGCGATAATTAAGCTATAAAACTGGATGGGGTTGGATATAAAGGTCAAAGGTCCCAGATATAAATATTTTGTGCCTGAGCTTTGGTAAACCTCAAGTCATTCACCTTCAAGGGGAAACAAATTGAGGTTGTCAACAATTGTGTGATTATTCACAAAAATTGTGAATTCAGAGGGGCTTTTACGGAGAATGAATGTCAGGAACAGCATGAACACTGGAAGTCATGGTTAACATGCACGTCAGAGAGCGTCCAGTGTTTTGAAATGATGAACTTTATATCAATCTGTGTACTTTTCTGTTTACTGCCAGAATTTTTTGGGTGAGAAAAACTTCAGTCTTTTATTATCCTCTTCACAACATTGATTGAGAGTTGCAATGGTTTCCTTCAAATATCCAATATCAGTTCCTAAATTTAAATCTGAGTTGACGTCCCTTGTCCTTCCTTGCACAGAAATCCTACCACTATCGTAAGCTCTTTTGGCACTAGACAAATCTTGGGGTTGACGCGGGGTTGACATAGGGTTGAAAACATGCAGCGTTTCACACTTGAGGAATTTCAACCATGCGTCAACCCTGCGTCAACCCCCGAGATTAATTTCGCCCCCTGGTTAAACTCAACCCTGCTCCAGACCAGGGTTGAGATTTTCAACCCGGGTTGAAATTCTTGCCAGGGATAAAAAAAAGTAGTAACTGAGCCTGATAAGCTTGATTTGCATGATACAAGTGTGAAATTCTGCAGGGTTGAACACGGGGTTGAAAAATTCAAAAACTCAACCTGGGCCCGCACTGGGTTCGCCCAGGGTTGAGTAGCTTAATGGTCGTTTGTGACACCAAATACCCATAACATAAGCACTCTAGCTGTTTATGTACTGTACCCATAGGCCTATATTTATCTCAAGTGTTAACAACTTTACAGAATAATGTCAGAATAAAAGAGTAGCACTGTGTCATTAAGACATCAGTTATGTAGACACATCAATCATTGCGGAATAGAAAAACATTTTGGAAGAAAGGGACCTGTTTGTGATCCACAGTAGCGCTTCAATAAAAAAAAAAATACAAAGTAACGGAGCAAAGGTTAACGATGAAGCAAAGCTGTGGATGAGGGTAATAAAGGCAGGGCCAGCTGGGGTGTCAGGCTAAACTTTGGACAAGGTGGAATTAATCATTGTCTAACTGAACAGCTTTTTGACAGAATCTTTTCTCTCTGAATTGACTTTGACTGTCCGGATGATGCTATCTGCTGAAAATCTGTTGGCAGACGGGGTGGCGTTTTTGTGTAAATTTGTGGCTTTTATATTTAAAGAAGTGTAACAATTCGATTGTGTGTGACAAAGGATTGTGTGCGAAGAAAGTTGAGATTTTTATGGTTTTATTGTAATCCTTTTAAAGAGAAAATAAGTGAAGCGAATTAAATGTTCTGCAATGTAAAAGAATACATAAAACAAAGATTTTGTACACAGTGCAAATGCACAAGATGACAAAAATGGAGAACTGCTAAACGACGTGGCAAGAACAAGTGTCAGGAAAAAGAAAAATTGATTCAGTCTGTCTTTATGGAAATTCCTGCTCTGCATTGTATCCTATCATTCCCGAATTCTTCTAAATTCAAAAGGTTTTGGAAGAACCATGGCACTTGATGCACCTTTTACCGGGTATGTTTGAAAGTCTGTCTTCCAGTGATTCATCCATTTTATCAGGTCTAACAATGTGACCCCCATTCTTGTAAAGGTCTGATGTCCTGAAAACGTAGAGTTATGTTACATGATATGAACACGTGCTTCAGTTCATGTTATAATGACACCCATCAATCATGTCTAGACAAAAGGAATGTGGAAATTTCCTTCAAAATAAAAGGAGAGACATTTTGATAAATTTAGTAAGATTGCAAAGGAATGCGTTGACTCCCTCAAAACATTTCTCATTAATCTTATCTGTAAGACAATCTACAATATTTCCCTCCAAAATTTCTTCTGATTTCTTCATTTTTAAATTTTTTTTATTTTCTACTTATTTATTTATTGATTTGTTCGATAGTTTGTTTGTTTACTTCTTTATTGGTTCTTTTTTGTTTTCCTTAATGTTCATGTACTTGTTTTTTTTGGGTCATATTTGTTTGTAAGATTTGTCCTGGTCGAATAAATAATAATAATAATAATAATAATAATAAACTCTGCCATGCTAGCCTTATAACAGGTGTAAGTATCAAAGCACTTTGCTTTAAAACAAGAAAATCTAAGGCAGCTAGTGTTAATTTTGAAGCATGGTGACGTAGTGGTCGGAGTGGCTAATGTCTACTCACTTTTGCAAGGCCTGCCACCAGAGTTCTTTCTCCTCGGCTGAGCTGAAGGTCCAGACGCTGTTTGTGACTGGCCAGCCGACCACGAAGGACCGGTCGGCAGGCTTGTTGATCTCAATCACGTCGTTGATGCACGTGGCCAGCCAGAGCTCGCTGACGCGGATCCGGTGCTTGACGCGGAACGTCGTGCAGGATTTGCTGTGTGAGGAGTCAGAAAAGAAAGGAACCAACTATGACTAACTTGTTCTTCCCTCGACCTACTCCAGTGGTGCAGTGCAGTGGGAGTCTACAAGGAAATACTTGCACTGCACATGTTGCCTTAGAGAAAGCCATTATTCAGGTATTATCCCCAAACTAACAGGATTTAACATGCTTTAAGGGTTTCACACAATAGCTTTATGATTCTGATAATGCCCTTAAGATATCTTTATGTTCCGAAGTAAACAAATTGCGATAGAATATTTTTCTTCACTTCTCTTCCGAGTTTCAAAGCAAATGAAACAAACTTCCACAGATTTACATTCTGAAAATCCTGAACATCCTAAAAAGGGACATAAAAATGGCACATACATCTGATAAAGAACAGTTTGTACAATGTAGTTCCATAGACAAATATACATAAAAGTTGACATCCCGTTTTCTCATAAAATTAGTTCCTTTATTCATTTTAGTCAGCCACGAAACAGTTTCCTTACTTTGGTTTAGCTATGATGACCACATCATTGAAGAGGAACACGTATCGGCTCTGGGCCTGGACCCCACCGGTCACCTGAACGGCGCCCTCCATGACGTACACACGGTTGTTGTTGTTGCTGCTGCTGCTGCTGCTGCTCAACGCATTGTTGTTTGTGGCGACGTCAAGCGCCGGCAGCTCACTGGAGGTGGGGGTGCTGCCAGGTCTGAAGAAAATCAAACAAAAATTGCAAATTAATTAAGACTAATATGGTAAACGAGTACATCGGTATTTGTTAATTTTGTAAATATTGAAAGAGAGAATAAAGAGTTTAAAGACCAAGACCAATAGGCTTATGGATATTTTTGGATACATCTTAACATCAGGGGAATTAGGCTACATTAACTAATTTGCTGGTATGTGTTGCTTTCCTTTGCAACACATACCCGTAAGTTGGGAAAGTTGCGAAGGGGAGCAGGCAGCCTGCTGCTGCAATTAGGTTAAGAGAGGACGCAAGTCTAGGGGTACTGTCAAAGTTATCCAGTTGAAACAGAAAAAATACTTGCTGAGAGTGACACTTACTCCGTGCTGCTGGTAACTGAAGTCTTAGATTTAGACATAGTTGCCCAATAATCAAGCAAAAACAAGATCAATCCAGAGAAATTGTGGTAAAAATATCCAGTCAGATGACCACTGCACTTTAGATGAGTGCCGTTAAATGCCTGATATCAGAGCATATCTGAGGCTGTCACTTTCCGAATATTTTCAACAGTGTGCTGGCGAGTTCACAACATTCCACAGGCAACGAGAACGAAAATTCTGACGATCTGTTCCTCTGAAAACTAACGCAATCTTTGTTTATGACATGGGCTTGATGTCATGAATTCCAGACGATATCTTAACTACGCATTGCAGTACGCAATAAGCATTCACTGATGTGCGAAATCCAACTCGTTCAACCACAATCGATTGCGAACATCCCGCAGAATATGCGCACATCGACACAGACGACCAACTTCATTCAAGACCCAATTTTCCAATGATTAAAAGCTGCGACAATATAAAAAAAGAATCGGCATTTTGATTGTTTGCTTGAGGGGCTCTGTCCACACCAACTCAGCGCATCGCTGGCTTGGGGCACACAGTTGACACAAGGGGAGCAGACAATAACTTGGCATGTTTGCGCAGCGCAGTTTCTCCGGTGCCGTTAGAGTAGTGACCCGCATATGGAGAGGACAGAACAAAAACCCAGGCGAGAACACTGATCAAGGTCCAGAATTTTTTTCTTCACAGAGCAGAGGACCCTTTTGACAAGTGGTATGAATCTCGACTGCCGCTGAGAAGGTGCACAAAGTGGACAAAAAATAAGTCAATTTATCTGCGTCACTTCACGCCGCAGGTGTATTTTAAAACCAATACATGGGTTGATTTTGCCATGCCATAATGTGGCATGGCATCATCAATTGTTGGCGAATGATTTCTGACAAACTTCAAATGGCGTGAAGTGACATCAGTACTGGTCTGACTGATCACCGTCTGTGCCAATGTAAACAAATGAGTGTCTGACTGCCCCCCCCCCCCAAAAAAAACTGAACATGATTATATTTCACATTGGTCGCTCCATAGAGCTAGGAGTAGAAACCTAGGGTTCTCAGCCCCAGAGCAAAGTAAGTGTCTATGGTATATGTTTGTATTTTCCTAAAAACACCCCTAACAATAACCATTTATTTTGTTCTATAAACATTCGTAGGTAAAACACCTCTACAATAGAACTTCCCACTCCCAGACTCCACATTTCAAAAGGGATTCTTTAAAAAATCCTGAAATCAGAAAAAATCCTGACAAAAAATTCCCGACAAAAAATTCCGACAAATCTCATCCATGGTACATACCGTATGTGTGTGCGCGTGTTGGTAAAAAAAAAAATCAGACCTCATAAAAATTGAGCTTATAGACCATTATCATGTTGCAGCCCTTTGATTTTTTCCCATTCAAATCAATGTAACCAAAGCGAGGCTGGAAGGGAAAATAGTCTGGTTCCGTTTTGCACAAAAAAAGTATCATTCGGTACTGTTATTGGATACAGGGAACATGACTGAAATGGTGGCAGCATGATAAAGGTCTATACCCACAGAGAGATAACAGTTCCTGATTCTGACTGCAGCCGCACACAAAGCAACCACAAAAAAACTTTCTGCTCAGAAGTTGCAGAAAATATAGGCCAGTGGAACTTCAAGCCCACACACAGAGACCAATCACATTTGTTTCTCTTTGCACAATCCTTGCCCTTTATCTAACACAACCTGTTCCATCTCCCAACTGAAAATAATGGATTGCTGTATCAAATCTCTCCCAGATAGGACGGCAGAAACAAATTCCACGACTCCCAAAGGGCAAAACTCTTCCCCTTAAGATATATCTGGGGGTCTCAGTTGCAATGTATATTTACAGTTCAATGATATACTGGCATTTTCTAACTAATGCTTACTGACACAATGTTGTTCAGAAATTCCTCCCACAGGCTTCAAACACCAAAGAAAATTACCCTCAAATCTTCAAAAAAAAAGAAAGACAGAAGAGGAATGGATTTGTGGTCTGTGGCTTCACTAATAAATAAGTTTTGTGATTGTTTACGAAGTGACCCCAAGGTTTATTGTTTTATAACCCACCACTTCTGCACTGTGGATCACAGTCATTCAGATTTTGTCCCCCAAAGTTTTAGCTGGTGCTTAGGGATAGCGCCCTCTTGTGACAGGTTTATCAGACCATGACTTGCCTTCTTGTCAAACTTTTAGTAAATTGAGTTAGACATTTTGACAAGTTCTACACCAGTGTTACATTATTATTGTGAATAGTTGAAATGGGGACACTCAAGCGATATCAAGGTCTGGGAAAGTGGGACAACAAATGTTAGAAGTGGCATTTGAGAGAGAAGGAGATATACCATTTTCCATTCTCAGAAAAGAATTCAGGCTGGAACAACTACCCGGTAGTACGGTACAAAGAACTATGAGCAAATAACTACCGGTACATTCCTAAACAAATTTCAGGAAAGCTAGAGAAAGGAGCAAGGTACACGGCAACTTTATAAGTAAATGTTTGACTGGATTTTCTTTTGAAAACAGGAAACCAGCTGATCAGTAGAAAAACAAGAATGTCCTTTTCTTCCAAATGAAAAATTCTGAAGCTTGCTCAAACCAAGTGGACACAATACCAGACATTTCTGACATGCACATAACTCATTGCAATTCCATTCTAAAGAAAAAACCTGTAAAACTGTGCACTTTAGCAGTCTATTCCTCATGTTCATAATCTATTTTTAAAGACCTCTTGACACCTGTTTCGGCCCATTACTGGAACAATCCAAGTGGCCTGGCGTTTATCTACACCAACTAACAATGCAAAACTATGAATCAGCAATCAATGCCCTCCACTAATGGTGTCAAAGTACCGGTAAATTAAATAAAGTCGGTGATAAGGGGACTATTATTTCTCAAATTTCCGAGCTAAGTGGTCATCTTTAACCATTATTAACCAATTATTGAAAAGGAGACACGTGTATACGTGTACAAGACAAAGTTCTTCTTTGCTTGAGCATTCATTAGTTACATGTACATGCGGTAGTTTAGTTGGGTACATCCTTAAAGTACACTTAACATTCCATAAAATGGGGCTATCAATGTAAAAACCTATTCAGCAGATACTTTTAGAGAAAAGGGTTCAATGGTGTCATAAATTGGCTTGGGATTTCAACATTTTGCTTTCCAATTTTTGACAAACAGGTATCTCCCGATAATAATATTCCATTCCTCCTTCTTTTGTGAACGATAATATTCTAAATTTACTCCTCATTTTAATGTAAAGAACAAGTAAAAGAGAGAAAACAAAAATTAAAATCACGATTCCCAGCTTTGACAAACTGCCAAAAATTCTCCACCCCCCCCCCTTTCCCCGAAAAGGAGAAAATTCTGTAAACTTTCGGGCTGATTATCCTTCTTGATATAATTTGGTTTTGTAAAGGACAAACTTATTGGGTGGGTTAGCCGTAAGCAGCTTCAATTTGGTGAATAGACACAAATGAAATGCTTCCACTCTGCTACAAACCACTTCATTTTCCATACCACAGAACCACCTTCAAAAAGTCAGAAAGGCTGTCAAGGAAACAACTGGAATGACCACTGTGTGCATTAGTAGGGGACTAATTGGTCCTGACACTTTACAGATTGGCACCCCACTGGCTGCAAGAGGCAACACAAGACCTTGGCAAGACCTTGGCAAGATCTGGGCAGCCATTCCTGAATTCTTTTTCCCCAACCAGAAAAAACAAAGCTCATTCCTTTATTAAAGTATTTGAGGTGTTCTTGGTGATTTTTTTGTAAAGTTTGTTTCAAAGTCGGGCATACATGTATCAGTTACGGAATCTATCAACCCTATGATATATTTTGCCCAGTGTCATTTTAATATAGTTGCAATGCATTTGCCAACACTTGATGGAGATATGTGGGGCTTGGGACGATATGAAACCAGTGAGCCCAACTACACAAATGGGTAAGAATAAGGTCGCAGGTGGAATATTGTTGTTAGAGAATGGGTACGCAGGTGAAATATTGTTGTTAGAGAATGGGTAACGGGTGAGGGTATGTGATAGAACATTTTGGGTGTCTAAAATTGGAGAAAATGGATGTACATGTACTTACGATGATGATTTCTTTCCACTGAGCGCTGTCTTGAGAGCAACAGAAGGCGCCGACCTCCTCCGATTGGCCAGAGCTTTAAACCTCTGCAGCAAATACAAAAACACGTGGATGGAAAACGTTTAACAACTATCACACGATACAACAATCAGGCCTCGATAGAAACACAGCTATAACTGTTTATTTTCTAACATTGTGAGTAAAAGGAGAATCGAAAAGTATGCTTGACCCAAATATGTGGCAGAATACGTACTTGAGATCTTTTTGACTGTTACAATATGCTGTTTTCTCAGAAACGCTCTCTGCACAGACAAGAAGAACAAGGTACTAGTAGTACTTCAAGTACATGTACCAGATTTTACACAAATTGATACACAAGTAGAGCCATTTCATCTGCCAATTTGCAGGACTCTCTAGACTTGATTTACACATGTTCAGACTTCAGAGACACCATGTCTGTGTTCGCAGGGGCTCAAGCAGGGTGTCCAGACTTGTTACATGAGGGGTTTAGGGTTGTAAATTCAATTGTTTTGACTACTGTTATGACTGCATTTGGAGCACTTCAAGTCCCTATCATGATGTTTTCAAAGGGTTTCTGGCTGGGAATGCACTTGGACACCATGCAAAAATGAATGACTGACAGACGAAGAACCAACAAGATTTTTCCAAAACCACGACTTCGTCCCTTCGGCTTCAGGAAACTTTTGTTAGGCCCCTGAATTTGGGGACTCTGGCGTAATAAACTGCAGGTCCATATGTTGCCCCAGTTTAGGGTATTTCAATTTTCTCCGGACACAAAACCTTCAAAATGTGTCAGAGACGCAGCTGACGTCGTCGGAGAGAAAAACAAGGATCGGAAACATTCAGCACACAGAGAGTGGGCCGCACTTCCTTTCTTTTGTTTATCACATGGCCCTGGTTAACTTTTATACTTAACAGAATGTTTTTTTTATTTTGTTCAGTGTTAGAAACAAATACCACAATGTTTCACATCAGCTAACCTATAGACCTACTTAGTTCTATATTTGTTGAATATGTACACAAATGTATAGTGTGTCTCATGGGGTTTGCATGGTTGGAATTTCAGTACATATGCAGAACAGGATTCAAGATGTAGAGCACGTTATCAGCGAGGCAGAGGACTACTGTTAGCAACATTCCAACCATACATGTAGTGGATTTATGATTCCAACCAAAGGAGCAAATCTTCAAGAGAGCATCTCTCGACAATCCAACCATCTTTCCAACAGTCTTCTTCTGAGAACACTCATCTATGAAGGCTCAACAGGCTTGACCCCTTACCCTGTCATGTTTTCCCCTGAAAGAAAGTAAAGAAATTCTAGACCAACTCCTGGTCGAGAAGATCAGTTCTTCTTTCCTGCTTTGACTCCACACCCATCTTCTAAAAACCCTCAAAATCACTCTGGGGTAACTCAGGTTTACAAACATCCCACTTTTGCCAATCTAAACATTGCGCACTACACATTTTCACTGCTCCTGTTTTATTTCAATCTCATCAGCAAATTTTAACAAAAAATGAATCCGTGTCAAAGTTCCGTGCCAAAGATGCCTCTGTTCCATTCAGATCAAACTCCCCTTTTAGTAGGGGGCTGTGCTACAAAAAAGGTGACTGGAAGTTCTAAGCGACAACAATTGCGGTTTCCAGTTTGTTCTTTTCAGTGCTGGATAGTGACAGGCACTGTGCCTCAGCCAGTGTCACTTGACTTGAAATCAAAAGGGTTCAGGAATTTGGAGTATCCAGTCTCAACAATCAAACAATCCCATGACCCCGAGTCACTGAGATACAAGATTCACAATCAGGACTTCTCCTCTTTTCACTTGGCCACTTGACAGGTTGCGCTGCCACACTCCACCCTGCCAGTGGACGGCACAGATTCTTATGAATGGAGTCAAAAACTCTCACAGGGGCTTTCAAACAAAATGGCTTGTTAAAAGTTGGCCAGTAAACTTTCAAAATCAGGGCATCTGATGGGGATCTGCCTGAATATTTGCCATTTTTAACATTTTTCCAAAGAAAGAAGCATGTGGACTACTTTAAGCAACTGATGTTCTCTTAAGTTTCCATTGAAGTTTCTGAACCAGCTCTCGTTTTATTCTCTTTTTTTTTTTTTACATCTTACCCCAGAATGTCAAACAACAAAAGATATTTCACAAAAGCCCTTAAAAGAAAATGTGTTTAATCACTAAAAAGGTAAATTTATAGTGCTACTTTTGAAAGCCAATATCTCTCATGAAATAAAAACAAAACAAAAAAAATTAGCTCTCAATTTTTTGCTGCGCTTCAAGACAGTTCTGAATAGAACACTCTTCTGTATGCAAAGGTTATCATGTTTCACTTTTATAACACACTCATCAAATTACATCAGACATTATGAAATATGACAGAATGATGGCAGGCTAGAGAGTGAGACACTACATGATGGAATCCAGGCTAACTCAGCCCGGCAACCACCTGGAACCGTGCCAAGCAGGGGTCAGAGGTCAAGCAGAGACTTGGGAAGGGGATATCTTGAGATTTGGTGTCAAAAGGGCATCTTTGCACCTGCGAAACATCACAGCAAAAGGATGCGTTTTGTAGACGCTAACAGTTTACTTGAATGAAATTTATGATTTCCTGTGTATTGTGAATGCTACCTTGGTTGAGGGGAAATATTTTTTGAATTGTTCAGTTTTAAGATTTGAAATATTAAAAAATTGTTCAAAATTGTTTCGACTGGCATTAAAACTGACATTTCAATTGGAACTGAATGCTCATGTATTATCTCAACTGTTTGCTTGTAGATTTAATGGATTAAGATTTGAATCTAAAATCATCCAGATAATGGATGATACCTCACAAGATACCATGTGACACGCCGTAACACACCAGGATTATTGAAGTGCTCTACTGCCTAAGAGGTCCTTTAAAATAAGGTTTCTTTCAAATTGGAAGGGAGGACATTAGGCATTAAATCACAGCGAGCTCGAGGGACTAGTTGAAAAACAAAACTGCCAAAGACATAAAACCACTTCAAAGCTGTTGCCCATTGTTGACACTAATGCCATCACCTGTCCTGTTCAAATGCTGATGACAGCCAAGTCAATACAACTTGCAAAGCTCCAACTCAACTTTCACTTCTACATGTTGGATGCTAATCCTTTGTTCCACTCCACAGCACAATTGTCTTTCCGCATAACTTCTCTCAGCCACGCTACTGTCTCATTCCAATACGTGAATGCACAATGAATCAATCCCACCTACAGTTGTAAAGATACTATCTCAATCGGAAAGCAAAATGGCCACTGTAAAAACACGGCCCGACTTATCCCTTTTTAACACCCTTCCAATGTCGCTCCACTAAAGAGATCCTGGCTTAATGCCAAAATTTGGTGTGTTAAAGGGAATATACATCATTTGCTTTTGCTGTAATTTTCAGAAATGGATGGAATTGGGGGGTTGGAAATATATAGCAAATATAGTTACACTGACTTTTTTGAGGTTTTGGGTTCGAAAATGCTATAAAAACCAAGAAAAACGATCATTTTCCTGTAGTCTGGTTCCCCGACTCTATATAAGAAGAAACAGAGCAGTTTACATACATTGGGGAATTGTAAGGTTAGGGAACCAGTCTAGCTGGCTCGTACCCGTTCATAGGTTTGTAATCGATTGTAAACAAGTGCGATGGCCAGTATTTGGAAAAAAAAGCCAGTTGTTTCCAACGCTGATCGGCCGATCAGCGTTGGAAATTGATACAAAAATACCACTTTTCTTGAAAATGACAGTATACCAGGTGCCATGATTTTACAGGATGCTTTACACTGTCATTCACTAACAGTCCAGCAAGGTATTTCAAAATGATTTGGTAGTTTTATTTTTTGATGTTTGCAAATGTTGTATTTTCCCTTTAAGAAAGAATGATCAAGCCGGAGAGAGAGCCAGTCAAGGATACCGAGTGATGTGCCGAATGGCCGAGTTTTTAATCCGCTATACCCAGAGGGGTCGCAGTGCGAAATCCTCCATCAAGGAAGCACAAGGGTGGCTTTCTTTTCGTGCCAATGATGCGGAAGACGGCAACAAAGTGCATGGGGGAAAAGAAAACACTCTGAACAATGGGCTGAGCCCCGAAGATAACGGACGCACATTATTAAAGAAGACAAAATGGGATTACGGGTGATGAGTAAAGAGTTGGCAATTTCCCCTTTCATTCTGTCCTTTGAATGAAACGTTTTGATTTGGGGGCAGGTTGGGGTTTTCGACCCAGTTTGTACTTTAAAAAGTTTTATAAGGGACCTTGGGTGTTTTCATGCAAAGTTTTGCACAGATTTACGGTTTCCTTTGAAATAAGAGAGGTTAAATACATACTGTATAATGTACAAATGTATTATAAGATTTTGGCAAGTCCCAATCAACAAATTTAGTACAAAAAGTGGATATGATGTACAGTCAAACAACTTTTCAAAAAAACATTTCCCAGAACACGATAAACGCCATTTTGTTTATCTTTTAGAATTTTGGTCTCTCCTGGCTTTCCAAAGTCATTTTACAAAGTTAAACATAATTTAAGAATACAATACAGCGAAAAATGAAATTAAAAAAACAGCTGTTCTATTGTTTTTATTCTTGAAAGTTTCATAATTCTTTAAAGTTTCAAATAAAGTGAAAATTGTTCACTTTATTTCAAATAGATATATCGCGTTTTCAAAATAAACTCTTCACATAGAACTTAAACAACTGATTCCTTTTTGTGCTAGAGTAAACCTGCGAAGAACTTTCTATTTACTCTTTTTCTTTCTCACAATCATTGATAAACCCCCATTTTTACAAGCCAGCCTTTTCTCCTTTTAAGGTCAAGCCGAGGTCAGCTCCAAATCTGTCTGGCCTGCCTCTCAATAGATCCAACATGTCAGCAATGGCACACATGGACCCACTGGGGAGCCATGTTGCTAATTGGAAAATAATGGCTGCCTGGGTAGCCTCACAAGACCATACAAGGTGAGCTGGACAAACTGTCAAGGCATAAAAACGCATGGCATATTCTTCTGGTTACTGGTGGCAGCCATGGTTCTTGTGATTCCCTACATATTT